GACATGCACTACCCTTAGGGCCTATACACCTAGCTTACGCTGGGTGGATTGTAGTGCAGTGGTCCATACCTCCTCTTTACCCCCGTATTACACTTTAGTCTTTACTACGGGCCAGGAGTAGCAATAATGGAGACTTTCTCCTGAAATCCCACCTTACAGATAAACTCATCCTACATGTAAGGCTAGTGGCCTAGAGACTGTAGAGGCTATGACTGTATGAGTACATCATCATGGCCAGTGTAATCACTGACATCAGCAGACATGGTCAGCATAGGGCCACTCAATACAGTCATTAGTCTCCCGTATAAGTGTGTCCCATATGGTGCAGTGGTATGTGCAGCGATTTCCAATCGATAGATTGCGGGTTCGATTCCCGACGATTATGGTCACACACGTCTTTCTTCTCTTTCTCAGACTCTTCCTGACTTTTCTTTCATTCTCCTGGGTGGTTACCAACAGCCAGTGCATGCCGGAGTATGTGGTGTGATGTGTGTGCGGGAAAAAAAAAAAAAATGAAAAAGACCAAAAAAGGGATTCACTGGCCAGAAAATGTCACTCCAAATAGCTGTATGGTGTAGACCAGGCTGAATAGTGACGGTCAATTCTTCAGCCTTGCAAGCTGTTGAATGGTGTAATCCCAGCACAAGTTGCTATGGCTTCTGCCGTAGCATTGCTATCATCGCCTCCGGCGATGGGCGTCAAAGGTCAAAGGTATAAGCCATTTTACTGCACTGGACCATAAGCTCTGAAATGAACATCTGCCATGCTCCGGCATCCAGACTCAAGCACTGATGACAGTGATGAGACCATGGACATCCTACAATGGAAGGCAAAGTTGGTAAGCTGATTGGCTCTTTTCCAGGCAAATGCCCTCCAGTCCTGATCTTAGACTGCTGGGTGACACTTGCACACAATACATACATTCAGCATGTCACTCACGGGCAGTAAAGTCAAGGTCTAGACTAGTCTCCACTGACAGTAAGTGTTACTTGATTCAGCTGACCATTGGCATCCTCTCACCATTGCTACACTCAGCTGTTGCTACTACTGTGACTAATGCTTGACAATGGTGTATGCCTTCTGTTCTTTGCTGGCTTTACTAAACTGTTCTGTTAAAATTAACCCAATCATTCAAGGCATGCCAACGCGAACAATCTAATTATAATATACAGTCGTCCCTCTCTAATCCGGCACTTTATAATCCAGCACCCTCGATAAACCAGCACAATTTTCAGTAGCCAAAATGTCCTCTTCATGCACATTGCAGCAGTAAATCAGATTTGTTAATCCAGCACCCTCCCTAATCCAGCAGATTTTCGTGGCACAAATGGTGCCGGATTATAGAGGGACCACTGTACATGTAATACGTAATAACTTTTTTAAAGTTATTACGTATTACATGTATATTATAATTAGATTGTTCGCGTTGGCATGCCTTGAATGATTGGGTTAATTTTAACAGAACAGTTTAGTAAAGCCAGCAAAGAACAGAGTGAACAAAAGCAGCACTGGATGCCCCAAGACTGAAGACAAAGCCCACTGACTGTGTTACCCACCAACCAGGATGAACCCAGTGTGGTGCCCTCCAATCTAGTCAGCCTGTAGCCAGTATCGGGAAGCCCTGCAGCAATTCCAATCACAATAGCACTGAAATAGCTGATTATAGTTCACCCCGAGCACTCAATCTTCTCTGTTCCTGGCTGAAGTGAGTTCAAATCTGTCACAGTACACTGAGTAGGTAGTGGCCAAGCTCCTCTAGACATTCACACTCTTGAACAAGGAACTCCAGAGAGTGGCCCGGCCAGTTCCAGTGGGGAAGGCAGGGGACTCATTCAAAACCATGGCCTTGAATGTCACTGACAGTCCACCACAACTGTATTGTGGGATAAGACCAAACTCCAAAGTGTTGAGACTGGCACCAGGACAAGTAACACTCCCACTAGGAGTTACTTAGTACTACATGTACTACTTCAGTACAGTGCACACTAGAGCCAACTGAGCACTCCATACTACATGACTGTATCCAGGTCTGGTTTACCACATACGGCAGAGTGGAGTGGCAACTATTACTTTACAAGACTGCACCATCTGCAGTGTGGGAGATACTGACTACTCCAGCATGACCATGTGCGGACATGGCCATACTGCGTCACAGAAGGCACTGTCACTTTTCCCTACCAAACCCAGCCATCCACCAAGTAAAAGTACAAGTAGTTATCAAAACCTTTGTACCCATATCGATAAAGTAGGCCATGATGACATGTACTTCAAAATACTTTATTATGTAGTTCATTGTGATCACATCCACAAAGTATGAACGTCAGTCCTTATCGCAGCATGATACACTTGATATGCCATGTAAGGGAGCATCTCATAAGTTCGCACTTTTTTTGTGAACGTAACGCATTTCGAATAGACTTTACCCCCCTACCTCCCCCCACTATTTGAAAGTCTTATCGCACATTTTCAGTGTAGATCTACTGTACTGTACATATCCATGCCATGGTATACACAATCATGTACAATGTTCATGTACATGGACATGAACATGAATGTTTTGCTAGTGTCGAAGTACATACAGTAGTACGGCATCTACTGAGTACAAGTAAGTTACATGCTTAGTTCAATCAATGACATGTACACACACATAAACAGAGTTCCTCCACAACGACTGTACTGTCAAAGCTGGCCAGGTACACTGTTTGATCAGGCTGGTGTGACATTTGACACCTCTGAGTAGCCTGCATGCGTGTATTGTAGTGCAAGGGTTAGATCTACACCTAAAACACACCCGGTAGATCTACCCTGCTGTCTGAAGCGGTCTAGCACATGCACAGCACTGTATTGTACACATCCAGAAAATGTGCGAACTGTCCATTTTCTATCCGAAATGGGCGCTACCCCCCTACCCCCGTTTCGAAATGCGTTACGTTTAGAAACAAAATGCGAACTTATGAGATGCTCCCTAAGGAAGGATCAGTGTGCATGTATGTATCCGTTCGGTGTGTGTGTACACGTATGCACTGAACTGACAAGTAACAGTGCATGTACGATACTGCCTGTAATACTGACGAGATACTATTATGTACGGGTCGTATAACTGCCACGAATACTATAGTACTGAAGTATGTCTGAGCAGAAGACCGATATGTCACAGTGGGTTATTGATGTTCATAGACATAGATCCTGTTATATCGGGTTCAGCAAAGCACAATCACAGGGTCGGAGAAAACTACCATTACAAGTACATCTGGAAGAACAGTTCGAAAGCAAGCAAGGCGCGGGAAAAGAACACCGCTCCACTAGAAGTTATGCAGATTCAGAGACCGCGCATGCGGACTGGTGTACACACAATAATGATGTCATGCAACTACACATACACTACAGTACAGATCCACCCTGCGCTAGTCTATCCTTATTTCCACACCATGATGCATGAGAGGCCTAACACAGCAAAATGACAATACGAGTTGGATAAAGATGCACAGTAGCAAGACTAGAGGTTCACCAAAGGAAGAAAACATCTCGCGCAAATTTTGAAGAGAGAAGAAACAAGGTTTTCACGAGGAAATGCGGTCTTGTACATATTGTGCGGTCGCCAAGAGTTTTTTCAAGATCAATTCTTCCAATAAACATATCCATACTTGTCAATCAACGGCTTATCAGATCCGGCAAACATTAACACTATTTTTCATGTACCCTACCACTTCCCTCAAGTACGGCTGACAGCGGACTTACTGGTCACTACCTGAACCTCTCTCATAGTAAAACTCTTATTATTTACACAAGGCTAATGCCAATGTGGCCATATAACAATCCAATCAACAATAAAAATGTCAATAATAGAATAATAGACTTGAATCATAATACGGCCAAAAAACACCACTGTGACTATGAGTTGGGGTCAGTCCACGTGCAATGCAAATGACACTCGATTTGTCGATCTACTGCACTGATACACCGTGAGCCGGTGTGTAGCTACCGAAAAGTACCGCAAGCGAGAGCGCTCCACTTCTTCCACCACCACCGTTTTGGAGGCCGTGTTTACTGTTTTTGGAGATAGGGTGGATGACCAAGACCTGTCTAAAGGTCAAACGGCACTCACAACGTACAGACCTTACTCATTGGCGCAGTCAATCTGTACTCCTGGGTTTACCATTGAAGCGGATGCAGACCGCGAGTTGGTGAAGTGCCATGTGTGAACTTCAGCTAAATTCACTCAGGTTCTCACACCGTTTTACCTGAGTTGCGCTCTGCCACACGATTTTGCGTTCACTTGCCGAAATCATCAATGTAGGATTCTCTAGTGAGACAGGGCGCAGCACTTTACGGTATGACATGTACCACTCACTGTACAGTGTACTACTAGTATACTATAGCTTGCATCCATACATATACATCACACTCAACTACAGATTGCTGCCAGCACTTTCTACAGTGGCATAGTCACCACACATTGCAGAGCACATCACTAACCAACCTAGGCAACTAACTTCACGTGAAAGTACATTGTATGCGAGACTCTGTGTTCTTCGTCCGGAGGTGTAGCTGACGAATTTTCGCACTCGAGTTCGCATACACTTTTCAGCTCGCGAACTCGAGAGCATTCGCAGAATTCGTCTGGAAAATCAGTTGGAACACGACTAGCGGCTTCGTATCAGGACAGTCATAAGTTTACTGCGGTGTAATGTCTGGAGTCTGGACACATGTATGACCTGTTAACATCATGCAAGGGCACTAATGAAATCCTGTTTCCTAATCCTCTCCAAGATGTGAATTTCACCGCAGAGTTTTGACTTTCATTTAATTATAAGTGCGCACCAGAATGCGAAATACGTCTTCCTAAACCTCCGTAATAAAGAATGCGGTTCTGATGCCAAAGTAACGTATACTGTAAGCCATATGGTGTCGCTAACGCAAGTCATTGCTAACGCTCGCATCTTGTTTTCGCGTCGCCAAATACGAAGTAAGAAGTCTGTGAATTCATGAATATCACTCACCTCGATCCTGGTGAAGTACATTTGATTCTCGTGCAGCTGTGACATGAAATACGCATGTGCACAGCCCATCATTAGCGCCACTAGAAGTCCAACGATGCAGTATAGCGATTGCCATAGCGACGGCCACCCAGAACTGTTCGTTGTTTGTGTTTGCCTCGGCTCCTGTGGTTGGTCTGAAGGGCTGTTCACTGAAGCGCCCGAGGAATCGTCAGTCGACGTGGCTTTGTCCTGTTCCGACTTTTCAGACTTGGCTGGAACCGGTTCGTTCTGCTCCCCTTTCCTATGCCTCATTTCGCCAGTGTATCGTAGCCACAGACCGCGAGCTAACAAAAACTGCAAAACTACCGTGAAATTATTATCCACAAACTCAACTGGTCAGAACTGGCAATGTGTTTTTTTCATTGGAACCCACTGAATTCTAAGCAACGCCAATAGGCGACAAAATAAATGCTTCGGAAATGGCTTGTTCTGCAGGGTGAATACGACTCCCTAGCCCTGGTGATTGTTTTTGGATGGAGCGACTACGTAGATCTACACTCCGGCAGTCCACCCAGTTTCCATGAACATCTGCCGTTGATTTTCACTTCTTTTTGTTTCCTTGAACTGCAGCTAGCGGTCACGTGCAGTAGGCTTCATCATAGCGTGCAGTCGACTTTGTTCGTACGATCCGGTTTTGATCGTGTCCGACGGCGCGCCGGGCGCGCGCCCGGAGTAGCGCTGCATGCATGTCTTATTTGTGGTATCCCTTGGAAACAAGATGTGGCATCAGACTCACAAAATAATGTACGGGGAAAGAGAAAAAGCCTTTCATCAAAAATATTAATTTTCTTGACAAGAAGGCAACTATTTGAGCCTGGATCGAATCGTTGAACCTTCCTTGGCCTTGGGTGCTTCGCGTGACGGAATAAACATGTCTTCAAGACAGATCCAAATTTCGGCATCAGAACAGAATCTGATCGATTCCGTAGCTGAGCTGATCATCAAGGAAGCTCAGAAAGCCAAAGATAACCACGGCTACTTTTCGATTGGATTCTCTGGGGGAAGCATTGTCAAGATCGTTTCAGCTGGCTTGTTGAATCGCCAGGCGGAAATCGATTGGACCACGTGGAGGGTATTCTTCTGTGACGAACGGTACGTACCACTGGACGCTGCCGATAGCAATTCGAAGGCTGTGAAGGATGGCTTCCTCAGCAAAGTTCCTGTCAAGCCAGAACAAATCTTTGACTTGAATCCGGCACTCGAGCTCAGTGCCGCAGCTGCCGACTACAGTAGCAAAGTACAGTCTGTGCATGGGTCTGAGGGTTTGCCGAAGTTCGATCTGCTTTTGCTGGGTATGGGACCGGATGGACACACTTGCTCTCTCTTCCCTGGCCACGCTCTGCTGGATGAGAAAGATCTCATTGTTGCATCAATTTCTGATTCACCGAAACCACCACCGCAGCGCATCACGCTAACGCTGCCCGTGGTGAACAATGCACGAGTGGCTGCCTTCATTGCGGCAGGTGCGGGCAAAGCTCCAATGGTTCGCCGCGTCCTGGAGCCAGGCGCAGGAGAGGACATCTTGCCAGCTGGACGCGTACAACCAAGCGACGGTCAACTGATCTGGTATCTGGACGGCGGCTCAGCTGCAGAGCTCAAACAGCCACAGCCAAACCTATGAATGTTGTCCACGCCATCACAGTACCCCAAACCTGGATAGCCACCGAACACTAAAATCTGTGCTTCAATTTTGATGATGATACTGATGACATTGCAGCAGCCACCATTGACACTCACACTTCAATTTGTAGGTTGTGCGCGGTAGTTTCTCTTCCGCAAACTCACTTCGTTAGACCCGGACTATTTCCTAGCTGGCTAGGTTCATGTAGAGAATTTCAGCTCGTAATTCAGTTTGCATTATGTGCACACTCGCCATTCGGAAAAACAATCAGCTCAAGTGTTACATTGCTACAGCAGTGCTGCTCCGAAATTGCAATTGCCTTATTCAATAAGCACCAGGGAAGAACTTGTAGCAGGCACTTCATTCCGAAAAAAAAGAAGGTAAAAGCGTATCTTTATCTTCAAGAAAAATGATTTTAACTGTTATGTGGAGACTTGCAAAGAAATAATTGCTTAGCGGTATGGGATTTAAAAAAAACTTCAACATGAGCGCAACAGATAAGAGACCCGTCGCCCCCAAGCCTTGCAGGAACAGCAGACAACCGAATGGAGCCGTTTGCTCGGAAGATGTACTGCCAGTAGAGTACCAAGCAGCAATTCATTGTCTGCGTTCTCTCACTACGGCGGCAGCAGCTATCCGCGCTCACTGTCACTCTTCATGGCCTGCCGGGCAGCCCCAACGTCCATCTCCCAGCATGACGTTCTGCCTGCAATGGCCTCCTTCGCTAGCAGCGATCCCAAGACACGGCATACTTGTCTGAACAGCTGGTGATGCACCGCAATGAGGCAACAAGTACACACACCGGAGGGCGACAAGGCCGCAGAGATACCGCTGGCACATGTCTCCTGTTTGTCACGAGCCACCACTTCATCAACCTGGTGTGTGTGTGTGTGTGTGTGTGTGTTTCTCCTGGCGACAGGACGTACACGATCACACCTTCAAGGTGCACAGGGATTTATAGTTTATACCACCTTGTCACGACTAAACATTCCTTCCGCTTGCCACAGGCAACTCAACAGACGTATCATGGCTATGCTGCACCCTTGCTTTTCTTGGCCATGTACTTTAGAAAGCGCACCAGATTTAGATGAGCGGACTGCAACACTGGGTAATCGCGGCCCACTGAGCGAGGACCTTGACGTAGCTGCAGAGACGAAGAGAATCAACACACAGACAGCAGCTGAGAAGGTTACTAACATGAGTCGTTACATGACGTACGATTTTACAAGTTACAGAATTAATAATAACTTATCACAACTCTGCGCATGTGAAGTCCGTCAGACTGATATTTCTGCATGTGTAAGATCCATGCAAGAGTGTAAGCAACAGACACCACGAGAGCACTGGCGAAATAACGACGTGTGACATGTGTGTGTGTGTGTGTGTGCGCGCGCGCACACAATGTCCAGATTCTCTACGGCTTACCTGGGTCTTGAGCTTGGGTGCAAGCTGCCGAAGGCTAGCCAGCATACCGGACGCAGCCACGGCAGCATCACCCACCTCTCCGCCATCGGCAAACACATCAAAGACACCATCCAGTGCTTCGCTGACTGCACGCACTGACGTTGCATGACTGGCAGAGTCCACAAAGCATTTGGCCATCACCTAAAGCAAAGATGAAAAGGACAATAAGTGCCTTGGAAGACCAAGTCCCTTGGCAAACTAATGGAGATCAACAAAATAGCCTACACCCTTCTCTTCCCCACCAAGCACGCTGCTATTACCATCCTAGCCTGTGAACTGCATGGCATACAGACCACGGTCACTTACTGTCAGAGTGTCCAGCTGGCCAGGCTGAGCAAGAAGTATGCCACCCAGCACGGTTAGAGTGGCCAAGACGTTGATCTTCACGTCCTGCGCGTTACTGGCCACCATGCATGCCTGGCATAGGGCATGTACGTGCTCCACAGGTACGCACTGCATACCAGCACAAACAACACAAAGGAGAGTTGGGAGCAGTTTAAAACATACTTCGAGTGTTTTACATCATACTGCTGCTTTTAAAAAGGACAAAATAACCTAACCGTTACGAGAATATCGTACAAGTACACACAAAGTTACAACCTACAAGAGCAGGGTACATTGAAAAGAGCACTGTAACAGTACATAAAGTAGTAAAGCAGACAAAAAACTGACCGACTGAGTTTTTTTCAGGAGCACCGCCGTCGACCTAAGCGTGCCAGTAAGAGCCTCGAGCAAACCACTGGAAACACCTACAGAAGACGGAACAAGAAAAGCAACTACCGTACTAAGAACTCAGCAATACTCCATGTACTGTTGTACTAGAATTTGAGGGGAGTAGAATGCGGTGGAGGCAGCAGTGATGGAAGCAGTGAACACTTCGCATGCACAGCATTTATGCCAAAGAGACGGGCAATTTCAATGAATGCAGTTCCTCTCACCTGGCTGATTGGCGGCGTTGAATACCATTGTCCAGAGTTTGAGCAGGGTATCCGCTGTGCCAATAGCCTCCACAGGCAATGCAGAGGAGAGTGCCTGCAGGGTAGTCAACGCCCGGCATTGCACTCGCTCACACCTGATGCAACATTCAACACACACCACACCAAGAGGTTGAATCGATGTTGGCATTTGAATTACTGAAGTACTAGTACAGTTGTTGTGACAATGAACAGTACAGGTTTCTCAGCTACCGCACGTGTCATAAGTTGAATGTGACATCCTGCAAAAGAATACTACACTATGGATACCACTGAAACACAGCACAAGAGTGTGGCACGACAAGAATACGCACACGTTGGCACTGGTCAGTGATGTGAACGACCTACATGACTGTACTGCTATGGGTCTCACTGGTCAGCAGATCTCCCAGCTGCATCAACTAGCATGGTGGAATAATTGTAATTCTACTAGAATATTTTCAGTATACCCAACTCGCAACACACTAACAGTCCTTGGCTACACCACGTACAGTTGAAATTGTCCAAATTTTCACCCAGGTGGGCATCATCAGGGATGATGATCCCTGATGATGCCCTCCTGGGTGAAAATTTGGACAATTTCAACTGTACGTGGTGTAGCCAAGGACTGTTAGTGTGTTGCGAGTTGGGTATACTGAAAATATGACAAGGCTACAGTGGAGTTTCAAAGTTCTACTAGAATACATGCCCATATGCCGTAGTAGGCAAAACAGCTGCAGGTAGGTACCGGGCGACACTCACCTGCCTAGAACTGTTCGACCTGCCTCACTGCATGCCAGCATCTGCACAAGATGGGACGGCACGCCTTCGCACTTCTCAGCAACCTGTCAACAGGCACAGACCACACATGCGCATTACAGGGACAGGAATTCACATGCGTACGTGATATGCAAACAAATTCACGATTTGCGTAAGGCTCACTTGGACCGGGTTTTCCGCATCCGCAGGAACGCCACCACCCTCTGGGATCAAGGACCAGATGCAGCTCCTAAAGCGGTGAGAGGTGCTTAGATCAGACCAACCACAAAGGGGTCAAAGACCGAAAATCCCATTTGATGCATCTGCACTATGCAAAGCAGATGTACAAATAGCCTACGGTCTAAAAATACAGTCGTACTGTACTGTACTCGCAAACCGGGAAAATACTTGCGCGTCTGAAAACGTTCGAAGTTCACTCTAGCTGGCCATCATGCTAACACCAAAGCAACGATCAGCTCAACCAACCTTGGCCAACAGTTGATGTTCGCTGAGAGCACTGGAAAGGTGCTTGACCACAATGGAAGATGTTATTCCGTTGCTCGCTACAGACTGTGTGGCATCCTCCGGGTCATCGGCCACTTCCTCATCCTCCATATCGGCATCAGCATCACCAGCATCCTCCCATTCCTCATCTTCGTCATCACCACCATCTGCAGATGCAAAGGGAATAACATAGAACCTATTGTCAAGGCATGTCCAACACAACAACAGCAGCTGGACACGAGCTTATGTATTTTTGACGCCAACATCATAAATCCGTCCCTCAATGCTCAACTCGGCACAAGCCAAAAACACGGCTCGCTTGGTGTGACTGCAGGCTTAGCGCTAGAGGCTTGAACTCCCTCACCTTCAATGCTACATAAGTTCGTCATGATCTCCAGAACAGTCTGCTGTGCTGATAAGACACTCTTCAGCAACTTAATCTGAATGGACACACACACACACACACACGCACACACACACACACACACACACACACACACACACACACACACACACACCAGAAATCATAACTCTACCAATACAGTCACGTTCATTTTAACAATGACAAGCACACAAACTAGCGACCACAACACAAAAGACGTCCATTGACATGATCAAAGTCTTGCAACTTACATCAGAACTCTCCTCCTGGTTTTCTTCGTTCATCTGGAAACCAACAAATAAGTATACCAAGAAACAACCAAGAAACATAAGCACAAGCACTACTTAGTATCACTCTCCACCACTAGCCACCTGGTACCAAACATGATAACATGTGTGAATGTACTTCCAAAATTTCCCTTGACCAAAGATGAAGAGTCACCCGCGCGGTGAAACGTCCCACACCATCAGCACGAGGTCACTCACATTCACTATCTTTGGATTAGGCCCTTCTTGAGATGCTCATACAGATAGTGTTTCCAGCGGAAATAACTTGGAATAGCACATGTACATGTGTACAAAGGTCACACAGTACAGCATACACTTACTCCAACAAGACTGGCCGACACACGAGATATGCCAGTGTTGCCATCGATCTGCAGAGCGTGTGCAGTGACGGAGAAGACGATCGGCAACAGCGATAGCTGAACATCCGATGAAGAATTCGGAACTAAATTCGATAGTGTACCTGTGTAGGGAGCAGGAGAGAAAGACAACCCAGGATGAACTGATGGGAGACAGTGTGCATGCTTGAAGACCCTACCAAAAACACATGTCAGATACATGAGTCCAAGTCTAACAGCCAAACAGGGGACAGAAAGGCTCTGTGGTTGCAACTCAGAGGCTCATGTACAACCGAGCAATCATCAGACAACATGATAATGGTGCGTATGCCGGTATCTGTGTGGGGACTGGGTGCCGACTGTGTCAAGAATTGCAAGTCCAAGTCTAACAACAGTACAGCCAGTATCCGAAAATTGGCATGTGAATACCGGTACGCGTACTACAGTATGTGAATAGTGAATACTAAGGCAAATTAGACCATCCAGATACTTCGAAGTACATGTACTTTGAAGTAGCAAGAAGCATTGCTCTTGCATGTTGGGAGTTTGAAGTGCCAGAACTTCACTTGCACATATACTAGTACTTTGCCACAACCAGGCAACACTGTTCTTGTACTGCATAGGACATATATACTCTGCCGAACAGCTACAACCTGCAACATACATGCCAGCATCGCCTGTAGGTGAGCGTTCGCCTCCGTTGGCGCCAGGGATGTTGCAAGGCTGGTCAAATGCTGGATCAGGGCAGGCGTTGAGAGAATGATGTTGGCAGCGGCTGGATTGTTCTCACTGACCGTCCCTAGACACTGCGCTGCAGAGCGGTCAAGAGACAAAGATATAGAAGAACAAAGCATCCCTTGAAACACTCGCAAGCAGCTATAGAACTAATCAAAGGTGCACAAACACACCTACCCACACACACAGACACACACACACACACACACATGCACATGCACGTGTGCAAACTACTCTACTCTTGCCCGCACCCACACACCAACAACAAACAGGCAGATGCTGATACACACGTGATACACACGAACAAGTACAACCTTGCACTACACCTACCTGCTGCTGATACGACAGCATCTGAGAACTGAGATGGCTGTACACACTCAATGACTGATGAAAGCAGGCCTTCTCGGTTGAACACTTCAACAGCTACAGGGCTCGCCTCACTGAATGCAGTGAAAAACACAAGAAGGTGAACATGGAGTCAAACGCATTACATGTACTGGAGTTTACCAAAACAGCCACGAGCCAACGCACGGGGATGTGTTAAAATGAGACGTTTTGTTTTGTTTTACTCGAAGTATGTATTCCAACTCATGGCGATACAATTTGCCAAGCTAACTCACATCAGGTTCAGGAGAAGATGTAGCGTCTGCTCAACGCAGCTCGACAGGCGGTCAGCTGCAAATGCTTTGTCCTTAGCTTCCACAGCAGAACCAGCAACTGCTACTGCTGCTGCTGCAGTAGCATCGGAAGCACCTGGCTCCTTCAGCTCACCAAAAGCCTAGAGCGACAAAAGAAACAGGAACAAGTGTGAAATTTAAACAAAGAAGGTCATGTGTACGGAAAATTACATTGTTGGCATTAGCATTAGGGGTGAAACGAGTATCTATTTTGACCAATCGATCACTCATTCATAATATTCGATCGAGCATCCGATTATTTCGAGTATTTTATCAAAATTCAAAAGCGCAAGATTTGTGAGTTCTCGACCAATTCGGAAGAAATTATCTGTGAACATGGAACAAAAGTCGCCAACATCTTGTACAGAGTGTAAAGTAACGATTTCATCAGTACTTTCATATTATCTCATAACTATTTACTATTACTAACGTTACTTGCCGTGGTGATCGCATCGTCTAAGTCATAAAATACTGACTCAAAGGCATGCACAAGGCATGCATACCATGAGACAAGCGGTACAACAAAAGCTTTTGAAAAATAGAATGCCAATACTAAAAAAAGCAATCGAGTGCAAATTTTCGAATACTCGCTCGTTTGAAATTTTCGAACGAATACTCGAATGTTCGAACTAATCGTTTCACCCCTAATTAGCATCCATCTGTATCTGTGCCTCCTCTGCAGGAGGACACATGTACAGAAGCCAGGGCAAGTGGACACACCCATTCCAAAAGACACTGCCCACCCGAAGCAGCTGGACTACATTAAAAAACGTTTCGGCACATGACCATCATCAGCTACAAAGAATGATCAGTGTCTTTGGGAATGGGTGCGTCCACCTGACTAGTCTTCTTACTTTGCCGAAACTGCAAGAAGTGTCGAAACCTCTCCTTACTTCGCTGATATACTAGTAGACAATAACCGACGTTCCACAAATTATTATTATTATTACTCACACATATCCGCCGGATGAGTACGCGTGGCCCATGCACCATGGGGACCCACGAATACAAACCAGCATATGTTCCCTCAGCAATACAAGCAAGCAAGCACGCAAAGATAAATGAGAGCCCAGGCAGCGAAAACAAAACGAAGAGAGATGAGGACATAGGCAACGAAAACAATTCCAAAGCATAGCCAGGGATTGAATGTGTGCATCTGGGTACGACAGTTAACACGGCTAGTGCAGCCGTACAGAGCGCAGCAGCATGAAAATACAAAAGTGCCACAGCAGCAGCCAAGAGTGTGCAAACACTAAAAAAGAAGATCAGTCCATGAAAAAATTATTGTCGCCACAGGTAGACATCTCCGGCAAGAATGCATGCGTGCGCACGAGTAGGCAGGCAGGCATGTCAGATGTAATCGTATTATTATGGCCAGGCTAATTAACAGTGCTGTTTCGCAATGAATTCCATCGGCATTAAATGCCGATGGAATTCATCATGCGCCACCTTCCGAAGCTGGGCTAGGCCAGGTCGCGACAGAAGCACAAGCCCCAGCTTCTCCCGACAATCCAGTGAGAGAGTGGTTAGCAGTGTTGTTCTTGGTCTGCCTATCCTTCCCCGCAAGGCACCAGAAGCAGCAAAATCGAGAGCGACCTGTGGCGGTGCCCCTGATGGTATCCGGAGCACATGCCCCAGGAAGCTCCATCACCTCGCCGCGATCTCCTTGGAGATGGGTTGGGTGCGACAGCGGTTGTAGAGTTCCGTGTTTTTGATTATATTTGGATACTTAATACGGAGTAGCGAGCGGAGGTGACGGCGGTGGCAAACGTCCAGAGACGTTCTGAGTGCCTCAGTGAGGCCCCAGGTAGCGCAGTTGTAAAGCAAAATGCTTAGAACGTAGCAATTGTACAGCCTCAGCTTCAACGTTAGGGAGATCCCTGATGACTGTAGAAGGCTTTGCATCCGGCCAAATGACTGCGATGCAAGAACCATTCGGTGTTTGATGTCCTCGGCAGTACCAGCTCTCGATCCAACCGACGTTGCCATCCGCCATTCTTCTTTCCCTCTTTTTTCCAGGTCTGCATCGAGGTAGAAGTGGGTCCGTTCAGTTTTCGCACCGTTGACCATCAATTGGTGTTCTGGCATCTTCAGCACGCATACGTCATGGGTTTGTTCAAGATTTTGGTCATTTTCATCGAGGAAGTCAAGATCATCTGCGTACTGAAGTTCAGGGATAGACGGTGCTAGACCTGTACTTTCTCTTCGGAACTGATGTCTCAGCTGCTGCAGAACATGTTCAAAGTAGCACGTAAACAGGACAGGGCTCAGGCAATCTCCCTGTGGTGTGCCAATGCCAGATTGAAAGGCGTCTGCAGTCTGTCCGCATACTCGAACACTGAGCGTTGTGTCTACAAGCAGCGTTGAGACCATGGCTCGAGCATCAGGTACGCCAGGCGCTGCAGTGAGGATTGATTCAAGCAGGCTGTTTCTATGCGGAGTGTCAAAGGCCTTGGAGAGGTCAATGCCCAGCTTGTTGAATGACCACTGCTTATTTTCTACTAAACTGCTGAGAATACGAAGAGTGAATACAATATCACTCGTCGACCGGCCTGGTCTGTACGCACTCTGTGAGGATGGCAGGTACTGTTCCACCTGGTGTTGAATCCGTCGCAGTGTGATACTTGACAGGATCTTTCTAACTGAATTCAGAAGAACAATTGGATATTTTTTTGGTTTTGGGTGCTGACAAGCCCATGACATTTCTCTCTCTCCTCTTCTCTTTCATCGTCTTTCATCCCTCAGCCATGACTCCACAAATTAACAATTTTTTTAAAGATTTAGAATTTATGTAAAATAGAGGGAAACACAATGGAACGAGTTCGGAAGCAACTATCCACCACTGTAATAAGGTAATAAGCAGTCAGAAAGTGCGATAACACGGCACAAAACTGCCAGGCTATTGAGACATTCAACGATCCGAGACCTAGCTCTAACACATCTCCGGTGCGCAAACCAGCAGCCTTCCAACTTGGAAGGTTCAAGGTTAGGTAGGACCGAAGAGTCAGAGTCAGGTCGTTGAATGTCTCAGTAGCCTGTCCGTTTTGTGCCCTGTTATCGCACTTTTTGACTGCTTATTACCTTATTACAGTCGTGGATAGTTGCTTCATAACTCGTTCCATTGTGTTTTTCGACTATTTTACATTTACTGCTGGCTCAGTATCTGAGCTAAATTTAGAATATAGATAATACCAAGAGTATATAACCCCCAAGAGTGTGCAACTCCTGATACCCTTTCTATGGGGTACGCCGACGGCGAAAACTCACATCACGTGGTGCAGTGTCGCAGTTGTACGTTTCCAGCCCGTTTTTAGCGAGCAGCGGAGTACTAAAAAAAGCACCCTCTGACAGAAACTCACTGCGCGTATGCAAATCCCCAGCATGATCACGGCAGATTTTCGGATTGCGCGCACGCTATCCTACGTTTGTACGTAGTACAAAGGTATCTGAGACACGTGATGTGAATTTTCGCCGTCGGAGACCCCATATGCAGAGTTGCACACTCTTGGGGGGTTATATACTCTTGATAATACCTTTCACAACCCTCAGTTCCAGCAAGGCTAAAAGTAGATGCCTGGCAGATAACATAAGCATGCCCTCAGAATAGCATCATAACTCTACATAGAGACAATGCAATTAGCATTAGAGGCGTTTGGCATGGAGTGGCATCCCAACCACTGACAAGCTACACAACACAAAGCGTACACAGTGGAGGCATTCGCATAACACCGCAATAGGCTGACCTGCACAAACAATGCGATGACTGGCGTCATCACATCTGCCGCTATCATCTGCTCGCAGGCCTTCTCGTTCTGGCAGAGCGACAGGTTCCTGTACGTAAACATAGCGCACAAAATTAAATCGGCTACAAGAGCAGCTAAACAGGACATACAACTTGTTGCATCTCTGAGCCAACACTTCCCAATGAACTACAAGAGACAAAGAACAATGTTTATTGGAAATTGACTGCACCGCACGCAAATTCTAGCCTGCTACGTCACAATACAAATACATGTAGCCGTCCAATAGAGTACAGAGATTGCTTCGTATTGAGTGGTATCATAAGAACTGGTCTGCCACATCATACAAAACGTACATGTAGTATATGATGATAAGTTGATAACTCAATACGAAGCATATCAAGGCTTGAAGTCAAGCGATGACGTAGAGTGGCATCATAAGAACTGGTCCGCCACACCATACAAAATGTACATGTATGTGATGATATCATTCAAATAGCCTCCAACGAAAGCCTGAAAACTCCGGCATAGCACTGTGGCCACTCCAATACAACAGTTCACACAGCCACCAAACTAAAGCAGACTGAAATAATTTACGGAGGACGGGTTTCCTAGAGTGTCAAGAGCATAATGTTTCGCCTAGGTCTTGACGAACAACTTACCGCAGTGCTCCAGCTGCAGCTTCTCTCACAGATCGGTCAGGGTCAACAAGCAATGGACCTATCTTGCGCACAAGATCCTCTTCCAAAAGTCGTGTTGCCGACTCCTCGTCCAAGACGATATTGGCCAGTGAGAGGCATGAGCAGTGCCTCTCTTCAAGGGATGGACTAGCAAGCTGGAAAATCAATCCACATACAACAAGAAAACTTGTTGTGACTTCCGGTTGAGCCGAACAACAGTACAGCCACACTACAAGAGCTTGATCACCCACAGGATGACATTCCGGGAAAGAACCAGGCAGAATATGAGTACAGTACAACAGTTGATAGATTAACCATACAATAGGAGCTAGATGTCATTGGTGGATTCTTTGCCGCGTGCCTACAGGACCTGCTGTCCAGTAGCAGCGCCCAAGCTGCTGACATCAGCAAATCTGATAGTGTGAGTGTACCGTAAAGTACTGCGAGAACGCCCCGTCTCGCAACAGCACCCCACCTTGATTGTACAGCCAGAGAAAGGAAAATCGCATGACAGAGTGCAACTAAGTGTGTACGGTATGAGAACCTTTGTGTACTAAGGTCACGCTTAGCATGTTGCCGTGTGGAGCTCACATATCCGTTCCAAGGTAAACTGAGTACAGATTGACTGCACAGCGTGCTATGTGGGTACAAGGTACTTGCCATATGACCTAACAGACAGGACACCACCTCTGAACACAACCACAGAAGGGAGCAAATGGCAGGGCGCTCTCGTGGTACTTAACGTTACAAGCAAAGTTGCTCATGTCGAGCCAGAGCTCTGATCCCCAGCCAGTTGGCACACCACGGTCACTAGGTAACCCAGTCATGGCATTGGGCGGACACTCGGGAACAATCATGAAACATTGATGTAAAACACTTTTTTTGAATTTGAGAGCGGATGCAAAGGCTGGGCTACGCAAGGAGAAGAAAAGAGACCACTGACAACAACAGCGTCACTCTTATCTGTACATGTAGTTGAGGAGAGAACAAGTTTGCCAATCTGTTTGCCAATCTGTTTTCCCATCGGTTGTGTGGTGAGTGCTGTTTGCCACTAAGTATAAAGTGCTGGCGATAGTTGTTCAGTCTCTAGCTAAATCAGTCTCTCTACTCTGCTCGCAGACCATTTTTGGATTGTCCCTTTGGTCAACTTAGCCTCCTTCGTCCTCCCGGTGAGTTTTTGCTGCTGTGGTTAGTCCCCTTCTCATGGTCTATATCGTACTTGTGCTTCGTTTCAACCCGCGCTGCTCTCTATTGGCTCCATGGCTGTGTGAGCTATGATGCCGGTGTCATTCTTGTATTGCGTATCACGTGTATTGATGGGTGCTTGCTGTCTGCAGTTTTTGGAGCTCCGCCCCAATCTGTCTTTGAATGTGTCCTTTGAAGCAGATAATGGATCAACATGGCCACTAACGAATGTGTCGATCTAGCGCTTCTGACCTTTGAGAACTTGCAAAACCTTGCCACCTGGAGCGGATTACAGAAAACTGACTCACTTTCCCGGCCCGACCGTGTGGCAGCGCTCGGAAAGGAGGGAATCGGTTCTAACCCCGCTACCGGAGGTACGTCCGCTAATTTAGGAGAGATAAACTCCAACTTGGCAGCATTGTCGTCTATGGTTCTTGAACTCACGAAGGAATTGTTGGCCATTAGAATGGGCAGAGATGATACTATTTCCTCACTACAAGTTGAAATTGCACAGCTCAAGCGGGAAATGGAAAGCTTGCGGGTTTCTGGGATGCCGTATTCTAATTCAAGTAGTTGTACCGTACACAGTCCCAAGCCCAGCATGCCTGAACAAGCATCTGTAGTATTAGGAGCTACCACATATGCACCCCACACAAGCACTCAGGTACCTGGCACAGGCTCGTACACCCATGTGCTTGCCCACGGATCCGCACCCTCTCGTGCACAAAAGCCTCCAACGGCGGCCACGAGGCATGACCAGAACCGTTCTGAACATGTCGTACCTGCTCCTGCGCAGTCCATGCAGCAGAAGCAACCAAACATGGATCCTCTCAGGTGAAGTACAACTTCAACGTACCAGAAACCGCGCCGCGCCCTACACGGCCTGAGAAGTCTGAACTCTGTGGTGCAAAGCACATCAAGCGTTCAGCACTCTATGTGGGCAGAATAGATCCAGGATGCTGCTCTGAAGCAATCGGCACCTGGTGCAAAAATCGCGAGGTCGAAATTATATCATGCAGTATCTCCGAATCGAAGGACTTCGGCACAGCTTACGCTCACGTGGTAATAGATGCGGAAGACTTCAGCAAGGTAATGACCGAAGACTTCTGGACCAAGGTCACAGTTCGGCCCTGGAGGTTCAGCTCTGATACCCTTTAACGATAATCCTGAACTGTCATGCTTAAACAAACCAACATACACAACGATGCAGCAACAACGACTAAATCCCAACGCCCATGTATTCACCCCACAATCGAAACTAGCCCACCCGCTCTATCCCGCTCAGCCCTCCTCTGGCCGACCCGCACACATTGCATGTTTCAATGCTAGATCAATTAAGAATAAGCATGGAGAACTTTCCGAGTTCATCGAGCAGTACAAGCCCGACGTCATTGGCATCACTGAAACATGGCTGTCTCAGCCTAACTCCCTTGTAGTTCCAGGCTACGACTGTTACGGCCGTGACCGACCCAAAGCGGACAACAAGAAGAGCACTGATAGATTTAGGGGATTTGGAGGTGTCGCTCTTCTAGTCCGCTCGGATTTTCCAGGCACAGTTAAGCATCACACTGATCTACACCTACCCCAGCCATGTATTGCTTGGAATAAAATAAAATAAATAAATAAATGTCTGTAGAAAGGAAAAGGACATATGGATACGAGTTAAGAGTAACTCTCCATCACCGTAACTGGATACTATACACAGTCAGAAAGTGCAATAACTAGTTACAGTGACAGTTACAGTTATAACAGTTACAGTGATGGAGAGTTACTCTTAACTTGTATCCATATGTCCTTTTCCTTTCTACATTTATTTATGGCTCAACATCCGAGTTTCAAATAAATGTCTTTTCACGGAAAAAGTGTTCACTGGCATTTCGCGCATCACACCTACAGGGCAGAGTGCGCTTCATACATGTGTCAATTTGTGCATTTCATATGATGCCGACAGCAGTGCGCTTCATTCGTGTGTCAATTCGTGCAATTCATATGATGCCGGCAGCTTATATATATATGGGCATGCATGCAGTGAATGTATAAAGATTGGGTAGAACGACAGGATGATCAGCAAGTACTGTAGCATGGCGAAAAACAGAAATTTAGGTCTCATGAAAATCGGTTAGGAAACTTTAGAACTCATAAGTATTGTTATATTTCGTTTTTGCTACGTATAATGTCCGCCTCGCAAATTCTGCTTATTGCTATAATAAAGATTTTTTCACAAATGTTCTTCTTGTATAAGAAAAATCCCACGCATCGAACAGTTCTGAGCTTGATATCGACCAGCCCATCGATTCATTTGAGATCTGGTCGACGATCAGTAAACATTACCACAGTACGCCATAATAGTTCGACGACTGCAAGGACACACGCACGCACACACACGCACACATAGGCATAATACCTTTTGCAAAATTGACATTTCTGAAGTAGGCTGCACTGTGTCTGCCTCCTCAGCTTCCACAACACCTGTTGGATTCACGCGTGCGGCTTTTCTGCTCGCCATACTTCCTTTTTTCACCTTGCCCATCGCTATCCGTCAACCAAACACAAAGAGTTCTACTTTCCGAAATCAAGGATCAAAGTAATTTTGTTTCAAAAACTTGAGGAAATGAGGAAATGCAATCAATCAATCTTCTTTTTTTTACGCTTTTTGACACAGGATCTAGGATCGCGATGTACGAAATAATTGTTTCTTATCTCTTTTTTTTACATGGCTGTTTTCGTCAGGTCACAGGTCACCATGGTCACACATACTCGATTGTAATTGTACCAAGAGTACGAGTACTCGTACTTCGCAGAACTCGTAGAAATCAAGAGTACGTTTATGTACTCTTATCTTATAGGCCATTCACACGACGGGCAAACTTACTTTTATCGTACCGTTTCCAAGGATATTTACTCGGATACGATAAACTTGGACACACGCGAGCAACAGATTTTTTATCTTGGCCGAGACCCTTTTGCTCGCGATTATCTTTGCACGCCAGGAAAAGTGTCGGTTGTTGAAAGTGCGTACTGCAAATGCAGTACTTGAACAAAGGAAAATTCAAAATTTAACATTTCCCGGCATTTTCGGGGAGTCACTATGGATACATTGACGGTTGCAAAGTTTGCCCAGCACCGTGTGAACTGGATCACGGTTTGCCCGTGTTATCTTGGTCACACGCGTGCAAATGTTTGCACGTCGTGTGAATGGCCTATTAAGATCTTGCGAGTCTTGGTAGAATCTGTAGCTCAGCACGTGCATGGCCAAAGAAAATGAAAAAGAACAGAAAATGAGAAAGAACCAGGATCGGGAGTCGATTTTTGACTTTTGTCTCGTATCAGGTCAGGTCGGCTAGAGTAAACTACGCCGGTACGCACCTACTCGTCTCGATCGTCATCTTGAACGCATATCTTATTATAGCAATAAAAACTGCTTTATGGCAGTTTTCTAAAAAAAGTTATTGTGTTCTAGTCCATGGAACCTGTCTAAAAAGTAAGAAATTAACGAAATGTGATAGCCGAAAATTAAAATTTCACACAAAACCTCACAATAATCACAACACTTGAGGATCTTAGTTTAAACAAAATACTGCTTTCAACACTTGTTCACGGGTGACTTGTACTGCGCCAACATGCATGAATAGGAAAGAGGACCACGAGAGGAAAAGGTCTTCTCGCTTTTCATCCTGTGTGTGATTATTGTGAGGTTTTGTGTGAAATTTTAATTTTCGGCTATCACATTTCGTTAATTTCTTACTTTTTAGACAGGTTCCATGGACTAGAACACAATAACTTTTTTTAGAAAACTGCCATAAAGCAGTTTTTATTGCTATAATTTCTTTTGTTTTTTCTGTCACCAATCAATGGAATGCCCTATATCAATATGTAAATGATGGCCTTCACATCAATACCGTATTATACGCATGATGTGCAAGCCTTTTCTTGCAGAAAATGGCACTAGCATAATGCATGTTCTTCGGCGGGGAAACATGCGAGTCGTGGTCTGGTGGTGGTGATACTTTTTTTATACGGAGGTCATTCTGTGGATGTTGCAACTTGCTGTTGCAGAATTTCATGACTGTCATAAAATTGTCTTGCCTTTCAGTTTTCCCCACCCTCGATCAGATTTATTTGAGAAATGTAGCCAGGTGCGTGTCGCAGATGTTTCTGTTGATTCTGTGTTTATAATTATGGGTTATCGTGATAAGGTCAGCCTGCATCATATTGCACTGAAATGGTAGTCCTGTTGATGCCGATACAACTTTTGGAAGTAGTTCAATGACTTCAAACTGTTAGTCCACGATTTTCTAAAACACAGCAAAGGAGGAACAATAAACATGTATTAAAAATGTAAACGAATACATTGCTGAGTCCAAAACCTCGTTCCAACAACTACACTGATCCTGAGAATAAAAGGGGCAAGGCTATGGTTGGAGGTACTGAGATAAACAAGGCACTCCACAATAATAAAATCTTACACATCTTTTGGTGAGTATGAATGATATCCAGTCGAACCTCTTTAGGACGAACACCAAGGGACCGATGGTATTTATTCTGTGAGTTTGTCTTAACCTATTTTATAACCAGTGAATACAATTATTTCTCCAATAGACATACGAATAGATTTCTTCTACAGCGAAAATGCGTACAAACTTTCGCTCTACATCATGAAGTGCGAAACTTCGCACCTTTGGACGCGAAACTTGCAGGGAACGCGAAATGAACTGTCGTAGGAAATTTCGTGAGATCGGGTCATGGCGTACATGTACGTGCACTTGGCCCGCGCAAACTACGAAAATGTGCAGAACGCAAAGTTCGTGCAAAAATTCGCACACACTTTCGCAAGGACTGTCGCGAAACTTCGTTCGAATTTTCGTTTTGTAGAACCTCTCTACTGAACCTTTCTTTAGCAACATGACGGCAACTGAAACAGCAACAGAGAAAGTACGATACATGTACTCCACATTCTTACAGGTACCACAAACAGATTGCAGACCGTAATTCTTGCTTTGGCGGCACGAAACTTTATTTGGGGCAGTGCAATCTCGGCGGTACTTACAAATCAAACAGCCCAGACTCGAGTAAACAAATCCAATCATACAAGTACGAGATTTTCATGAGACGAGACTGCACCCATTGGATTGTTTCGTATGAAACAAACAAGTTACTGAACCTCTCCACAATAGAGATTTCCCCTGATATGCGAATTTATTGTGCAAACTCGGTCAATTGGTACTTGAACCTTTCCCTCCAGATTGGGAACTGCCAACGATAGTATGCCACTAGTTGCACTGACCAGTGCCTTACTTGTAACGTACCAATGTACAATGAATATGAGTATTTCGACAACACATCTAACATAAGGCTTACCGTCAAGAAGGTGAACTCGCGTTCTTCGCACACTGTAGACAAGGGCAAAGAGATAAAAATGGATCTAAATCCGAATAAAATCAGCACACAAACCGGTCAACTTAGAGATCACCTGTCATCGAGTATTCCGTAAAAGGAGGCCTCGCAGCTCGGCAGAAGAAAAGCAAAATTTAGAAAAGAGATCCTGTCAACTTTTCCATTATTTATTGCATTCCGCCCCAAAATCAGCACACTTTTCCTGAATGAAAGAGTCAACACAAGCAAATGAATCAAAGGCAACTGGTCAACTCACCTGTCATTGAGTAATATTCCGCGAAAGGAGGTCTCAGCAGCGCCGAAACGAAATAAGCCAGGCCATGAGACGAAATATCCGAAACAGCTCATGCAAGAAGCAGTTCCAAAGAAGGAAGTTCCTCGCGCATGCACATCCGAACACGGATCCGCGGACTGCATGCACTGAACACAATGTCTGCCGTGCACGTGCACAGCACACGGCTACCACGCGTTGGTAGATCTAATACCGAGCACGTTACGTAGAGACTTACGTAGCCTAAGTGAAATACCGAGCACCTTACGTAGAAACTTACGTAGCATAGCGATGTCGTTTTTTCTGCCATGTGAACACAATAATAGAAAAGCTGACAGGATCGCTTTTCTAAATTATCTACAAACCGAAAAACTGAAGTAGTGTTGTGGGTCGGGACTTGGCCTGTCGGGGGAGGGGCAGGGCTGATTTGTAGGCCTAGGGGGTACCGGAAAAAAAAGAAATCCGACCCCCTGAGCGATGCGCTCACATCGCAAAGACCGTGAACCGTACCCACCGCGGTACCGCTCAGATCAGGGGGTCGGATTTCAGTTGCCAGCATGCATGCACTTGTATCGGTGATGATAAAACAATCTTACCTACTTTGAGCTACAGTATATGCAATGAGATAGCACATTGTTCCGATCTTGTCTGAGATCCACAAATTATTGCATAATTATTTTCTATTCAAAATTTAAATAATAACAATAATAATGCAATGAATATAACTAAATGCGCACTCATATCACAACCATGGGGACGAATCATGTATTCCAGAACGTTTTCTTGTCACAATTATCAATGGAATTCGTGACTAAAGAGAATGATGAAACTACAATAGGATTTATACACTTGCAGTGGAACAGCGAGGATACAAGCATAGTAAGAAAAATAGCACAAACCTTGGAACAATTTGCACAGGTAATAAATTATAGGTGAGGTGAGAAATGATAGGAAATTCAGCAAGTGCAGTGTGACAATGGACATGCATGTGCAAGTGTGTGTGAGTGCGAATTTACTGGAATAGCGTAAGTGCGGTGACATTTTCTTTTTGTTTACAAAGATTTGGATCACGAATGCGAATGTAGACTGCTTCTAGAACTTTCAACTGCTTGAAACTACTTGCAGAACGAACAACACTGAACCAAGAATCATCATAACTTTCACGACACACGGGGTTAGACAACAAATGCAATTTAATTGCCGATGTATTCTTCTTCTTCTCACCGCCTCCGCCTTCACTTGGTTTCTGACCGCCACCGTCCTTCACACCATCTGCACCATCATCGTCATCATCGTCACCGTCCTCTTCATCATCGCTGCCACCTTCACCTGTCGTCGGCTCTCCCAGCAACTGACCACCGGGTTCATCATCGTCACTGCACACGTCGCTTCCACACTCCTCCTCCAGGTGCCGTCGCGTTCTCTTCCTGACCGGTCTTCCCTTGCCATTGCCAAACGCCTGACAGTCGTCAACTCTTCCGTTGGCATCATCCATATCCGGAGAGTTTCGATGCATCTTTCCAGTCACCTCTGCAAACCGAGCTGCCGCCAGCCGTTTGCTCCTTCTCAGCTTTGGTGAGTTGCGGTTGTCTGCGTCCGGCGTTCCGGTACTCGCTGATAATGAAGATAAGACACAGTGTTCGTCTTTGTTTACATTAATGTTTGTTCCCAATTTCTGCGTGCTGTGTTGGTTTTTCCGAGACACCGTTTGTGGAGCAGAAGCCTCTGCCGGAACGGACAGTGGAGTTGGGTGCTTACGTGGTCGGCCACGCTTTGGTCGGGGGGACCTAGCCGCCTGTGACAATATTGAGAGCGGCACGTGTTGTTTGATACGTTCGGACAGATGTTGAAGGGTCCTACCAACATACCGACTACCACATTGTCGGTATTCAAAGTAGTAAATGAGGTGACTCAATTGTAGGGTTGGTAGGACATCCTTCAACATCGTGAACGAACGGATCGTACTGAACACGGTAACCACATTGGTGGCAAAGTAGGTTTTCTCCACTAGGGATTTCACCACACGGGCCGTGTCCTTCGATTCTTTCCCTTTCCAGGGCAAGCAAAGAAATACGCGGCACGGCAACGGTCCGATAGCTCGTTCCTTAACAACAGGTGTAGTTGTTAGAAGTTTGTCGAGGAGCTGCTGCGGGTAGCCATTCTTCACAAATACGGAGCGTAGAAAATCAAGTTCCTGTTGTAGCTTTGTTGGTGAACAAATGCGTTGTGCCCTATTTACAAGGTTACGAACTAAGTTTGACTTGTACTGGGAAGAGCAGAACGAGTCAAACCTCATGTACTGCCCGGTGAAAGTGGGTTTACGGTATACTGTAGTCAATACACCAGTCTGGGTCTTTTCGACTAACACATCCAGAAACGATAGCTTATTGGACTCTTCATGTTCACACGTAAATCTCAGTGCAGGATGGATTGTATTCAGTTTCAGCAGAAAGTCGTCAGCGTCTGCTCTCGAATCAAAGTACGTGAAGGAGTCATCCACAAATCTGACGTACAATTCCGGCCACTTATCTATCTTCGATTCACAGTACCCAACAAACACATTGGCTAGGACCGGACCCAATGGAGAACCCATAGCCACGCCATCCGTCTGTTTATACATGATGTCGTCAAATGAAAACTCCACACCACTCGTAACCATCAACATCAAGCGGCGAAAAGCCGCTTCGGACAGCCATGGTACATCTTTTATTTCCTTGTTGTGGTACAGTGTTTCAGCACAGATATTGATTGTCTCGGATAATGGTACGTTTGTAAACAGACTGACAACATCAAAGGAACACATGTGCGCAGAAGATGGAACTGGGTTCTCATGTAAGATTTCAACAAACTGGAAGGTGTCTTTGACGTTGTGCTTACAGTAGAAATCCAGCACTGGCTGGATCATCATACACAGCCATTTGGATATTCTGTATTCCGCTGAGCCAGTCATGGAGAGTATCGGACGTAGCGGGCAAGATTGCTTGTGAATTGTTGGCAAGCCATACATCCTAGGTCGCACCGAACCGATTGGCTTTATCCGTGTAAATTCAGATGCGAATATTTCATTTGTGTTTTTCAGTGTCTGCAGGTATTTCACTAGTTGCTTTTCTCGGATTAGATTTAGAGTTCGATCGTGCGTTGATACAGGGCCAAGCAACTCAAATTTGGTCCTGTCATCCAAAATTTTGGCCATTTTGGACTTATATTCAGTTCGACTTATGACTACAGTGGCGCGGCCTTTGTCCGGTCTAGTGATGACTATATCCTTGTTCGCTTTCAATTCTGACCGGGCTTTCATGTGCTCTCTCGATAATGAAAAGGCTTTCCTATCCACCGGCTGCTCGGCATGTTCCTCTGCTACAGCACGGAGGTTAGCAGTGCATACCGCTTTCTTCGATTGTGTTACCGGCACAAACTCTTCTAGTTTGCGGTAGAATAACTCGAAGTCGGTCAGGACCTGTTCTTTCATGTTGGATTTTGGCGCGGTATTCCGAAGTCAGTGCCTCTGGGAAGTAATTCCTTCTGTACTGTAGTGAGTTCAATGTTTGTGAGATTGATGATGGTGTTGGTGTTAATAGATATTGAACCAAAACGCTTGTTCCTAAGCCATTTGATATTCTTTGAATACTTAGCGATGAGTCGGGTCTGCAGTTTATCATCGTTCTCCGAAATGAGCATGGAAAAGCGGAGAAAGTCATGCTCCGAAAGAAATGCACGGGCTTGACGATACAGCCACCGGAATTGTGACCGTACTTTGCCCAAGGTATCAGTAGACCTAGCTATGTCATCTCTAATGAATGTTTTTTCGATGGCCAAAGACTGGTACGCTTTGGCTTTCTGCACTCTCTTCTGGATGGCATTAGGGCAAACGCCACAATCCAGACATTGCCGAAGAAACGTTACATTCAAGGCAATACACCTACAGACAACGCTTACGCAGCGCCCTATTCAGACACTCGATCTGATCGCATGTGTATCTCCGCTTAAAATATGTAAAAAGGCGACGTGGAGACAATAATCTTAATAATGCAATGAATAGAACTAAATGCGCACTCATATCACAACCATGGGGACGAATCATGTATTCCAGAACGTTTTCTTGTCACAATTATCAATGGAATTCGTGACTAAAGAGAATGATGAAACTACAATAGGATTTATACACTTGCAGTGGAACAGCGAGGATACAAGCATAGTAAGAAAAATAGCACAAACCTTGGAACAATTTGCACAGGTAATAAATTATAGGTGAGGTGAGAAATGATAGGAAATTCAGCAAGTGCAGTGTGACAATGGACATGCATGTGCAAGTGTGTGTGAGTGCGAATTTACTGGAATAGCGTAAGTGCGGTGACATTTTCTTTTTGTTTACAAAGATTTGGATCACGAATGCGAATGTAGACTGCTTCTAGAACTTTCAACTGCTTGAAACTACTTGCAGAACGAACAACACTGAACCAAGAATCATCATAACTTTCACGACACACGGGGTTAGACAACAAATGCAATTTAATTGCCGATGTATTCTTCTTCTTCTCACCGCCTCCGCCTTCACTTGGTTTCTGACCGCCACCGTCCTTCACACCATCTGCACCATCATCGTCATCATCGTCACCGTCCTCTTCATCATCGCTGCCACCTTCACCTGTCGTCGGCTCTCCCAGCAACTGACCACCGGGTTCATCATCGTCACTGCACACGTCGCTTCCACACTCCTCCTCCAGGTGCCGTCGCGTTCTCTTCCTGACCGGTCTTCCCTTGCCATTGCCAAACGCCTGACAGTCGTCAACTCTTCCGTTGGCATCATCCATATCCGGAGAGTTTCGATGCATCTTTCCAGTCACCTCTGCAAACCGAGCTGCCGCCAGCCGTTTGCTCCTTCTCAGCTTTGGTGAGTTGCGGTTGTCTGCGTCCGGCGTTCCGGTACTCGCTGATAATGAAGATAAGACACAGTGTTCGTCTTTGTTTACATTAATGTTTGTTCCCAATTTCTGCGTGCTGTGTTGGTTTTTCCGAGACACCGTTTGTGGAGCAGAAGCCTCTGCCGGAACGGACAGTGGAGTTGGGTGCTTACGTGGTCACCTCACCTATAATTTATTACCTGTGCAAATTGTTCCAAGGTTTGTGCTATTTTTCTTACTATACTTGTATCCTCGCTGTTCCACTGCAAGTGTATAAATCCTATTCAGGGATGAATTTACTGTCATTTTTTTGCATAGCAGTTTTCGCGACGCAAACGCCAAAATGCGTAGCAGTCCTTGATTTTTGATTAGCACTTTTTCTTCCACGAAGACCGACTAAAATTTCTCAGTCCACGGAGGGAGGACTCGTGCTGTCTGCATAGCTGGCAGAAAATTAGCGTCACCGCTGCACCTGTAGCTTTCTCAGAACCAAGCCATTTCTTCTGGACATCGACCTCTGCCACCCACTTCTCAAAGGTACTCTGTCGTACAGACATGTTGGAGGCAGAACCAGACTAGACAAAAACTACAGCTTGGACAATTGTCAGAGAGAAGGACGAACGTGATACCAAAAGTTCCTCACGACCAGAAAGACCGACTGGCTACAAGCAGAAAGCTATAATGTCACGAAAAGAGGTAAGTGAACCAGAAAGAAGAAAACAAACAACAAGACCTCCGCCGGGATCGTGGAGGAAAGATGATGCTTGTCAGTACGGAAAGTACATGAACTTACTGGTCACGAATTCCATTGATAATTGTGACAAGAAAACGTTCTGGAATACATGATTCGTCCCCATGGTTGTGATATGAGTGCGCATTTAGTTCTATTCATTGCATTATTAAGATTATTGTCTCCACGTCGCCTTTTTAAATAATAATAATAAATTATTTTTATTAGGCCAAAACAAAAAATAGGCTTGTTTCCGGTCGGCACCCCTCAAAAAGGAGACTCGGTCGGCCGGAATGAATACTTTTTTTTGGTTCCTCAATCGTTGTGGTATTGATGGACAAGAGCACCTTCACATGTACATTGTACATATATCATGGCAAGGATCAATATCAAAGTTGACTGACTCACTGTTCTTGTAATTGTACAGCATGTGGTGTATTCCTGTTTTCGTACATCCTGAGAAATCAAGCAAACAGTTCGAGTCCTTCCAGCTCCGTTATTCTAGCTCGTATCGACCCCATAGGTTTTCGAGCCGACAGCTGAGAATCTCTGCTACCTTGTAGGTGTTTCGATTGTGGAATTCGGTTGAGATTTGACGGAGTTATGACTCGTTGAGTGCACTTGCACACATGGCATTGCCACCGTTTGTATACATTTGGGACCAAAAAAAGTTTCAGAATTTGGGGAAAAGTGGCCCGGTCGGGCGACCGGAAACAAGGTCATTATTTGTTTCTGCACCAAGTCCAAGGTACCGGCCGGGTGTACTGGTTTGGTAGTATAGTGGTACACTGGTAGTGGTACATGGTGTACCTAGAATGGGTACAAAATTAATAATGCTACCGTATACGTACACCATGTATCATGGTACACGCGGCGTAGTGCGTGTGTGCACATGTACATGTGGGCAGCAAGCTTTGCAAAACAAACAAGCAACAACAACTCCATGAAGCCAAATGCAAGGTTGATTGAGTCACAGTAAAAAGCACTGAATTGCACGTGTGAGGAGAGGCAACAATCCCTCCCGAGTCCTGACGTGAGGTGTGCATGCAGGCCGTGCTCAACGAAAAACGATTGACTCACTGGATTAAACGCCACCTATAAAAATCCCACACTACATTTAGCAAACTTTTCTACACTAGCGTTCCTCCTCTGGTTGAATTATAATGTAGTAATATAGCGGATAATTGCAGAGTACAACAGGATCCAGCATCACATTCTCATTCATATGTGGCATAGGTTTGGCTGACTATACCCCACGGCCGTGTAGTTGGTGCAGGCATGACTGACGTCGTGGAGCAATGGCAGGCTCTAACAGGGCCGACCAGGATGGTTACAACTGTGTTTTCGTCGTGGCTATTCTTCTTCGCATCTTCCCTGCTTGTATCCAAGACGAGCATGTTCGAATGCCCAGCGAAAGGCCAGGAGTGGGTCTGGAAGAATCGTTGGATTTCGTGGCAACATGCGGCCATGATCTCCGTTCTGACACTGTACAGGTAATGAAGGCATGATATCGATAAAGCAATCTATGCCATAGCAGCTATTTTTGTAGCGAATCTTATCAGTTTATTGATTGCAGTTTTTTATTTCATGTTTTAATGCCCAAATCACTGAAATCAGTAAAAAAGTTGTGCTGCCTGAGACTAAAATGTAGCATAGGCTCAGACTCGGAGAGACAAGCAGAAACGATTCTCATCTTGCGACCCCTTCCTCTCTATAAGCCAGCGTACGTTGGGGGAAAGTACCCCTTGAGCTAATACTTTTGCTGCATACTCGTATGTTGACAGTGCCTTCCATATCTTTTTGCCATTTCACAGCCATAATTATAAAAAAAAAGGTAGCCATTCAGCAAACAGGGCCGGAGGCAGCTCCCGCGGAGCGGTGCGGCCAAAGGGCCATCTTTAAGGGGGTCTGGGGGTCCTCGCCCAGATTTTTTTTGGAATTTAGACGGCAAATCCTGCACTCTGGGCGACTCCCTGTACAAAATCATACATCGAAACTTTTTCTCCCCGGTTTTGGACGTTCCACGTGGACCGACTTTTTTGGGAAGTTGGTACGGCCATAGCCGTACCAGTGGCGCCGGCCCTGGCAGACAAGTGAATATACTACAGGGAGAACAGGAAAAGCACTAACGTCATCAGACAAGACCTATAGTATAATAGTACTGTTTTTCCTATTTCTGAAATAGTAGACTTTGCATGCAGCCGAGCTGATGAAATCTCAGTACATGTATATCATCTACCTGGGGCACATCCATGACAATGCCATCGCAGGCGCTAGGCGCTATGCTTCAACAGATGATGGTGTTCAACGTAAACGCAAACAAAAATAAATCTGTGTCTCCGTCCCCGAAGGAAGTCACGATGGTCGTTGAGACGTTGACACCTGGGATAATCCAGCGGCAGATCCGAGTGCGGCTTGCGGTGGGGAAATGGTCCATGATAACTCTTCCTAGGTCACCTGACAACTATGTACTAGCACACTGAATGTGCAAGGCCGCTATAAATGCATTCGACATGATTGTAATGATTCAGTATTACGTCACTTTATTATCAGGGGACCTGTGTACCCGCTATATCATACACACAGTATGACATGCCATGGTGCTGCCGGATCAAACAATAACTGCTTCCGGCGGTCCTGGTCATATACAGTGCTGCATCGAACTTGGAAAGTATCTCTTCCCAGCACTAGTCACATCTGTGTGTTAACTGTTTTAAGCCAAGTTCACATTCCGACGCAACGCTGGCCGTGCATGATGCAAGAGCCTGTCAGGAAGGCTGGGGCGAGCTGCAAAATATTGTGCTGCATGACAGGCAGCAGCCATTACAAAGCTCAACGTCAATTGGTACAAGCCGAAGGCGTAAAGTACGACCCATGACGGTTTGAAATTCGGCCCTAATTGTTTGTGGCAACAATTTGGGCAATGTTTTATACAGTGGGTCTGAACATCACTTTGTGTTTCTTCTCGCGTCTCCTCGCAGTTTCTTCTCGTGTGTGAGTGAGTTCTGGCATGACACTCTTGTAATGGTTGACTATCACAGCTTCATGATGCAACTCACACTTGCAGTATCAATTGGTAAGCTCCTTTTTATTCAAATGAATACAACTGCGTTGCCATGTAAACCATGTGACTATTGTTCCTGGTGGGATTTTGGACACATATAGGTGTGAAGTTGGACTCCCGCTGTCACCGAACCTTGTCAGCTAAAGCGCTGTTGTGTTTGTTTTTCTTTCTTCTCCTGCGATGTCCGGACATTCATGTCCAAGGTGTGAACATGTATTTCACTGTGTTGTTTCTGTGCCTGCCTTCCTCTCTTTGGAGAGCTGCAGGATGTAGTCGTAGCCACACCATATATAGTCTCTGCATGCATGTTGCTCAATACCAAATCCGTGCCCGTACAATTGGTGAACATGCATATACAATGCTACCGTTGCAGTGCAAGTGAGATCGAATTTCACAAATATGCCAGTACCTTTGAAAAGAACACAGCCCAGTCGCGGCTACGTGCTGCACAGTACTAAGCTCAACACAATTACCGTTAAGTACCCAGAGTGCCCCACCATCTCGTCCTTTTCGTGGCCGCGTTGTGGAGGTGGTCTGCTGTCTGCAGGTCATATGACACGAACCGTGTACTTGTACACATATTGCACGTTGTGCAGTCAATCTGTACCTTCGATTGGACACGAGCTCCACACAAAAACCTGCTAAGTGTGACCATAGTACACTAAGGTTCTCACACCCGGTACAAATTTTTGTTGCACTCTGCCATACGATTTTCCTTTCCCTGGCTGTAAAATCAACGTGGGGCGCTCTCGCGAGACGGCCCAGCTTTGGCGGTACTTTACGGTATTAGTATACTAGCAGAACCACTTCCTGCTATTACATTGTAGTAGTAGCATTCATATTTCATCTACCAATGCACTCACGGGAAAACAGTGGTGGGTTTCATAGTTGGAAAGAACACGCATTGGCTGGGGTTGTCGTAGTGGTTCACGTGTGGGGACATGCTTAGCAATGTGTGGTTCAACGCTTTGATGCACAGGTACAGTTGTGTGAGAATATAGTCACATAGATCACGCAGTCCGCGCGCACACACACACGCGCGCGCACGCACACATGCACGCCCCCCCCCCCCCCCCCAAACACACACACATTGTGGAGCCTGTACTTGTTCTCATTCTGCGTTCTATGCCCTGTTCAGGTTACTTTCTCCACGACCTAACAGATAATCTGGTGTATACGTTCAACGGGAGTCTTGAAGGCATTGCGGTACTTGCGCATCACCTTGTGGTAAGCACGTCTTTGTCAGCAAGAATGCTGGAAAAGTTCTCTTACTGTCAGTCTATATCCATCTATATAAATAATTATCATGTCTGCATGAAGCGTAGCTTATCTGCTCCCCTTGCCTTGATCAGTTTGGGGAGTCACTTATGAGGTTCTGTTCTGTGTGACCAAAACGTGACACGAAGACTTGAGCACTCGCTTTTCGTGCTTCATGTGTCGTACAGAACATGTTTTGCTCTACGTTCATACCACGAAATCACGTGGAATATGTAGTGGAAGTTTACCGGTCCAAATGTGTTGGTTTTCTGTTGGCCTGCTGCCACATTTGAATGATACTTTAGCAGATTTGTACTCATTTTCTTTGCATGCACCAGAACGTAGAGATCCTCGGCTCCACATAGAAACCTGGACCCAGAACACACGAAGCTGTAGGCTCTAACCCAGACACCTAATCTTTGTGTGATGTCGTATAGTGTTGTCATAGTTAGGACTTTTTACTCAGTTTTTAGACATTGATGTTCAGATGACCAGCCACTTTTCTTCATCTGTGTGCTTTTCTTTCACTTTTCTCATTCAGGCTATCATCATGTTTGGCATATTCACCTGGATGGATCACTACTGCTGTTTCATTATGCTGGCAATTGCCACAGAAGTCAACAGTGTATTCCTGCACCAGCGCAAGCTTCTGCAGCTGGCTGGTTACGAGATCACAGACCAGGTTTACATTGTCAACAATGTCGTCAACGTCGTCACGTTCTTGGTGTTCCGCGTCGGTGGCCAGCTGTATATGAAGTACCTGATTGTGTTAGTTGTTCCCTTCACCAATCCGGTATGTACAGGTGCATTGTGCTCACTTCATGGTGCATTCTTTTGTATGCTGTTTTTGTTTGGGGGTTTTAATGGCAAGAAAGCATGTTGGCGTGTTACACTGTACTGTATCAGCTGGCCACGCTGCATGCGATTGGTATGCAACTGTTGCAGGCAAGAGTGCATAGCCCCAGCGTGTACAATATTCGCATGCAGTGCTGTCCCGGCAGGATTTCAAATTGACATCATGTTTATGATGCGGTTCTCCAACGTTGGTACAGATGTATCAACGCATCACACGTTTCTGTTTTCGCAATTTTGTAAATGACGATATGTCCACCACCAAGAGTGTGCAACTGCCTGCACGGCCTCTACTCATACCAGTGCTGTGACAGCAGAACTTCACATCACATGATATGGTTCGAAAGGTTACGTTGGCATACAGTGCAAAGTGACTACATGTACAACGTGTGTGTGTGTGAAAAAAAAGAAAAAAAATAGGGATTCACTGGCCAGAAAAAGCCACTTCAATCAGCTGTGTGGTGGATACCAGGCTAAAATTAGTGGCGGTCAATTCATCAGCCTTGCAAGCTGTTGAATGGTGTAATCCCAGCACAAGTTGCTATGTCTAACATAGCTGTTCGCTATCATCGCTTCCGCGATGGGCAGGTTTTGAAGTGTGTGTGTGTGTGTGTTTGTGTGTGTGTGTGTGTGTGTGTGTGTGTGTGTGTGTGTGTGTGTGTGTGTGTGTGTGTCAGGCTTTAGGCTGTCCCGACAGAATTTCAAGTTGACGTCATTTTTATGATGCAACTGTACACGGATGATCAGACTAATCCAGAACGTGTGGTGGACCAAAGCCCATCTGATCCTGTACAAATAATTATTGCAGAGAAAAACGTGTGATGCATTGACACCCGTACACATGTTGTAAATCACTGGTGCAAGGAGAATTGCATCGTAAATAATGACGTCAACTTGAAATTCTGTCGGGACAGCAGGGTATGTGGGAGTTGCACACTCTTGGGGGGTTATGTACTCTTACTGACAGTTATGTGTAACCAAATATGGATCCTGAGTCCTGACCAAAATGTGTAGTACACACACTGCAATAAATATGCCTACGTTGCGTTTTGATATCATGCATGCCCGGATCATGTTGTTTGGTAGCCACTGCACCACATGCATGTCTTGACTATAATTATGTACCACCACAACATACCCGGAACTAATCTTCGCTCCGGAAAGTAAGTGCGCAGTGCCTGGGAGTGAGTACAAGACTGGTTTTGTGGAATTTACCATGGGAGTGCTTTCCCATGCATGCTCCCTGCAGATGTATTGTACATTGTACCAATGCTTACATTTGATGCAGTGGGCATGCCACTACTAAGTATAGCATACAGAAACCAAATGCTGCACGTACATCTGCATCAGCTTTGGGTACTAACAAGTCACAAAGTCTAACGTTTTAACGACCCATTTTTTTTACATTATGGCGAACCCGGTTTGAGATGTCTGTGTAAAGATGCGCATACAGATGGGTGGCCAAGTAGCCATCATTAAACTTTCTGCAGGTCATCATGCCAAAATTACACAAACGTTAGACCTTTTGGTCGTTAAACTTTCCGGTTTTACAGTAAGTGGCATTTTCCGTACACTTCCTGTTCGATGAGTCACGGCAGCCGTAGTGTTCATATGCAGCCGTGCACTGCATCAATACGACATGGGACAGCTAGTCAGACATGAACATAACCGATGGACTGTACTGAACTGAGTCCATGTGCGGAGTTGAGCACATTCTGATTCAAGTACAGTGCTGCTCAATGAAATCCGGCTGCGTCACTCAAGTACGTGCCTGGCGTTGCGCAGCCCTACATGTAGACCTGCGAACACTGGGCTGCGAAATGGAGCAAGGCGCAAACTTGAGTGGCGCGACTGGATTTCATTGAGCAATACTGTCCTTATTGGTACAGCTGTAATTCGTTGCTCTGCTTTTTTTCCTAATGTGCTACGTCCAGATGTTCTGGGGGCCAGGCCTAGCGGCGATGGTGTCTCTGCAGATTGTCAACGTTGCTCTGGCTAACTCGTTGTTCGTCAGCGATGTCAAACGCTGGCGCAAGCTGCAGCAGCTCAGGCGTGCGTCGGACAGTGGTGAGGACGAAGCGACATCAGCGTCGTCATCCACACCACTGTCCCGGAATGGACACGATCTTGGTACTGCAGCAGCAGCAAGTGGCACATCCACACCGACATCAACCAAAAAGAAAAATTAAGCTCTCAAAATCTCCCGCTACCCTCCTGCGAACCACCATAAAATATGTTCTTGACCAACTCCTGTGTTTCCAGAAAGTTCCTAGATCCTGCATTGCAGTGATACTGTGTATTCCATATATTTTCTAATAGTAGTAGGTTTTATTTTCCTAGGTTTTCAATTTATTACGGAATTCGTTGGAGATACGTTTGTCAGGTTTGCGTTGTATATACTGCACTCTTGCATTCCCGACTGATCTCATTGCTCTGCCGGGAGTGCCTCCACACTCGTTTCATTGGGTCGCGTGGAGTTCCTTCACACTCGTGCCTTGATGACGGCTGAATCTTACTTTCACCCACGCTTTCTTGAAACTGTACTTGAGTTCAGCAGTTACCTACAGGTGTCCTACAGAATGGATTGCTCTCAGCTACAGCACTAGAGAGAAGACGTGTGTTACATACAGTGCGTGCCTATTGCTGGAAATTTAGGTTGTAAGTTTGTGTCGATACTTTTAGTGACAACCTGTGAGCAATTTTCACTGTGAAAATACATCAATCCATGACATGGCCCAGCCTAGACATCGATCAACACCAATCAACTAATTTGTTTATTATATGAAATTTTTGACAGATGGATGTACCCGCTGTGCGAGTTCTGATCTGGAATTGAGAACTACGAATCCGTCCACCGTTGTATTGCTGTGGTGTGTGGGTGTGTTTGTGTGGGTGGGTGGGTCGAGGAGAGATCTGGTTCGAAAAATTAATATTGATAGCTGAAACATCAATCCATTCGGGCTGTCGAGTCATTTTTGTTCAAGGGGTGCATGGTTTGGTGGGGTAGGGTCAGAACTGAACTTTTTCGTTCTGTGGAAATTATCGATAAAGCCTGATTGCCCCCAACCCTCTAGAGTTTATAGACTCCTGATAGCATGGCATACTGCATGCACTGCATCAACGAGAGAAAAACAAAACTCGAACGATTGCACCTGCCAGATCTAGTAAGGCTTGAAAGTGAGGACGTCAAAAAACATCCAGGGAGTAGTAAGTTGACATCAGATTTCTATTTTGGATCCACTAAGGTGTGACTTTGCTATTGCTTCAGTATGTGGGTGCATAGCAACCCACTTATGTCGTATGCATGTGTGACTTTTACTTCGCCACCAGTTGTCACCCCGCCGCCATTAGCCAAATCAGTCAGTTTCACTGGCTACATCACCTTGCTGTGAGTAAGACCGCTTGAAATGTGCTTGGATCCATACAAAAACTGGATCCAAGTGGATCCAGTTTTTGAATATTTGAAATTGTTGCTATGCTGTGACGTAGAACTTTCAAGCCCTATACTAAAGGGGAAGTACTAATATACCCTGAAATCAAATTTCACCAGTTGACACAGTTGTAGTCTTCGGGGTGCTGAGTCGAATGGTCTTCTGCGATTCCGCGGCTGCGACAAATTCCGCAATTTTCGTGACTTTCCGCGAATCTAGCATTTTCCACGGAAAATGTGCAATTTTCTTCATTTTGCCTCAATTTTCAGTGAATCCGTGAGCCCATGCCATGGCCCACCCTGTACAGACTTTCATGCATGGTGTGTTCTGTGCGCTTAGCTATGTGTACTTGGTGTGTGCAGAGCGTGTGGCTGTGAACGTTTGTCCCCAGGGCCGAGCTTTGACATCGCACTGTTCTTGGCGCTTCGAAATTTCTTCCTAGATACTCCATTCACGTTTTTGTGGTCCATAACTATGGTTGCAAGATACTGCACAGTTTCGGCAAATTTACTATATCTGGCCCACATTTTTCACTCTTTTCGCCTGCAATTTCTTGAGTTTTTCACCGCGCTTTTCCAGGGGGACAGGGTCGTGGTCCGAAGAACGAAATGGCGCTTTTGGGGACATTTTGCATACAAATCCCCATCTAGTACAGTAGAGTCGCGCGCTGAAGAACATGGAGCCCAAGAACGTCCAGCCTGAAATTCTAAGAACGCAACAGCCTAAAGCTAAGAACGGCGGTGTTGGTTTTCTGGCATCTTGTGGGATACATATGATCCAGTACGGATTGTTTCTAAGAACGTAGCCAGATTTCATGAAAAATAAGAACATCCCAGGCTAACCCTTGGAAACAACGTTCTTGGGCGCGCGACTCTACTGTAGGGCGCAGTCACTCAGTTTCGGTGGAAGTGGCGAGTTCGATTGGGAATAAAGGAGGGAGCGTCTCAGCTTCCTCAGACCAAGACAATTCGACTCAGCACCCTGAAGACTACAACTGGTGAACATTTGATTTTAGGGCATACTTCCGCTTTTAGGCGTGCGTACAGTATCTGCCCAAGAGTTTATCTCTTGAGTGACAGATTAAAACTTTCCACCAGCCAATCCTATACTGTACTAAGTACTAGTATAGGACTTGGTTTCTGGCTAAAATATTATGATGTACAATCTATACAAAATATTTGCTGAAATGAGTTTCATGAGGTGTTTCCCATACACTCCCACGGGAGTTTCTCGGTGGTCAGGCAATTTCCGGGTGTAACTTCCGTCCTGGTACTGTTTTAAAGCACTGGATGCGCTAACCTGTGGCGGCTTTATTCGATGAATCATAGACATCTGATGATCTGTTCGTGGTATCTTTGCACTCATTCAGCATACAGCACTTCTCTTATTACTTTCCCTGGCAATTCTACAACCATCTGCACGGCAGCATCCATTACAACACTCTGAATACTGCAGAACACTCAGATCCTAGAGGATCTACCAGAACACTGACGTGACCTCACTACATGTAGTAAAACATCAAGCGAAAATACTGAGACTCTTGCAAACAGAACTGCAGAAGAGAAGCAACTGACATGATCCTGCCCAAACTGCAAAATTTAAACACTGTCTTGAAGCTTGTCTTTTCGATTCGGAAAAAAAATAAGCGATGTCCTTTCCCCGTTAACGCGTTACCATGGGGAGCAACAAAGACTTTGCCAAGCGCAAACAAAAAATACACAATTCTTGACCTGAAAAACGGTTTTTGTAAAAATGCATTGCGAAAGGACCAAAGCACAGAGCAAGAAGGGTATCAAAGACAAACGCACCGGCCGGGTCGAGAAACATTTCATTGTTTTGAAGTAAACAGTTACAAAGTACATGTAATTGGTCTTGCAGTCTTGCACTTGTTGGGACTTGAACAAGAACTTTTCCCACATAACTTGTTGCTTGCTCTAGCGGAGGATACACCCTTGCTTTCTGCGGACTGGATCATGTTATAGCGCGGAAGTCTGGCAGATTAGAATGGCTGCCCAAAACGGGCATGGCGGCAGTGATTCGGCTGGACAGCAAGCTCCACAAAGTCCAAATTACCAACTGAAATTCACTCTGAATGGACATTTGAAGGCTGTCAGCTCAGTTAAATTTAGTCCTGATGGCCTGTGGCTCGCGAGTGCGTCTGCGGACAAAATGATAAAGATATGGGGGAGCCAAGATGGAAAGTTTGAACGTACCATTACTGGCCATAAGCAAGGAATATCTGATGTTGCCTGGTCAGAAGATTCAAAACTGCTCGTGTCCGCGTCGGATGACAAGACTCTGAAAATATGGGAGGCTTCCAGTGGCAAGTGCCTGAAGACGCTCAAGGGCCACTCAAACTACGTCTTCTGCTGCAACTTCAACCCGCAAGGGAATCTAATTCTGTCCGGATCGTTTGACGAGAGTGTTCGAATCTGGGATGTAAAGACGGGCAAATGCTTGAAAGTTCTTCCAGCCCACTCCGACCCAGTGTCCGCGGTGAATTTCAATCGTGATGGTTCGCTCATTGTGTCCTCGAGCTTTGACGGCCTTTGTCGAATCTGGGATGCAGCCACCGGTCAGTGTCTTAAAACACTAATTGATGATGACAACACACCAGTAGCGTATGTGAAGTTTTCACCAAATGGCAAGTACCTACTGGCAGCAACACTGGACAGCGCATTGAAACTGTGGGACTACAGCAAAGGCAAGTGCCTAAAAACCTACACTGGCCACAAGAACACCAAGTTCTGCATATTCTCAAACTTCTCCGTGACGGGTGGCAAATGGATTGTCAGTGGTTCGGAGGACAACATGATCTACATTTGGAACTTGCAGACGCGTGAGGTTGTGCAGAAGCTTGTCGGCCACACAGACGTAGTCCTGTGTACAGCTTGCCATCCATCGCAGAACATTATTGCAAGCGGTTCACTTGAAGAGGACAAGACTGTCAAGATCTGGAAATCAGATGTGTAACGTGGCGAATGACTTCCAACGACGTTTGCAACAAAAATCTTCGCTCTGTACTGTTTTCTATCGCGAGGCATGCTGCTTTTGAATTCTTGTGGTCATGTTTAGTTGATGCGGCACTGGTGGTGCCCCTACCGCCCTTTCTGTCCTTACAAAGGTTTTAGTTTACTTTGAGTGGTGCACACAACATGTCCGTGATTTTCTTTGTCGCTCCCCTTCTTTTGTATTTAGGTGCTCTTACCCACACTAGCTGTATGTTGTTGTTTAGGAGTCCATGCATCCACTGTGTGTCTGCTGAAACTGTGATGCGTTGTGCTGCTCAATGTGATTTGTTCTTTTCTTCTGCATGCTGAGTTTCATACTGGTAGTTTTTTTTAAAGCATTTTTCTCATCAATGTGATGCTGATTTGTGAGAAACAAGCATACTACTTTCCACCTGTGGGAACCAACGCAAGGAGAGCTGTGCTGCAGAGACTCCACCAGCTTACTGGCGTCGGTGTTGGCTGATTCACACATGTTTCCATTGGGGTGATGTGAAGTCAGGCGCTCATTCAACTCTATTGCACGTGGCTTCTGATGTGGATGTTTGCTGTGGATATTGAAATCCGGTGGAATGACTGGGGCCGGCACCCTTACTTGCTTAGCACGTACCGGCACTGTAACACTGCAACAGTGAACCAGCAGTGCTCACGGTTGCTAGGCCAGCGCCCCGTGGCCACTTGACTTCTCAACGGATTTCAATGTCCGCAAACGTGTGGTGCAGATTTACCCTAAGCAGCAAAAGCGCCTGTTATTCGCAAGACTTGAAAGAAAAACCCTGCGCGGGACCGCCGGAAGCAGTGTTTGATTGGTCCGGTAGTATTGTGGCCTTTCATGCTTTCATGGGTATCGAAACGTAGGACAGATATGCCCTCTGCAGTACTAAGCACATGTTGCTGGCTATTGGCCAATGAAGTTGGTCCGGTAATAACCTGACCAACCGGAGCGGTTCCGGTGGGCCTGCGGCATAGCACCGACCTACTTCAAATAAATGTTTTGCCTTCCCTTGCTATCTTGTATTACCATGATAATTGAAGTTAAAACAAAATCCTGGCCGAGCTCCCACCGGATTCACATGAATCATTAAAAAAAAACAGTCTTACCCTAGGTTCAGTGCTAAATGACCGTATCAGAAACTGTAAGCCTACTAGGGGTGATCGCAAAAAAATGTGTCGAACGAACATTGTTCGTTTCGTACTCGGACCTGCTCCCCTCCCTCTGAAACGAACGCAGCTTGCTATGCTGGACGACGAAAATCACCTGCATGTACATCCTACATGCACATATCATATGTACCGTGTCGGTCAAGTGATTAGTTACTTGCGATTTTGGCTCGCACCCCCTCTTCCCTCCTCCCCCCCCCCCCCACACACACAAAAAGAATGATGTTCGTTTCAGGGACGACAAAAAACTTTTGCGACGACCCCTATACTAGTATTATAATATGGCGATAATGGGAATTCACATGCATTTTTCTCCTTTCGTACAAGCAGCAATGCGCGACAGAACTTACTTTGGTACTACAGTGAAATGACAATGTGAACCAGTGCAGGATGCAACAAAAGCTATGACCTAAACAATAAAACTTCGCCATCGGCTGGTTTACCTGCACGCTCTGGTTTATGTACTCTTTCTACTGGGGATGAGTTTTTAGAGGAAATATGATTACTATTGCCTTGCCAATGTTAATGGTACTGTAATAGACTTAGTGGCATCATAATTATGCCAGGTCTCTGTCCCTTCCCCCATTGAAACATACAGTAAAACTCCCCTAATCTGGGCAGGCTGGGACCGAGCACTGCCCGTAACTCAGAACGTACTTACTGAATGCAAGTATAATTTTATCCAAAACCTGTCCCCTTGGAAAAAATTCTGTGGCTGTGGCAAGTTACGCAGAAATCACTATCACCCGAGGAAATAAGTTCAAATAAAGGAAATCACACGTTGTCCCCGAGGAATTTTGCCCGTATCGTACTAGTACAGTCGACTACTGATTACGAACACCATTGTGCACGAGAGTTACAGCCGACTCCTGATTTAAAGACTACTGATTACGAACACCATTGTGCACGAGAGTTACAGCCGACTCCTGATATAACGAACACCATTGTGCAGGAGAATTAAAGTCGACTACTGATATAACGAACACCATTGTGCAGGAGAATTAAAGTCGACTCCTGATAATAATTATTACAGTATATAACAAACACCATTGTGCTGGAGAACTAGTTCTTTACAGCCGAAGTTCATTATAACAGAAATACACGTAAGTACTTACGCTGTGGGTTCAAACTAGCTAAACTGGGACATGGACAACGGTTCGCTATACCACGAAATTCGATACGCAAGTTCGTTTTAAGTGCAGTCAACTGTATTACAATGGTTATGTACGCTTGGCAGTACTAGTAATCATTACTAACCACAACCCCCAGTACAGGGTATGTACTCTTGGTACTACGCAGAAAGCAGCAGAAAAGCTATTGCTCTCTTGCCAGTGTATACATAGGTGAGTGCAGGTTTCTCCAAGTTTGTCTTGGCGAAGGATAGTGTAAAAAGTACATTATAACAAGTCGTCATATCCTCTACGAGGATTGTGGAAACCCGCAGAAAGTGCTGCAGATTTTCATCTATAATATGCTACAGAAAATACCGCAGAATAACCCCATTTCCCGGCGGAATTTGGAACGTTTGTCCGCGTTTTTCCAAAGCTAGGGACAGCCCGCAATAGTTTTTGGGACTGTTTCTCTTTGAAAAGCCAATTTTCGTGACTAGCTTGGTCAGAAAGATGCCCAGTAGACTGGGGAGTTTTACTGTATGCGATTTGAGTTACGGACATTGCAGGAAGTGATGGACAATGACTAGCCCGAATAAGCAAGATGTGTGTGGGTAGTACACAAATTAATAGCCAGATAATGTGTGCACAATGATTGTCATGTAGTTATTATCTACTTCGAAGTATGTTACTATTGTTTCATGCATGAGATGTGAATGCCATAGAACTGGGAGTGGGACAATGCACCCAAAGGAGGGGTCCGAGTAACTGGACCCCTCGACACACAAGTGGAGAGATGTTTTTTTTTAATGGGAATGCTTAGCGCTACTTCAAGAAGCAGTAGCTGACTCCAACGTTGGAGAGCGTAGCCCTTCTAACGGCAGCATATCAGCCAACACCACAAAGTGCTTAATTTGTACAGAACATGTTTGCTTTTTAAGTTGGGCCTAGCACAACAGCAGCGGGAATCCTACTAATGAAATGGGGAAAATGGACAGTGAGAAGTGGCGAGCCATTCACAACGGCAATCCGGAGCAAGATGTACCGAAAACGTTAAACAAAGAATTCTCGCCATTCTGCCCGTTTGATGAGCTCTAATGTGACTGGACAAGCAACAGGTAGCCAAGAGACGATGATAACAAGCCGATCAGACGCGGGGAAAAAAGAAAAAAAAGAAAGAAAGAGCAAAGACAGAAGAGGCATGAGGGAAGTATCAAAACAAAAACAAAAAAAAGGAGTTAGACTCCCTGTCTACTAGTGAAACCAACACTATCATGTGACACAGTCATCCTATGAGTGGCATGCTATGCAGCACGTGTGCAGATGAAACATATTACGCAACATTCACAAGATGTGCGTACATGTGATGTATACAATGAGTGCAAACGAGCACGATTACAAGTTTCCATGAAATTACGAGGACACCTACACAAGAGATACAAATTGGTACATAGACCAACAACTAACCGAGAGCACTCTCAACATAAAAAGAAGCGAAAGTTCGGAGGTGACAAGCAAAATCACCGCAAAGGAATCGGTCAGTCAGTTCCGTTATGTGCAGCAATGCCTAAGCCAAAATCCAAACATCTAACATACTCTACAACAACATCACCCATCACCCGCCAAATCAAAACTCAGCAAACTCAGCTGCAAACTTCTCTGTGCCGGAAATCCGCAGAGGCTCCTCATCATAATCGTCGAAGTTACTGCAGTCGCCAGCTCCCTTTGTCTTCGGGATGAAAGGTGCATCGATCTGGTAACACAAGAGGAAGGAGAGAACGAAACATGCAAGTCTTGCATCAAGAAAGGCAAAAAACGCAACACGTACAGTGTACGTGCACCCCCGATATCCTATAACCCTGCAGATGGACGAACGGGTCTCAATGGCGTAGAGCTGGTCCTCCTGCCTATAACTCTCCCCGTGTTCGCGCTCACTCTTTCCAGCAATGAATGTCATCTGCAATGGCGGACCATCACCTTCTATCATCTATGAGGAGAGAGAGAGAGAGAGAGCGCAGGTGGTGGTGGTTGATCCACAGGATAACGGCCAACCAGAAAGGATAGCGGGAAACCAAAGTGACTTTGTGGCACTGCGTTGCTGATGCGTATGCATCCCTTGGTGAAGCTGACGACTACCTACGCAAGAAATCTCTGCGAACGTACCGTGTGGATGCTTGGACATAGCATGCGTTGTGTTTTCATCAGGATGTGGTAGAATCTTAACCGCAAGGTCAAAATCTCCGTCAACAACAGCCAAAAAGTGCCTATGGTTCGAATCAAAGGTCATTGTAGAATTGAAATTAGTATCTCCTCTCAACCATATCAAATGAACAAAAACACTACAACCTCTTTTCACGAAATGCGCGTGTGAATGCCACTTGTGTTTCCCGCCAAACCCGCCCGAGTGAATGCGCCCTAACATTACAATGGTTCGGTCGATAGTGCATGCATGATTGTGACAACACGGCATGTACTCTTGCTGTTGACAGATATTACAAAACTCTAGTGCCTGTTTCGGTGTGCGTGTAAGTGTCTGCACGTGTGCCGATGGAGAGGGGCGTAGTAACTCATCTGGACAATAAATAAAATGAGGAATATTCACTCGTTCATTGGGTCTAGTTTCGAAAGAATACTGGTACGTTTCATCACAACCAGCACCACCCCGTACCACATCCCGTTGGAGTACTCGAGCGCTTCATAGTACAACAGTCAATGGTTTATGCGGGTCGAAACCTGGCATAAGGATTATGGACATGTTACGACTTCAGGTCTGCTGTTGGATATGGTCATTTTGAGTGCCACCAGCTTAGAAATTCCTGCTTATCCGAGGAAATCAGCGACCACGTCCATGGCACGACACACTGATTATCCCCAGGTTGGTGCAAGCACATTCTGTCGAAGCATTGAGTGCATGCAAGGTGCTGAGGTTGACAGCTCAAAGTACATAAGATCGGACAGTATACGACAGCTGTCTGGATTGGAGGTATGTATTACAAGGATGCGACTCGCATTAATTAGCATTTTCAAAAGATACAGTATCGTTTCCCACTCGCAGGGCTGGAATCCACACCTTGCGATGCTGAAAGGATTACGGGTGCAGTGAAACCCAAGTAGACCCACGGACAAGCACAGCAATGCGTGACAACAGCTGTAGCACTGTGCACCATTAGCAATTTACCTTCTTCTGGAAGATTGCAATCCAGTCGGTGGGTGCACCAGTGAACCACTTGCAGTCCTTGATATCACTGACGCCATTCTTCAAATTACCCCATCGTTTCGTGATGTCTACTTGAAGAAGGTTGCGCAGCAGTTCTCTAATGTCCTGCGTGAAATGTGACGGGAACCGCACCTAGCAGAACAACAAACAATAGGGAAAAGTGACTTTGCACTCCCTGTAGGTCTTCAGTAACACAGAAATCCCAACAGCAATAGTATTTATAAAGCCAGTTCTGGAACAGGTACACACCCTACCCCCAAAATGGGGTATTATTGATAATACCCATGTTTTCATTTATGAACATCTCGTTCGTGTTATACATGAAGAGAGATACAGGTGTTCTTCATGTGGACTTGTCATGGCGGCTGTTTACGAAGGCCAATGCCGGGTGTACATCACCAGTGAACGCAACTAAGTCCTGACCAGTTTGTTAGAACTGGATGTCGAGTAAGATGCTTCATGATTCACCTACGCCGGGTCCGTCTCCCATAACACTGACGAGCAAACGTCGAAGACACATCTTGCAGTTGCTCCAATCATCTGTGTCATTCGTTGCGATCACCAAGCGTTGAAATGGCTACGTACTTTCAAAAATCCAAGGGGACAAGTTGCCCGTTGGATCGAACATTTGTCGGAATATGATTATGCATGGATACATCGCCCGGGCGCACAACACGGAAACGCAGATGGTCTTTCAAGATACCCTGTCGATGACGCGTCGCCCACGATTAACTCGCTACATTTTCTAGGCAGTGATGAGGCATGTAGGGAATGGCAAGAAGCTACTGACAACGATCAAGATCTTAAAGAAATCAAAAACCTATTACAAAGCGACAACCGCAATAAGCAACCGACTCGTCCAGGCGCACGCGCTCTCTGGACCGAAAAAGGTAAACTTTTTGTCGACAATGGTTTGGTTTATCGAAGACTTCAGATTAATGCTAGCCAATTGATTGTTCCTCGCACATTTCGTAGTCGTATTATTCGTGAAGCGCACTCGACAGCAGTGACCGGCCATTTCGCCACAAGACGCACGATTACATTAGTCGCGAAAAAGTATTTTTGGATTGGGTTTCGCGCTGAGATTGACGAATTTTGTCGCAGGTGTACCGACTGTCAGCGTTCGAAAGCAAAGAATCCAGTTGATCGTGCACCTTTGCAACATTTGGCTTCTTCCAAACCGCTCGAACTAGTTGCAATGGATCTGATGGGCCCACTGCCAATTTCATCGTCAAAAAATGCATATATTCTCGTGGTTGTTGATCATTTTTCAAAATGGACTGAATGCTATCCATTGCCAGATATTCGTGCATGCACTGTCGCTCAATGTTTTGTAAAAGAGTTTGTGTCTCGCCATGGTTTACCTGAGCGCATTCACACTGACCAGGGTAAGCAGTTCGAATCACTATTGTTTCGCGAGCTATGCCTACGTCTTGACATTGATAAATCACGAACGACTCCGTATCATCCGCAGGGCGATGGTGTTGTTGAGAGAGCGAATAGAACGATCCAGAATGTTTTGAAGATTTTTGTTGACGAGGCCAATTCGAATTGGGACGAGCTACTTCCTTCGACGATGTTAGCGTACAATACAAGTGTTCACGCGTCTACGAATTTTACGCCGTATTCTTTAATGTTTGGTCGCGAGGCACATATGCCTCTCGATATTTTGTGTCCTCCGCCTGCCGACTCACTTCCTGAAACGCACGAATTTTTTGCGACAGAACATGTTTCAAAGTTGCGTTCCTCGTACGATTTGGTTCGACAACATCTCGATTCTAGTCAACGTTGTTCCAAAATCCGTCACGATCGAAAATCTCGCGCTAGTCCATTGAATGTAGGTGACCGAGTTTGGTTACATCGACATCCGCCGCCTCAAGTTTCGCCTAAATTTTTCAAATATTGGTCGGGACCTTGGGAAATTGTAAAGAAACCGACAGACGTTACGTATGCGATTGAACCTCGATTTGAGAGTCCTATCCGCCATCGGCCTTGCACAGTCCATCGAAATCGCCTTCGGAAATGTTTGACGCAAATGGGACCTGCTGCACGAACACCGCTTGCTGCGCCTACACGAACAACTCTTGCTGCGCCTCCACGACCAACACTTGCTGCACCTACACACACGTACAATACTCGTTCTCGCCCTCCGACTTAATTTAATATTCTTTACCGATAAGTGTCCTTTAATTCGGTGTTGGTTTGTTTGGTGTGTGTGGTCGGTTGTTTTTGCTTCGTTGTTCTCGTCCTGGGTGTGGGGCTTCACTCATCACCATGATAGCGAGTATGTCTCTTTCGCCTGATGAAGAAATGGCAGCAGCCCTCTTGCTTCCGCTTCCGCCGAATTTGCCGCCCTCGTCTCCTCCGCCTCCACCTCCGCCCCAAACGCCGCCGCCGCATCCGAATTGCGCCATGCTAGAGCCATGGGATATCCAACCATGGGGGACGCCGCTGGAATTCGATGACTGGGTGCGGCAAGCACCGTCGCCGCCGTCGCCGCGGACGCCCGTACTTCCATCTCCACCACCGACGCCCGGACTAATCAGGCCGGCACGATTGGACGCCGCGCGTCGCCACCTTATTATACCACCGCGCCCTCCATCGGCAGAGGAACTGATAACGGCTATTCGCCAGCGCCTGAATATCCGCACTTACCGACCACCGCTCCGACGACCACGCCCGCCTCCTCGACAACGACCACGCCCACAGCCTCGACAACGACCACGAACGATACGCCCGACGAGACACCGATACTTCGACGCCGACGTTCATCAAGCTCAGATGATTATATCGTTGCGTTTGAAGATTGTGGCAGTAAGTCAATATGGAGTCTAGATGTTCTACACTGATTCGTAGGGCAAGTTAAGACGATACGGCCAGCGCCCGCACTCTGTTTAGTTGTAGTGAAGATCAGCTTTGAAGAATACAAGTCTGTACGTGATGACTACACCCGAGCCTTGTGTCTGAATACCTCTGTCGCTTCGTCACAGAGCCTATGAATGTCCAGCAGCCATCCATTATGACCATACAATAACAGGTTCAGACCTTCGTGTAAGAAAAGTCCAGGAGAGTGAACAATCACTCTCGCTATCCTCTCAAGGAGAGTGGTGGGAGAGCAGTCCCCACTACCCCCCCCCCCCAAAAAAAGTCGCTCGCCTTATCTATCCAAGGCGAGCACAATACGGGTTTTTTTTCAACATCTTGCCATACCCCAATCGGATTCAATACCCAATAGCTGCCAAATTCGTTCTGGAAAATCGCCGTACGCACTACAAATGAAAGCTGTTCGGACCACAACTAATTACTTTAGTTTCCCTTCATCAGGGACAATGACACACGCAATGGGAAATTGAGACAATTCGCTAAGATCCATGGTATTCTTGTGGTATTCATCGTAGAGCGCTCCTTTTGAGGCTTTGTTCTGTAGCTGACAGCTAAAGACCCTTGCCTGGCGTCACACGTACACAGGTCTATGCATGCCCGGACTGTCACGCAACAGAGGGAAATCCGTTATGTCAACATTATGTGTGCGGAAGTGAAAATTTGCAACGGTACGTAAAATACCCTGCGAGTGCCGTAACTCCACTATTGGACCTCGGATCGACTTCCGATTTGTTGGAGCCGACAGCTGAGAACTTTCTAATGCGAATAGATCTTTCGATTACTCGATTCCGTTCAGGGAAAGCCGAGTTACGAAATATTTGAGTGTTTTCAGAACTAACTTCATAGTGATGCGGATGCGCTCGAAATTCTCAAGGCGCGCGACGAAAAGTGCGCCCTAAAAGAAAATAAGGAGAGCGAAGGCGCGCGAGAGCGATCGCTCTCCTTTTACCAGATGGTCTGAGGTTACTGTAAAAACGGGAATTTTCGGTATTTCCCAAAATTAACGGTTTGGTAGTTCGAAAATTTCGGTAAACCAGTTTTCCAGATCCAAAAATGCATTTTGCACACTGCGTGGCATGACTTTTAGGTCGCGTTTTATTTTAGGTAAAAATTACCTGTACCGAAGTCACCGACATTTTCCAGTTTTACAGGATCATGCATCTGACTTCGGCAGCAGATCCAATCATGATGATGCGACGATCCTCAAATTATGGACGTCGCCAGAAGGAACAGCAAAGTTTAGGCTCTCGACCATATAAGTACTAGTGTGCATCCTTATTTCGATAACCCCAGCTTCATAGCCATATTTGATCAGGCAGACAGACCCCAGTTACACATACCTTTCCGCTGACGATCTTCTCGTAGATTTGGATGGGTTGATCCGCGAAGAATGGCGGATACCCAGCGGCCATTTCATAGATAAGCACGCCTGTCGCCCACCAGTCTACAGCCTTGTTGTAGCCCTGCATCGCAAGTAAACAAGTCAATGCAATACAATATAGTCAACCAGAAAAGATGCCACAATGCGGAGGATTAGCAAGATGGAATTCGGGTTCGTGTTCGCACTCCAAGGAAAGTCGAACTCAGTGACGGAATCCGCGGTATGAGAAGGATTAGCAAACAGAATTCGCACATGCATGACGTTGACACTTCGTACATGTACATAAGTCATTGTGTACTACCAAGAGTACATAACCCCCAAGAGTGTGCAACTCCAGCTATGGGGTCTGCGACGGCAGAACTTCACATCACGTGATGAACCCGTACACATTATTTGCACTCAGTGCATGATTGATACAGGGTTGTACGAAACCCAGCTTTGGGTACAACTCTCTTGTGATCACTTTGCACTGTTTTCCAGTGTAACCTTTTGAACCATGTCACGTGATGTGAAGTTCTGCCGTCGCAGCACTGCATAGAGGTTGTGCAGGCAGTTGCACACTCTTGGGGGTTATGTACTCTTGGTACTACAGACAGTACAGCGTAGTAAATTTAGGACTGTCCTGACACGAATCAGTGATTCGTGTTTCGTTCGACTACTTTTCTGAACGAGAAATGCTGAAGTTTGCAATCTAGTTCGCGAGCCGAAAAATGTTCGCGAACACGAACGCGAATTTCGTCTGCCTAATCCTCCGTACTATGCCAAGCTGATGGTGGACTAATGGCGACAACACAAAAAAACATGCTGCTGTCGACTCGAAACCGATCGTTCCATACATTGACACCCAGTGCATGTTCAATAGACTAACTTGTCCAGTTTTCAATTGAAAGACCTGTTGACCAAGGCATTTCAATTTTTACCGCATTATGCTCCTGCACCCAACGGGTTTCCTCTTCTTTGTTGTGCCGGAGTTACAGCCTTTTTTTAGTTTTCCCACTCGAAAGCATCGAACTCGATGCAGTAATCAGCCACACAAACCGAGCATGTTTGCAACTCAATTGGGATAACAGCAACCAAATATGCATGTACTCATCCAAATAGGGGCATTTCAGTCACACACAGTGCACTTAATTTGACTCCTAAAGGGTTAGTATAGTAATCAGTCAAATAAACTGAGCACACTTGCAACTCAATAAGGAGAACAGCAACTAAACACACATGCACACCTCCATACAGGGATATTCCATTCATACAGTGCACATATCTCTCCCAAATTAGGCAGCAGGTGAAACATAAGGTCACGAAAACAAGAAGGCAGCACCACAGGGTATGCTATTGAAATTTTGATTTCGTAATCTACAGAAACGATGTACGCAATGCACAGTCGGTTGTCGGTTTAGAAGTCCACAACTTGTTAACATTTCATGTTGTTAAAGTAAAGTAAAGTTTGCACGTCCGCGTTACCACCGGCGATACAATTGTGTTGAGAAACACAACCAGCTTAGGAAGTTTCGCATGTGCCAGGCCACCACCATGCCTGTGCTACCAGGGTGGCAGATGCAGCGCCTAACGGCGAGGGTGAGGTGGTAAGTCTCACAACCAATGCCCGACAAGGGGGGCTAACCTCGTTAGCTGCATCCATGTTACCCTCACTCCGAGTAGTGAGTACCCAGTTGACCGTGGGTGTCGGCGCAGTTCACTGCATGTAAAGTGGTTCACGCATGCATCGCCGCATTTGCTAGCACAGTACACGCTCCCTGCTCCCAGCGCGGGTCTCGAACTCGGGACCTTGTGATTCGCAGGCAAGCCCACAACCACTCGGCCAAAGCGCTGGTGCATATGTTGTTAACCTGTTCAGCACGAAGGACGTAATAATACGTCATTCAGAATACCACTGCACCACGGAGGACGTAATATTACGTCCTGAGTGTACATCGCGCATATACGCGATTTGTCTGGATCGCGTGCGTTCAAACTATCGTAACTCAGTCAATTCTTGGTCGATTCTCACGATCGAAGTATGTATCTGGAAGAGAAAACTCTCAGCTTGCGATAGAAACCATCGCCGAAGCGATACGACCCCGGGTTGTTGAGATATGCGACTCAACACGGCAAATTCAAAGAGAATTTTTTGCGCGATTTGCAGAACGCGTATTTTTCATTTTTGATCATTTTCGATCATTTTTGCGCTACCTGCTGCCATGGAAACTAGATTCAAATGATGGTGGCGGATCTCGGGAGTCCTCAAAAAAATTTGAGCTCGATACGAGCAAGGAGGGCGAAATGGCAGCTGAGGATTTGGTCTCTTGCCCGTGCTCAAGTCTGTCGAGCGCGTGGGTGAAGTTTGCCAGACTGTAGCATGGGCGTTTAGTTTCGCTCCGAGCTAAGTTTGGAACTAGTTTGCTCCTCGTCTCAAGGCCTTTCCAGGAAGCTCAAGATCGTGGAATTCGTCCAAGGGAAGGTAAAGTTATCGATCCTTGAACAGGTAGTACTTTCACAGGAAAAACGCCACTTTTGCAGGTGTTGCCGTGGGGAGGCATTCAGGTAGTGTCGTGCTCAAAAGGTTAACCAACAAAAATCCGGAGATTGTGAAGTTTAAATTGGAGCTAATGCAAGTGGTATTTGCATGTGGTATTACACTACATAGCCAGGAGAGAAGTCTTCACCTCCTAAAAAAAGGGGAACCTTCACTCACTTCACCCCGAGTACATAACTCCCCAAGAGCGTACAACTCTTCATGGGTTTGCTATAGGGTGTGGCTACAGCGAACGTGCATATCATGTGGGGCAGTTTTCACGCTGTGCGTAAACCTGCTTTACCGAGCAGTGAAGTAGTAAAAGTAGCACTCCCTGATAGAACCCCACCCAGCTCATGTGAGTCATCAGAGCAGGTGTCTAGACAGCACGCATGCTGGCCTATGCCGTATGCTGGAAAATGCGATGTGAGTTCAGAGTTGCGCACATGGAAGGGGGTCAAATACTCTGATTCCACCAAGATAAATAATGCCCCCCCCCCCCCCCCCCCAAGTAAAATCAAAAGGCAAACGAACCTTGCTCAAGATAATCTCAGGTGCTAAGTACTCGGGCGTGCCACACAACGTCCACGTTCTTCCCTTGATCTTCTTTGCGAAGCCGAAGTCAGTCACTTTGAGGTACCCTTTCTCATCAATGAGAATGTTCTCTGGTTTCAAATCTCTGTAGAACACCAGGAATACAAGATGGAGCACAGATAAAGGATGATGCAGGGCTGATCCTACTTCTAGCCCAGAGTAGCTGGCTTCACACTACATACTCAAATTACACAGCACTGCATTCAGCACCGCTTTTATGCGCATAGTGGCATTCCGTGACAAGGTCGCTGTGGTACGCATCCTTTCGAGGCGAAAAACGTTTATAGAGGTGCAGGGCGTGCGTTCTCTCATGCCGAACAAGACATTTACACACTGCATGACCCGCCTCTACAATGACATCCTCTCGTGTACACATGCGGTGAATTCAAATGTTGCAGTGAACAACGGAGCACCGTCATACAGAACAATATTGCATAAGATCTCCCCCCCCCCCCCCCCCCTCCAATGTAGCTATTTATTGCAACCGTACAAAAACATAGCTTTGCTGAACAATGATTTTGACAAGCTGGGTCAAGATTCAGTATGTCGCCTGAGCAGCAGCTAGGAAGTCAAGCTAAGTCTGGAGACATCTGTCGGCAGTAAAATGTACGATACCCAGAAAGAAAGGTACTCTTGCCCCCCCCCCCCCTTTTTGCCTAAACCAGCTTGGGAGGAAACCAGGCAGCTGGTGATATGAAGTGGTAGCCAGACAAAGAATCAGTATAGGACACTTGAAAAGGCACTAAGCACCAGTCCTATGGGCAACCCGCTAGAGGGACAAACATGATTATTAGCCAAGCCAATATTACCCTCCACACACTCAACCTAGAGGGCTACAGTAGAAATACACAACGCGATACGTACCTGTACACAATCTCAAGTGAGTGCAGGTACTCAAAGCCAAGGACGATTTGAGCAGCGTAGAATCGAGAATGTGATTCGCTGGAGGTCAACAAGAAAAACGAGTAGAGTGTAGGTTAGAGGACTGAGATAAAGCATGCGCTCGTAATCATTGGACACACAGCAAGAAATGCTAGCTTCCCCATCACTTGTATTTGATAAAGCGGAGCTGGCCAGGTTGGTTGGTTGTAGTTCGTCTCCTCGTAACGGCATTGATGTGCCACAGTCTTACTTACAAGTACAAAATATCACACTCCGCATACCCAACAGTCCTTGCGGCAATAAGATATAGCTTGCATCCAAGTTGGTTGTGCTCTCTATCCCGTTGACATACTCCTATTAAATAGCGACAAACCTTCAGCTGTTATTTGCACAGTCAAACGTACGCCAGTGTTAAATGCCAGGCCAGCTTCAATATTCATTGTCAGTCTTATTACAGCACCTGGCCACAATGCTGGACTGCGGCATATCTACTAAAGGCCTGGGTTTCCCCCTTGAAAGAATGAAGGTATTGCAAATTCGCAATGCTGTAGGATGGGGCATAGAATGAAGGCGCTGATTATACTTCAACATCTTAAATTCTCAATCAATGCTCAATGAGCAGCAAGCCATACCTGAAGCGGCCGATGCGACGTAAGTGAGAGAACATCTCACCACCAGACACATAACCAAGCACCATGTACAGATAGGAATTGTCCTGCAGTAGAAAAATCAAGACAAATGATGATGCAATATGGTGCCATCTGCAAATAAACATTGGCCACTAAAAAGTATTGTGGATCATACACGTACATGGACTAAAAAACCCTACCAAAAGAAGACAGCTATGCGGGTATATTCCATGACTGTATTTCCATAAGATGCATGCTACGCCTAGGTGGCCATTCAATCATGAATGTACGTTGGCAGCCAAAAAAAGCGCTGTTCTTTCACATACTCCCAAGAGCCACAATTGGTCACTAAGATACGGATACAGTAACGTCCAGTATCACACTCTTGTGACCATGAGCCATGGCCGCCAACATCCGTACACTGATTCCAACATGCATACACTATATATCCAAGATCCAGACAGGAGAGGGGGGGGGGGGGGGAGTGAGAGTGAGAGAGAGAGAAAGAGAGAGAGAGAGAGAGACAGCCTTCTGGGTCGTGAACTGTGCAATACTGTACTGTGCTGTCAGTCATACCCTAACCCTTTGCTGGCCACTGCATTTCATATGAAATCCATCATATTAGAAACAATGCCAATGACTCCGGACACCAGAACATTTTGAATTGTACAGGTTTTGATTTTCTGAAAGCCTGGTGCTACGTCTAGACCCTGGAAAAATAATACTGATACGCCATACGCGTTTGCTACTAAACTGGCACTCATGTCCTGAATCCACTGCCTGAGTGACCGTTGCTGTGTCGTTCGCTCTCCATGTCTCCCCCGCTACAGTACTACAGTCAGCAGATTCACCAAGGTACACTGCACTGAGATTGTCTTCAGCAGCTGGGGCCACAGTTACTCGCAAAAAATACACGACGGGAGTTCTGTTTCACAAGTTCAATTTCACCCACAGTGGTGGCTGGAATGAAGTATTTGCATAGATGGTGTATGTCTCAGCGCAAAGGACTGCTTAATCCTCCTCAGAGAAGTCATCTGAGAGCAAAAGAAGCTCACAGTCTAAACAAAATTGCAGCTCGCAAGCTTTTTATTTTTACGCACTGATGGCAAGCGAACACTTCCGTCATTAATTTGTTTGACCGCACAAATCTCAGCTAAGTCAAAAGGGAGCAGTGCAGATCTCTTTAGCTACTGTGAGCATCATGCCAGGGTCGTGTGTGAGCCACGGGATTTCCTCGTGGGTTGCTGCTATGCGTCATGGCGAGCATGGCTTTGCATAAAATTCAAATTAGCCGAACTCGACCAATTCAATGTATGGGTGGGCAGCAAAAGTTAAATTGAAAAGGAGTTGAACCAGCATGCCGCGTGATGCACGTACATGGGAACGTCTTCTGCGTCATAGACAGGGTACCGTCCCAGGACAGGTGAGGTAAAAGGAATTCAAATACATCTCGGAGCAGGAAGTGCAAAATATAAGAGCACAATATAACATAGCTAATCAAGCACAACATGCCATGAATACTAACCTTGAACGTGTATGCAAGGTTGACAAAGAACGGGAACTCGATTGACTGCAAAATACGTTTCTCATTGTTAGTGTGATCAACCTGCTTCAGCTTGACAACCTGGATAAAACGTAAACATGACAATAAAAAGCACAAGAAGTGTTTATAAAGGCCAGGTTGCTGGTAGTGTCGGGTTTTTGAAATGTGCATTAGGTAGCATTACACAAAACAATAAGAATACTGGCTATGACTTTCAGATATGCAATACCATTATCATAGTTCTGGTCTATCTCCTATAAACATCCCAGTTGGATGCCTTGATTTCAGAGTAATGTTGTTTTTCATAAGACCTGTAAGGTCCATGCACGGATACACAAGCAAGTAATAATTACTGGTACACAGTCACCAACTCAACAGAACCGTTACTGAAATGAAGAAGCTGACAGCGATATGCTCCAATGCACAAGCATTACAATCACAAAATCCGGTACAGATATCGCTCCGTTTAGTGGGATATGCTCAGAGAGAGAGAGAGAGAGAGAGAGAGAGAGAGAGAAAGTGATAAGATCATGAAATGCACCCTAGCGATACTGAACCACACGGTCCCACTTCATCCCCCATCACGCTGAGGCCAGTGAGAGTGAGGATTGTTCATGATGAGGTATGGTACAGCCACGCGGAGCATTTTACCATCATTCTCGTGAGAAACAGTCGCTACAGGAATGGGATCAGCATGTTTCATACCCACCACACAAAGAAATACTCAACGATGTCCACACAGCTACAAGTCAGTGTGCAACATGAGCGTTTTGCGTGGGACTACGCGCCTGGGATGCCATGATAGTGTTCTACACGGCAAGAATGTTGCTGCTGATGCTGCTGCTGCAGCTCTAAACATTCCGGGTACGGAAAGGACAAATAAAACTCACCTTCTGCTTCTCCAGGATCTTCATAGCGAAATACTGTTTATTCTTCTTATGTTGGACGAGCATCACTCGCCCAAAGGAACCTGTTCCGAGAGTCTTCAGACGGTCAAAGTCATCCAGATGAGCAGTGTTCTGAAGTGTAACAGAGCGGGATACACATAGGTATTCCCACTTGACTAAAGAGTTCAAAGGTTTGCAAACATTCCATTCCAAAGCACAAACCTTCGCTGGTGAGTCCCATTTCTTCTGAAAGTCTTCCTTCGCCTGAACCAAGAAGTCTCGAACTGTACAAAGAATACAAAGAGATGTAGGTCACCAACGCCTAATTTACTGCAGCAAACACTGATGGTGAAGACTCACCAGCCTCTTTGTCAGAAAGTCCACCGCGTTTCGCTGCCGATGAACCTGACTGGCCCATCGTTGCCTCTCACAACGGCCGACCAGAAAATATAAAAAGCTCTCAGCCTATCTAGAAGATACCCATATAGTGCTCCAACACCTAATGCCTATGCTCCGGGAGGAAGATTAGAGACTAAACAAAAGGCTCCGCCAAGAAGTGTAGCTAACCCAAAGTCAAAATGCGAGCACTTCAGCCTTCAGTCTTCACAGTCACTGTACAGTCTCAAAGGCCAAGCATACAAAAGACAGTGAAGGCTACTCGATCTGCGATCTGAGTCAGTGAGTGATGAGTGAAGTCGGAGGAGGACATCACATGTACATGCACACACTGACATACACAGCATGCCAGGCTAGCACAGCTCTCGTTGATTGTGATCAGCTGAATCACATACGAGTAGATCCGATCATCACACTCTGCTACTGCACTGGCAGTCTGGCACCTGTGTAGGCTGTGGCCGCTGACTGATGAGGCCATATTTGTATCTGCGAAAAGAACGCGTCGACGAGATCGCGTAGTTTTTTCCCATTTTGCATGATCTTCATGCATTCGGTAGAGCTACGGGTACGGTCACCACTGGTCACGCGCGGCCGCGCGCGGTACCACATGGCCACAGACTGTAATACATGTACGCATTGATCTTCTCCACGTGTTTCTGTTATCCCTCTCGCAGCTCGAATGCCAGAATTACTTGGCAGAAGTCTGGTTGGCGCTATATCTATCCGTACTGCTGAGGAACTTCTTCTGGGATGTTTCAAACTTTCATGGACATGACGGGGTATGTGGATAAAGAAATGGAGCAGGAAGTGCCGGCCATAACGGCATAAGGTTTGTATTTTTCTACCAATTTCACTGCTTTTCGAGCAGAATTTGCCAATCTGCCGAGCATTATCCGCCAAGGGCTAGTTGGCGCTGGTGAATGTGTACACCATACAGCTTCTAACACTTCCAAATCCAAGTTCCAATTGAGGAACATTACGAGCAAGACAGACAATATACCAAACCAAAAAAGTAGTATCGTGTTCAGGGGCCGATGTAAAGTGTGCATGAATGATTTACGCCCAGCCTTTTACATCCTTCGAAGCATTCGTCTACATAATATAATATGTAGGGATCGAGTTGAATCTTTTACACAACCTTGTTACATCTGCCTTGAGTTTCTTAGGATTAGACTTTTCAAATTTTCATTTTGATTCTATCGTCGAGTTTCAATTCATCCCTTGTATCTTTGGTTTTCTTCCTTCTTTCCATGTCGTATTGTTTGAATAAACCCAGTCTAGAGTATCGTGTTCATGCAAACAAAATTGTACATTGAAACGTTTGCTGAAGTGTTGTGCCGTCGACATGTACATGTCCCGCGTCGACGCGTCCCTGAATTAAAAAAATTCACGGTTCGCGCCAGACTCAGCTAGAGGCCAAGTTTTCCGCATCCGTGGGAACGCCACCACCCTTCAAGGATCAAGGCGCAGATGCAAGCTAAACTAAAAAGCGGTGGGAGTTGAGTAGATCTACTATACGGATCAGCTCACCATGTACCAGCAAGTGGTCAAAGACCGAATACTGTATCCCATTCACTGCATTCCATATGCGTCCCTGAATTCAGCTACAAAAGCTACAAAATTCACGCAAATCAGAACGGTTATAAAAGTAATCGGCTGCGAAGGGGTGGCTGAGTTCGATCGACTCTGGCCTCAGAACAAACTTCAACATACTAGTACCAGCTTCCTTCCACAAAGTCAAACATATTCGAATGAACAATCTCGAGGTGATCGGTTTGGCCTTTTTATTTTGGCTTTGCTTTGGCCTGTTCAGTGAGTTTGGCTGGTCAACACTGAACCTTTCGAACCATGCAGCATTGCAGGGTCTATGACTATAATTTGGGGGTGATAAATAATGACATTTTGTAGTACTAGTATGATTGTACATGTACTATTGTCTTGATATCATGCATGCATGATGCAACCAATATTGGCCAATGCAGTGGCGCATGGGCGGCATGCATGGCATGTCATGATGATTGATGTCAGTGCCTCGCAAAATAATTTTTACGGCTCCCGGATCCCTACACTACACTACAGAGCTGAACGTGTGGTTTGGCAAATGAGAAGGTGGATAGTTGCTGTTGTCTTCTCCAAGTTCTTGTAGAGTGCGACCGCGCGAGTCAAAGCAGCTATAAAGTGAACCTTCAAAGGACTCCTGTAGAACTATTACGGTTTTAGAGACATTGCCATTGGACTTAGGTCCTGGTGACGAGCCTGCGGCAAATTCCGGAACAATGTTTGCCAAATTCAGTTTTACTGTTCGAGCATGTGGAGTGGCAGGTTGTGTTGCAGGTGCTGCTGCCGCCGTTGCTGGATGGACCAGCGCGGAACAGAACAACCACGTAATGCTTGCCTCGTCTGCTTACATGGCGCAGCAAATTACCCCGAATATCAGCCTGGACAGTTCAGCTGGGGACATGCGGCATAGGATGGAAGGCCTCATATTGCGTACGCAGAAAGACCTCTGTGACGCGTTGTCTAAAATCGACGGAAAGGAGTTTCGAGTGGATCGGTGGCTAAGGCCTAATGAAGGTGGAGGTGGAATTAGCTGTGTTCTCCAAGATGGCAAAGTCTTTGAGAAGGCTGGAGTTAACATATCAGTGGTAAAAGGTGTTTTGCCGCCAGAGGCTGTGAAGCAAATGCGTGCCAGGGGTCACTCGGCGCTCAAAGAGGGCGAGTCGCTTCCATTTTTCGCATGTGGAGTGAGCTCTGTCATTCATCCACGAAACCCTTTCGTCCCAACTCTACATTTCAACTATCGCTATTTTGAAGTGATCAGCGACAACCAGCGTATTTGGTGGTTCGGGGGTGGCACTGATCTGACTCCGTACTACTTGGATGAAACCGATGCTAAGCATTTTCATTCAACCCTGGAGAAAGCGTGCCGCCCTCACAATCCCAGCTTCTACCAGCGGTTCAAGAAGACCTGTGATAACTACTTTGTCATCAAGTTCCGCGGGGAGCGGCGAGGAGTTGGCGGAATCTTCTTTGACGACATGGATCAGCCATCTGCCGATGCTTGCTATCAGTTTGTGGACTCCTGTGCCAAGTCCGTTATCCCGTCGTACATTCCTATTGTCAAGCGTCATTACCGTGATCCGTACACGGATCGCCATCGTCAGTGGCAGCTGTTGCGCCGAGGTCGCTATGTGGAGTTCAACCTGGTGTACGATCGCGGCACCAAGTTTGGTTTCAACACTCCCGGCGCTCGCATTGAAAGCATCCTCATGTCATTGCCACTGGAGGCAAGGTGGGAGTACATGCACGAACCCGAGCCGAACTCACCAGAGGGCAAAATGATGGCTGTTTTGAAGAATCCCCGTGATTGGATTTGAGTATGCTAATTTGTCACTCAGCGTTTGAGAGTTGGGTTTGTTTCAACTCGCTTCCCTCTGGAGTTCACTCTGGTTGTGTTTGCATCGCTCAGAAAGCTGCACCGTTTTAAGGTTCCCTTTTATTTTCAGCGTGCTAATGATGCAGAGCTTTGTGCAACTTGGTCCCTGCGATCTGCAGCACTTGATTTTTGCGAATGTGTGGCGTGTTTATTGCTTAGCGGTAAGTGTAAGACGTTCACCTCATGCCGCGGAAGCGTGTACAGCGTATTACTGCATAGTGCAGCTGACCCGTGAACTCAGAGAAAATCTATTATCTCTGACAAGCTATTTACTGGACGTATACGCCTTTGTTCTTGATTTTTGACTGCTTTTTGCTCTTCTCGGATTCTAGCTTTTCCGGTCTAGAATTTGATTTCAGTTCAGGATAGTTTCTCCTGAGTCCTGTTACAACAATGCCAATGCCAGAGTATTTTTTTAGTAACGCCTGCACCATGTTCTGCTCGCCAACTGTATATATATGTCGGTTCCCAGTGCTGATAGCCCACAAAAGATTGCAGTTTCATTTCTTGACTCTTGTGAAGCGCTCGTCTTGTTTCTGGTATATGCGCAGAATGCAACAGGCAGAAATATGTGAGCTGTAGCCTGTAGTGTAGAGCGGGCAGCAAACTAGACCGTTGGCGTGGTTAGTATGTAGTGCCACGAACACAGAAGCTAGACTCCCTCAGTACGCTGAACCAGGACAGGACTGGAGTCAGGTCGGACCAGGGCCGGACTCGTATAAACCCAACACGGCTCCCTGGGTCGGACTCTGCCTCATGAACTCAGGTCAGGATTCAGGCATGAGTCTGACCCAGTGGCTCGCCTCAGGTCGTCAGGACCAGGGAAGAGTAGCACATGCAGGGGCGTCGCACACGGTACGGTCACTACGGTGTTGACCGTACCACTATTTGCCCCAAGTACCCTGCGATTCAATAAAATGCACTGATTTGGGCTCCAAATTTCCAAATTTTCGGCTCAGCCATCCCTCCCCCACGAGTAAATTGTACTTCAGATGGCTGACCGTACCACATTGAAATACCTTCCGACGCCCCTAACATGTCATTGTACGCCGCAGGACTACTACTTCCTGCTCAGTGCTCAAACACCTCTACAAGTGTAGCGCTAGAGCAGACTAGAGCCCAGTACTACTACTAGAGGTGTATAGCGCTACTTCAGGTTGTCACGTGATTGCATATGGCTAATTAAATCATTATTTTAGACTTCTCAACTGTTACTTCAAACAAAATACCATGATTCGGCATGAATGTAGATCTACAGACTACACTGACTGTCAGTCAGTGTAGCTCTCGATATGCGAGGACGTCGAGTCCGACTGGACTCATACTCGCACTGTCACAGGTACTACCAAGAGTACATAACCCCCGGGGGGTTATCATGGTTATGTACTCTTGGTACTACTACTACTAGTAGGGATTTCAGGCGGTTTTTTGTTGTCAACAGTGCATACTGCAATTATGGCTCAAATGAAAGATATGGATGTGATTATCAACCAGCCAAAAAATCAGAGCAATCGGCCAAGGGAAACCAGAGTTATGATCATTTGAATACGGGTGGGTACCCTTCATCGGCAAGTATACAATTAGGATGGGAAGCACGGCACAAAACGGGTTTCAAGAAGGCCATAGCAACACCCTAGCAACAGCCCAAAGTGCTCCAAATCGCACCAAACTTGGACAGCATGATTAGTGGAGCCCACCGGTATAAAATCACTGAATATTTTTTTGAATTTTTAAAAACTGAACAGAAATAACAACAATGGCGTCCATAGCAACGACCTTAGCAACAGGCTTAGAATCTATGAAACTGCTGCTCATTGTATCAAAATTCACCTGTTGGATAAATGTACATACTGATATGGCATAGCATACATGTACCAATTAATGTTTGAACAAGAAACAGGACAATGAGCTTCCCGGCCGAAGTAAAAATATAGTATACATGTATCTACAAGTGACGCGCTCAGCAAAAGTGGTTGCGACTGGCCTCACAATTAATACGCGACATTGCAATGTTCACATGCCAGAAGGAGAGACAGAGGCTCAGCAGCAGCAACAACAGCAACAGCACTCTCACACACCATTTCAAGCATACATATAGACCTGTTCATCCATGAACACGCGCACCCACCACCAGTCCGTGCGCCAACACCCACCCACACGCACACGTGTGTGTGCGCGCGCGCGCGCACACACACACACACACACACACACACTACTACCATAGCATGACTGCCCCATAGGGCCACGTCACTCCCTTGTGACAGGGAGCCAGAGTCAGGGTAAGAGAGTCCATGCTGGCGAGCCACATGCCGGTTGACATCTCGTTTTAGCCGAGAACGTTTAAAGCAACCAGAGGAGAGGAGAGTCAATGCTAAAGGCCGATGTGTCAGGTTCGGCGCGTGGAACACACAACAGATTTCTGCAGTTTCCCTTTTTCTTGCTAATTCTTCTTCCAGATCAATGATTTTCTTTGACAGGCTTTCAACGAATTTTTTTCAAATTTACTGGCATTTTCTTTTTGAATGTCACACGATTCAGTACCGACATTATGTGCTGGGATGACATCCAGTTCAGGCAGAACGAACGGCTGACAAAGCAGTTCGCTGATGGCGTCCTCGGCTTTGTCCTTCAGCAGCTTCTTCCGTCGGTATCTCACCCGCTTGACTTTCGTCCCAACTGCTTTCGCGTTCACTTTGTCTATTTCCTTGCCATCCACTGCTGACAACAGCAAAATCAGCGACTGCCAATTTATTTGCGTGTTTGTAGTCCACGACAGAAGTTCAAGGACGAGGCTGTTCTTCAGCTGGCCAGGACTATCCACTGCTACCCGCCCTGATGGCGAGTCAAGACGGAGCGCATTGCAACTGTTTACGCGTCAGAGACAGCTTCTTGCACAGAGGGCCAATCCAAGACTCGTCTTTCTCGCACGCCATGGCGTTCTACTATGTACTAAATTTCGCGAACAACCGCGACTCGTCAGCAAGATACAAGGAACTGATCTAAACTAAATCGAGGGTGCAGAATCCGATTATCGATGTTGCGAGTGTGTGCAATGCCTGCATCATATCGAAAATCGACTTTGAAATCATTGAAAGACGCACGAATCCAGTCTTTTTTACGCCATTTCACCGAGATTGGTACCAAATGAAAGCTCAAAACCTCTACTCTCATGTAAACCCGTTCGATTTTGTCTCCAAGCGTCACTGCATCATCCAGTGACAGTTGAACGCCTCCGCAAAAATTGTGCCATGCGCAGATCCCCAAATCAATGCAGCTGCATGAAGGCTCTTTCGGGCCAAAAAGTCACGTGACTGAAATCCCTACTACTAGTACTACTACTAGGTGGAGAAGAATAAAATTGACCGCGCCGCCGGCCCACAGGCCGCTTTCCGATCCTGTACAGATGTAGCGGTCCTTTCCGCCGTGGCTGGCGTGAGAGCTTGGGCCTTGTTGACTGCGGGCAGTGGTCATGGTGGTAGTGCCAGGCCAGAGCTACACGGCCACGGGGCTACACTGACTGACAGACTGACTGTATGTAGCCTAATTGTAGTCTAGATCGACCCGGTCCCTGTATACGACTACGGACTCAGTGTAGATCTATGTGTGTGGGGCTCCCTACTCAGGCTACTGCCTTACTGGAGCACAGCTCTACCAGTGACCATGGGCATGGTACTACTTGGTAGACACGGGGTCGGTGCCCAGGCCTGGCCTAGCGTAGCCTGGGCCTTGTGGCTTGTCTCTCCTGATCTCAGACTCATGCTCATCGCGACGTGCGTGACTGCGTGGCCCACTTGCACTGATATGACCGTGAAACTATTCGTCATTCGAGTTTGGTCGTGAGGTGCAAGATACGCTGCCAGCTTTCAAGGCAGTTGGTCGATGAAATTATTTTGCTCTCTTCTCGGCCAGCTCGAGCGGTGATCGGACTATTGCCGCAACTCTGGACATCGTTATGCTGCTCTAAATGTGCTCGCTGCAGAATTAGAAGCGCCGCAGAGCGACGTTAGGTGTTATGGACACCACCGACCGAGGCGATGCCATTGCAGCGGGGGGAACAGGAGGCAAAAGAGCGTTTGCACGAAGGCTACAACAGTAAGGGTGAAAGGCTGTTGTAACGCTTGCAGTTTGTCTCTCGCGCATCGAAGCTCTCCATGTGTCTCTTGTACTTGCCTGGAGCAAATAATTGCGGCGATATTAGTTTGGGCGGATGATAATTTTGCTGCCAAACAAATTTGCGGATGCATGCACAAGTGCCTCTGCTATTTTGCCCATTCTCTGTGTCAATGCCCAGGAGTCTGCCTGCTGCGGAAGCAAGACGAATAGCGTCTTCAGTGTTTCATGATGGCACGGACCAGTCGGCACCGAACACTCTTCAGAGAGCCAGCGGTGTGCCAGGACATTCTCTGGTGAGTGAGTGACTGACTGCCACCGAACGAAATCTTCTCCACGGTTTTCGTGTATGCATGCCCGTTTTTGCAGTGGAGTTCAGCTTTTGTCGGCATGTGACGACAAGGATCTGTGGAAGAATGCGGTGCGCGCGAGCACCTGCTAGCGTGTGGAGGTAGTCTGCATAATTCGGCAGCCTGCGCGGTTTGGAGCACTGAGTTCAAGCTGAACGAAATTTCGTTCTTCCGTCATATGCACGGCTGTATTTAGGGAGTGACTGAGTCTATTTAGTTGATATGTGGTTTCCAACAAATCCATCCATCTCGAAATTGGTCACAATTGGTCACGATTTTTTTCCCCTACTCACTGACAATCTCACCCATGCGTTTAACGTCACTGCACATACAAAAACCATGTTTTCATCCTATGATTGCCAGAATACAGTTGTGTTGCAGTGGAAACTTTGTGCATGACTGTGTACTATTATGTGCCATGCCAATGATCGCCGACGTTCTGCCATCCTCGAAGAGAGTACTACACATTCACACTTTTGAATGAGCTGGATACAAATGCACACTTTCTAATGTGTGTACAATGATATTCTGCTGATGCAAGCAGTGTGTGCACAGTCTTCAAGTTGTGCGGCCACAATAGTATCCTTCAATGAAAGTGCTCATCGAGCACCAAGATGGCTGCAATGTGGTGTTGAAGGGCCTTGGTGCTGGATTGTAGCTTGCGCTACTAGTATATGTATGGCCAGCATGCAGGGCTCACACTGAGAGCAGAATCTATTCACAATCAAACGACAACCTTAATGTTCAATCTTCACATTGGTTTACAGTTCAGGCACGATTTAGAAGGGAGCCAAACAGAACGCGACACCCACCGAACACGAGGGCGAAAGAAACAAAATGGTGGTAATTTTTTTATTTTCCCAGAATGTTTTACAGGGGCTGGTTCAACGCAGTGTTGGTAATTGCCTTAGTAAATGGATTAGCTGCGGGGGAGTCGGCGCGCCGTGACAAAACAACATAATGGAGCAGTACAAATGACTAACCAGGGCTAGGTGCCCATGGTAGCAACAGTCAAAATTAATAATCTCTTTTAGGCTTTTAATATGTTCATAAGCCACACGATTCCTGCATACATGTAGGGTGTAGGTAAGAGTGGTGGCGAGGCCCTGAGTGTTGGCTCACCTTGGTGGTCTCTGCTTCGCAGCAAACACGGTGCACTGTAACCTCATATCTGACCATTGCCCCCAGCCTGACTGTACAGCCATCTGCACCCCTATGTCTATGATCATGCCTGCGGATGTGATCTTGTGACCCTGTGTATCCCGCAGGTAACGCTCGATATACCGAGACCTGTGGACTATGAAGGTTTCCTCAAAGCCCAGCGGCACCTGGTCGACAGCGACAAGCGCAAGGACCTCCTGCTCTACCCACAGAAGGACATAGAGGTGTGCACAGAGCCGCGCTATGTGCGCACCAGTGAAGCCCAGATACCGGAAGCAGCACAGTACGTTGAAGATGAGCAATGTGATACTTTCCCTGGTGCATGGTCAGACCACCTCTCCATTATTCTGTGTGATACATGAGTTGTGGCCCAGCTGGAACAGAAGAGAAGGAGGGGGGGGGGGAGGGGGAGGCAGTTGGTAAACATTATCGCTCAACTTTTTGACATGGCGACGTAGGTCTAAGGCGCTATACTCCAACTCCCCCGTAGTTGGACTCCCCTGAGTCGGATTGCTGTCAACCGGGCACTGAGTCTCTGAGTTGCGTGGCATACTGTATCGAGTTGTACTGCGTGCTGTTTCCGGGTTGAAATTTGTTCTGAATAAAATTCAAAAAATGCATTAGGCTAAAACAAATAATGACCTTGTTTCCGGTCGGCCGACCGGGCCACCTTTTCCCAAATCGTGAGACTTTTTTTGGTCCCAAATGTATACAAACGATGGCAATGCCATGTGTGCAAGTGCACTGAACGAGTCATAACTCAGTCAAATCTCAACCAAATTCCACAATCGAAACACCTACAAGGTAGCAGAGACTCTCAGCTGTCGGCTCGAAAACCTCCGGGGTCGATACGAGCTAGAATAACGGAGCTGGAAGGACTCACCTTGTCGACAACGACTGAGGAACCAAAAAAAGTATCCAAAAAAAATTTCATTCCGGCCGACCGAGTCTCCTTTTTGAGGGGTTGCCGACCGGAAACAAGCCTATTTTTTGTTTTGCCCTTATGTTCACAAACTGGATACAGTTCCGCCGAGGGATGAACGGTGCCTGGTTGCGTACGCACCGGCAGTGTCTGGTAACACATACTTTGAAGCATGCTGAGTAAGGCCAGGCAGATTGAGTGTACTTCCAGAGTCTACTGATACTTACACTGTCGAACCTGTCACCTTCAGACCAGCATGTACCATGACCTGAGTCTTAGCCAAAGGAACATACAGTGCCCACACACATCCCACCCCAGTCCCCATTTCACATCAGAAGCACGTTTAGCAGGATTGCACCAGGACACTGATTTATACAGCGATGGATATCACTGTGTCCTCAAAACCAGGCTGAAGCATGGGAGTAGGCTTAGTTAGCACATCATTTTACAGCATGCCAATAGGGTGAATGCATTTGTTCACTAGCATGTACGTTAGCTGTGTATGGTAAGGTCTGAATAGCTTTGAATATGACTGTGCCTGTGTGTGTATGTGTGTGGGTGTGTATGTGTGTGTGTATGTGTGTGTGTGTATGTGTGTGTGTGTGTGTGTGTGTGTGTGTGTGTGTGTGTGTGTGTGTGTGTGTGTGTGTGTCCCATATGGTGCAGTGGTATGTGCAGCGATTTCCAATCGATAGGTTGCGGGTTCGATTCCCGACGATTATGGTCACACACGTCTTTCTTCTCTTTCTCAGACTCTTCCTGACTTTTCTTTCATTCTCCTGGGTGGTTACCAACAGCCAGTGTATGCCGGAGTATGTGGTGTGGTGTGTGTGTAGAAAAAGAAAAGAAAAAAAAATGGAAAAATGAAAAATAAGGATTCACTGGCCAGAAAAAGTCACTTCAAACAGCTGTGTGGTGGATACCAGGCTAAAAATAGTGGCGGTCAATTCATCAGCCTTACAAGCTGTTGAATGGTGTAATTCCAGCACAAGTTGCTATGTCTAACATAGCTGTTCGCTATCATCGCTCCCGCGATGGGCATGTCTGAGGTCTGAGGTGTGTGTGTGTGTGTGTGTGTGTGTATGGGTGTGGGTGTGCTTTGACGTGCGATTGCAGGGAAGCAGGTAGTGTGCATGTGAAGGACTGCGTACAGTGCTACACTTGCGATTGGAGTATGGTGCGCAGAAAGTAAGTGGTTTGCCAACTTGTTTTGCTCGTACTGCCAAGCTAAACATCTATTCATTTCAGCGTACGTCACGGAAGAACGTTGCCGCTGTCTGGTGCGTGCATGTACTGTCGGGGACATGGAAATCCGGTCGCACGTCTAGCGGCCCCAGGGCGCTGGCCATGCAGCCGTGGGTAAGCAGTACACACATGCTGCAGCGCGCTTGTGGCATCGGATCAAGCCCTGTTCTGTACGCGCTGACTATCACTGGACTATCATTGCGAAGGACACTTTTGTGGTCATGATCGAATGCAAGTTTTTTTGCTCTGTCATGCAGTGCTGCATTCACACAGGACCGTATCATGAGCCTGCGCAAGATCCAGTCTGACAAGGAGAAGGATCGCAAGCACGTCGGAAACATTCAGGAGTATGAAGTGGACAATCCCCTGGATGATACAAAGGTAAACAGAAGAGACATCATAATTCCACTAGGCGGCTGTTTGGGGTGCAGAGTTCACTACGTTTCGGTGTTGAGATTCAAACTAGCATGTTTGACACGGCCGCTGGTTTAGAAAGTGACTTTTGTATGTGACCTCTGGTAAAATCGAGTTTGTGTGTGGTTTCTGCCTTCTGCTCAGTCAATCGTGTCGAACACGGGTAGCCGTATTCATACGCTGGAACGCAAACGACCTTCATCTCCAACCAGTAGTTTAGCATCAAACATGAGTTCGGCGACGGATGTAAGGTAAGCTATTAGACCCAATGGTAACAATAATGATAAGTTATGAATAGAGTAGGGTCCCTGGTTAGAATCCTGGTGGCGACAGTCATTTTTTTCTTCAGACTTTTCCCGTTTGTGTCTTTCCCTCAAACCAGTGAATATGAATAGAGTGCTTGTGATTGGACCGCGAAGAATTGCAGCTTGCAAACTATACTTTTGTGGTAGCTACAGCGACATGTTCTTGCTCATCATGTGGGGTCTGCTAGCGTGGATAGCGGAACAAGTATCTGTGGCGCATGCTGGTTGCTTTCACATGTACTATGGTGGCTGACTGTGCACATACCTGCTTGTGTATGCAGAGAGAACTGCGTCATCATGTGACCGAGAATGCATGCTTATGGTGTATACGCGAGGAGAGTGGGCACATCTTTTCATGTGATGAATTTCTAAGTAGAGTCCATCACCCATGTCATGCAATCACTGTCACTCACATACAAATACTGTCATAAAATATAAAACACAAGTTTTTCTCATCTTTTTCTATTTCTTGTTTTTCATTAGCTTCAGCACGTTCATTCACATTTTTCATCATTTGTGAGAACTAGACCTGGTCTAGTGAGAAGGCATTCTACTGCCTGTAATTCTGGTGAAGTAAAATAAAGTAACAACAACCCGTATAATTATGGCTGGTAAGCGTCCAGCGTATATGCCAATAACAGTGTCACTGAATTCATGTGCTCTTCCGGTATCCAGCATGTTTGACCTGGAAATGACCGAGGAGGAAGAGCTGTTCCCTGATCTTCTCGAAGACGTCCCAGTTGAAGTCGTTGATGATCAGAATGCTAAATGCCGCCGGGAGACTAGGCAAACATCTCTGTTCAGTTTGTATCCATTCCACGAAGAGGTATGCAGTCAATTCTTATGGTTGTTATGGTCCCTACTGGCAGCACCATGATCTAGAGTGCACACACTCACTCACTCACTCACTCACTCACAAGGTGTAAACGTTCTATTACATGTATGGCACCTGCAGCCGATGTGCTTGTGGCAGTCATCCACTGAACAGCATGAATCCGCTGGCACACCCAGTCCCCACCTTTGTTATACCGTCTTCCCGGTATGTCTTCCCGGATTTGAATGCAGCACGAATTCCATGCCCAGATGCTCAGTGGATGCTCAGATCAGCAAAAAAAGGACATTGTCATTGAAATGTACGAGGATAAGACCACTATAATATACTGTAGTTTGCTTTTTTGTCAGTGAAATTGTCACCACTAAGTTATTCCCACGCTGATATTGTTTCTTCTTGCCTTTTGAACAGCTTGAAAATCATATTGAGAACCGACCCTCTGCACCTCCTCCTGCTGAACAAGTTGGATGCCGACTGCTTGTGAAGTGCTTGGACTTGCAGTAAGTAATACTCTTTGTAACAATGGTGACTGGTCCAATGACTTGAATAACATGTGTTTTAATTAAGTGTCAGTGTGGAAAGAGTCAGGGATCTTCCGGCAATAAAGATGTGCTTCTTTCTTTCTTTCTTTTCAGAAAACGAATTTCAAATTCTATTTTAGCGTTACCCCTCCCTCCCTCACTCGCGCTCGAAACGAAATAATGATTGGATGCATATAGCACTGGAAGAAGTACATGTATCTTGACAACGGTATTGTCAAGCATGCGCCAATGTTTCCTGACTTGAAACTGCCTTATGGCCTGCTTCCCACAGACTATCCAGTAGCGTTGTCTGATGTTGGCCAGCACATAGTTGACGCCGAACTCATGATGACATTTTTCGTCTTCGGCCGCTACCACAAGCGACGTGATCAGATGTTGACTCGGTGTGATGATAGGACGTCGAGCATGACGTGTGACCTGACTACTTCGAAGTAGCAGCTTTGTCAAGTCTACCTCGGATTTCCATCACGTGGGGATAGGCACTTGTATCCAGACCTGGATTCAACGGCAGAAGTGGATTGCCGTTGGGCAGTGGTTTATCTCGCTCCAGACGACTGATGGCGTCACCATAACACTCCAGTTGAGCTGTACGGAGCCAGTGTCTGTCAGCACGTCCAAGCTCTTTGGCAGACAGCTCCTTTACTTGAACTGCTTTGCCACGTGATGTACTGTGTAGATTTGAGTGTAGATCACAGTTGCCAAAGTCATGTCTGTGTGCTGTACTCTTCTGGCACAGGTTGGAGCTAGAAGTTGAACCATTCTTTGCCGTCATGGCACTGTATGATGTGCGGGAGAAGAAAAAGGTGAGGCTAGCTGGCTACAGTGTCCGTGTGGGCAATTGTGATTGTGCCCAGTGCTTTCTCCTGCACACAGAAAATACACACTGACACAGCATGCACACGCACACAAGCACACGCACACCTTGACCTTTGACCTTTGACGCCCATCGCCGGAGGCGATGATAGCAATGCTACGGCAGAAGCCATAGCAACTTGTGCTGGGATTGCACCATTCAACAGCTTGCAAGGCTGAAGAATTGACCGTCACTATTCAGCCTGGTCTACACCATACAGCTATTTGAAGTGACTTTTTTCTGGCCAGTGAATCCCTATTTTTGGTCTTTTTCTTTTTTTTTCTTCTTTTTTTTCCCACACACACATCACACCACATACTCCGGCATGCACTGGCTGTTGGTAACCACCCAGGAGAATGAAAGAAAAGTCAGGAAGAGTCTGAGAAAGAGAAGAAAGACGTGTGTGACCATAATCGTCGGGAATCGAACCCGCAACCTATCGATTGGAAATCGCTGCACATACCACTGCACCATATGGGACACACACACACACACACACACACACACACACACACACACACACACACGCACACACACACACATACACACATGCACACACACACACACACACACACACACACACTCACACGCATATTATGCATGTGTAGGTGAATGCAAACACGCAGATGCGTTATGCATTCATGCCAGCACATTTGTTTTACTTCAACGAGCCCGCAGTAGCATTGAATATCATCAATAAAGATATTATGGAGGTTTCTGAGATGCAACCTGTTACTCGTTGTGCATTTTTACCAGATATCTGAGAACTTTCATTTTGACTTGAACTCGACCACCATCAACAAGATGATGGACAACTACATCAAGGAGCAATCAATGCCATCTTTGAGTAGAGCTGCTGTCTTCTCAATCACCTACCCACATCCAGATATTTTCATCGTTATCAAGGTATGACGTCTTGGTCACCGCGATATGTTAGCAGCACTGCATTCAGGCACTTCTCCTTGTTGCCCGTTTGCCTTTCATAGGCAAGATGGACTCCTTGATGCTCTCCTCAAAAGAGTATGAATTATTTATCTGATATTACACAATGTATTGGTGTATAACTGGTCAAGATCACACTGGAAGATATTACTTTGTGTTCAACTAGTAAAATATTGTATACTCTCATAGATCACTTGTGCACGGCTGTTTTTACTGATGCCTGTTGCTAGTTTGCTTGTGCGATCTTGTTCTTGTGTGATCTTGTTCTTGTAACTGTACAGCTGGAGAAGGTTTTGCAGAAAGACATCAGTGAGTGTGCAGAGCCGTACATGAAAGAGTCCGACACTAAGGTAGGAAAACAGTACCTCTCACGAGGTAGGAAAACAGTTGCAATCCTGAGAGTAACAACTTGTGATTTTCGCCTACTATGCTTGTGGTGCATATGCTATTAGCTTAGCCAAGAACAGCCCAGCATCGGGAGGTTGGCATCATAGGTCATAGCAGTTTGATGAAGGTGAAATTATTCCTAAATTCCACGTCCATTTGGAATGCCACACGAAATGTTGTGGACTACTAGCCTTAGCAGTTTGCTTTGACTTGTCGTTGTGCAGATTCGTGACAAGGTCAAGGCTGCAGCACAGCAAGCATGTGAGCGCTTAGGCAAGTACCGCATGCCTTTTGCATGGACAGCCGTGCACATTCAGGATGTAGTCACTGGTGGACCCAGCCAAGCGCTGGAGCACAGTCGACGTGAGACGGCTGCCAAGCTTGAAGAAACCAAAATTGCTGCCAAGGCAGCGTCGGAGCGGCGCTTCGAGGAGGTGCGCTCCACCGGCCTCCACTTTGCACCCGGCCGGACTGGCTGCGTATCGTCCGACTCACTGGACCCAATTTGCTCACAGCTGCAATCCTTCAAGCCCGTAACCTTGACTGTCAATAGCTTCTTCAAGCAAGTGAGTTTGAGCTTGTTCTTTACCGCTGTAAGCTGTGATAATGTCAGTGCATGGCGTGCCATGGTAGGTTTGCTTGTTTGCTGTATTCCAAGTACATCCTGCAGTTTGTAGGGTAGAGTATGTGCATCTATCGGCGTGTGCATGTTAAATTCTGTGAATCCGCGACTCATTGTTTTACCCGGTGTGTTTGTGTGTGTTTGTGTGTGTTTGTGTGTGTGTGTGTGTGTATGTGGTGTGTGTGTGTGTGTGTGTGTGTGTGTGTGTGTGTGTGTGTGTGTGTGTGCGTGTGTGCGTGTGCGTGTGTGTGTGTGTGTGTGTGTGTGTTCGCAGGAGGCGGACAAGCTGGAGAATGAAGATCTGTACAAGTTCTTAGGAGAGCTCAGAAAGCCTGGTTCTCTAGTACGGAGACTGAAATGCATCCCAGGTATGTACTCGTAGTGGCTTGTGTACTTCTTTGAGCGTTTCCAAGGACTATAGTGCACTCCATGCAGTGCTTTCATCATTGTAACAACATGTGGGTTGCAAAGACCTTAGTGTGCCATGTACATCTACATCCACATTGCCAATTTGCCGTGAAAGACATTATACCGGGTATTGCTATGCACGTAGCCAGACAAGGGAAGACCATACTGTGACAGCATTCCATGATCTGTGGAGGGCAAAGGTTACAACAAAAGCGCCTGCTGCAGACTCTGCAGCTTGGCTGCTCAGAGAAACATCAGAGTAAGGCCGATGATGGCAGTGACAGCAGTACCAAGGTCACCTCCACAAATGAGCACAACTTTAATAACCCTTTGCAAACTCCTCTCCGTACTAGTTGGCAAACACAAATCTGCTGTGTATGCTTTCAAATCACATTTTGTTTTTCTGGGTCCTTCATTTCTTCCTTCCAGGTACTTTGAAACTGGATATATCCGTGCCAGGGGAGCGTGTCAGCAACTCACTGACCAGTAATCTTGTTCAGGTAAGGTTTGCTGTGGACAAACGTATCTCCATCTACCATATCATGCAAGTACATGTAGGCGGTAGTACAGTCATGTAAAAGTACTTGATCAACAACTGTTTTCTCAAAGACAAAAATGCAATAAGCTCAAGAAAAGAATAAGCTTTAGGCTTTGCACAATCAACATCCTCAAGCTCTTCCACTAGTACTTTCAGTGCCTTCTCATCAGGTGGAATACAGGCAAAAAGAACCCCCGACCAAGCACAACGCATTATAAGCAATAGTGATGGTGATAGCAACAGCGCAAAGAAGAGTAGCCAAAAACAGCACGGTAAAAATGTATACTCTCATACACGTAAAGGAATGGCAAAACGGTGCAAATGTGAAGAGAGCAAACAAGGTTGCGACGTGCAGCGACAACAATAGACTACCAAGGAACAAGACTAATAAGTCGTCTATTGTTATCGCTGTACATAGCACTCTTATTTGGTCTCTTCGCACCTTCAACTTTTTGCCATTCCTTTATGTTTACGAGGGTATGCATTTTACCATGCTGTTTTTAGCTACTCTTCTTTGTGCTGTTGTTATCACATCACTACTGTATACTATTCATTGTGCAGTGCTTGGTCAGTTCCTTTTTGCCTATATTCCACCTAACGAGAAGGCAGTGAACGTACTAGTGGTAGGAAGAGTTTTGAGGATGTTGGTTGTGAGGAGCCTAGAGCTTGCTCTTTCTGGAGTTATATCCACAACTGTGTGTGTGATTTGTGGACATCATAAGCATATAATGTATATGTGTTTGGTGGATACGTGTAATCACTTTCCTGGATCGTGCCGGTGACTAAAAGTGCAAATAATCTCCGCCGTTCTGCTGTGAACTCCAGGTGAAACCCTACCCAGACCACCACTGTCGTCCAGTGCGTGAAGTAGAAGAGTTCCCGTCACGAGAAGTCTTCATTCCGTATTCGACGTACAAGTGAGTAATGATGCTATGCGTGCTGGTTACAATGAAACTTTGGATTGAATACTTTCTTGCTCATTGATGCGAAAACTCGGCCTCTAGCCGAGTTTCACACGAACCGTGATTGATTTTTTTGGCCCATTGGAGTGTACAATCTCTAAAAACGTGTGCAACAATGCGATCACCACTATGAGTACAGTCAGACCTCGCATAACCGCACACATCCGTTTTCCACAAAAATATCCGGATAGGCGAGGGAACCGGATAATCGAACACACATACTGTATGCAAGCATGGCATATGCTGTACATGTGTAACCAACTATTTTCTTCCGGATGGCGAGGGATCCGGATAAACGAGGACCGGATAAGCGAGGTCTGACTGTAGTAATACACTGGCGTTAAAAAAATTCTAACCCTTTCTTCCTTATTTAAATGCTGTCAATATGTCGAAAACAGTGTGCAGTAACAAAAGGAAAAGAAGGTGGAATAGTGAAAATAACAATGTAGAAAAGATGTTATTTTGTTGTTATTTTCACTATTCCACCTTCGTTTCCTTTTGTTACTGCTCACTGTTTTCCACATAATTATTGTTAAATAAAGTAGCCACATTTCCGTTCAACTTGTTCTCTTGATTGCGATTCTAAGATTGTTGTCTCCACGCCTTTTGTTCATTTTCTTCCTGGCAGGAATTTCCTGTACGTCTACCCGCAGCACTTGAACTTCAGCAGTAGGAGTGGCTCAGCTCGCAACATTGCTGTCCGGGTCCAGCTCCTGAGTGGAGAGGACGAATCCACAGCCTTGAAGGTGTGTAGCATAGTCGGCACGGTGCCTGTCCTGTACTTGTACTTGGGAGAGATTCACAACTGGTTGGCTACATGCTGCACCATGCTCTACATATACGCCTATACCGTAGAGGGTTGGTACGAAACCAAGCCTCTACATGTACATGTATGTGTTAAAACTAGAAAGCAACAAGGCAAGGTTGCACATTCTTATCGTACAAACCAGACGCTTATACATGTAACGTTATTTCAAGTTATTTGCGACTTTTTCGTGTGTAACTTAATGTACATCTGGTGTGATTGGCTGTGTCGAGTAATAGCATATTCTATCTGTATTCACTCTGAGTCATGTTACACCGTATTCTGCGGAGTGTATGTCGCTCCTTTTTACAACCAACCTCAATCAAACAAATAGTACGACTTACCATTGAGTGTGGCTTATTATTAACGCACTGAAATTATACAACAGAGACCTTGAAATGAGGTTACGGCTTACAATTGGATGCAACTTATAATCTGGATATAACTCAACCCTGTGTGTTAGATGGTCACATGTATTCAGTTTGTCTTTCCTATCTGTGTTGCGATGCTACTGCTGTGCATGTAGTGCATCTATGGCAGGTCATCTGGTCCCAAATACACCAAGGAGGCTTGGACAGCCGTCACGTACCACAACAAGTAAGGGCATGTCGATGTGTTGTTCCTGCGTCTTCGGTGACAGGGTGTGTAGGTATCCCCTGTGCCTTTGTGTCTCTTGTGCGGTATAGACTTCTGTGATTATTGTGCCGTCTTTTGCAGAAGTGATAATATTATATGTACTTTCTTCTTTTTTTCTTTTTTCATTCTATTGCCATGGCTGGCTAACGCCCCTCCATTGCATTGGCTTCTGCCATTGGACGGGGAAATAGAATAAAAAAATAAAAAATATAGCCTTTGCTGCATGTTTACAGGTAATCTTTCACATTGTCTTTAACCTTCCATGTCACTTATGTCCTTCACAGAGCTCCGGATTTCTATGAAGAAGTGAAGCTGGAGCTACCTATTGACTTGCGTGAGTCGCATCACCTGCTCTTCACCTTCTATCACATCAGCTGTTCCAAGCCGAAGGACAAGGAGACCGGGCCAGTCGAGCCTGTTCTCCTCGGATACACCGTAAGCGGAGCCGTTTTAAGACGGAACCAGCAAACTGTGTGTGTGTGTGTGTGTGTGTGTGTGTGTGTGTGTGTGTGTGTGTGTGTGTGTGTGTGTGTGTGTGTGTGTGTGTGTGTGTGTGTGTGTGTGTGTAGCGTGTGGCGATGCTGCTTGCGCATTGCATGATCACCCAATCATTTAGCAGGAATCATTTACATTCAGCTGTTTGATATGAAGTTTGTTAAGAGTAAATCCCCTCTTAGCAGCATTGCATCTTCAAGGATAAACCATTCCATCTTTCGCGTGTTTCTTCCTGTTTGTGTATTTCTAGTGGCTGCCACTGCTAAGAGATGGCCTGCTGAAGAGTGGGGACTATCACTTTCCGGTGACGATGGAGAAGCCACCGCAAGCGTACAGTGTGTTGACACCAGATGTAGGTTTACGACTGGACATATCCACCAAGGCATGCCGATCTGTGAAAATGTGTACTGGCAACGCAACTACAAGTACATTGTACATGTATTCTAGCTTCATAGAGCATGGGATGTGAGTTTGGAATCATGAGCTTGCATTGCAGTATCACAGCATGATTGCCATGTACATAGATCTTGTCACAGGAGGCATTGTCTTAGCCGAGCCTGAGCCAAAGCCGTTGGCCAGGTGCCACTACAGCGGCCTACCACAGTATTAATATGCTGTCATGATCATCTTGTGTCTTTCCAGGGAACACACTGCCTGCCCAATCTGAAGTGGGTGGAGAACCACAAGCCGGTGTTCAGGTTTTCTACGCACGTCGTCTCATCCCTCCATCCACAGGTTAGTCTCGGGTAATGGAGTTAAGCACATTATAATTCCTTCGGCCAGGTATAGGAATTGCACTGTGCACAGTTGGTGATGGTGTATAGGAGTGAGCACATTGATAGGGGTCCCAGACAGACGGCATGACCTGTGTGCAGGTATCAACGTCTATACCTGTATAAGCGCACGGCCAACCTGACACTTGAAGTAAGTAATGCTAGCACCATCTGGACTAGTAACTATTGCATTTCCAACTTGTGTTTTGTTGAGGCTCACAGCTGATTTCTGCAGCACAGACATTGCTTTGATTTCGTTTCTGGACACGCGCGCGCGCGCGCGCACACACACACACACACACACACACACACACACACACACACACACACACACACACACACACGTACACACCCACGTAACTTTCCTTGATCATGCAGGCCTTCACGCAACGTGTGTTGGAAAGGTTTTGCGCAACTTGCTGTGCACTGGCATCTACATAACCTACTGTCAATCATACCAGTAGTGTACACTAAGCATGCACAAACATGTGTTCTTTTTCTATGTTCTTTACAGGATCAAGCTGTTCAGAATTTCCTGGACTCGTGCAATCAACCACCGGTGTCAATATCTCGTCATGACCCACGGCGGCACACAGCATCGGGCGCAAGACCAGGTGACTTGGACAAGATCAGTGGCATGCCGAGCTCCGTCTCTCCGGACTCCATCCTCTCCAACGCCATCGACAGACTAGTGCAGTACGCTGGGGCGGAGGCCATGATGAAGTTTCTGCCGCTGCTGCTGAACAAGCTGTTTGGTGTTCTGATCAGGCCAGGCAAGAGCTCTTCGGCCCGTAAGTTTCCTGGGTAATCTTGATGTGAGGGGTATTGGCTTATGATGAATGTGCATGTGGGTATGGTATGGTGCCTTCGCACAATGCCCACCTACATGCGATAACAGGGATAGTCGAGTCTGAGTCAACCATGGTACGACTAAATATATGTCATTGGTCTTTGGTCATCCTAACAAAGTCAACGTGATCCGTTCTTTGATCGAATCAAAGTGCATCATCCAAGTGGTAGCTATATGATATCAGCTGCTATCCATGTAGTGGCTATGTACTTGTGGTAATAAGAACAAAAGTCCACACCTTTCACATTCATTGCGTTTCCATGTTTATCCTCAGACTCGGTGAATGAGAGAGCGTTTGATGCGCTGGCAGCTGTCATCCACAGTGCGCACGAGCTGCTTGGCGAATCCTGCGATGCACACGGTCGGTGTGAGCAGTTGATCAAGTATGTCACGTATGTGTTCAACTCGGTGGCACTGACGGAACGACAAGCAGCAGTGTATGCTGCTACCAAGCCAGATCAGGTCAACGGTAGACCACGCTCCAGTGTTGTTTCGTCCAAAACAGGTACGAACAGGTAGCATCCATTGCATACCCTACACACAGGGAGGATTGGCGTACTACACTGTCAGCAGAGGTCCTTGAGCTAGGACACCTGACCTTTTGGTGTTGCTTTTGAGTCCTGTGTACATCAGGTGCATGACAGCATCTGCAGCTCTTGCTTCATCTAAATGCTAGTGACTTGCCAGACAGTGTTTTACAGTAGAGATTCTGGCTGGGGTAATTAATGCTTCTCCTGCTTGCCTAAAATGATGTCTGTTCTACTCTGCTTTGACGCCCTTGCAGATGATGGAGATACTGCGTCAGTTGAGAGTAGATCCCATGACAAGGTAGCTTTGGCCTTTTCTACCTAAGTGTGTTTGTGTGTGTATGCATGTGTGTGTGTGTATGTGTTGGTGTGTGTGTGTGTTTTTGAAATCCTTTCTTGACGAAAACGATCCCAAGACCTTCCTGGGAGTTGATACGCACGGGGAGACATTTGGGAAGAGCCAATCCTCCGATCAGCCGATCACAGCACGTATTTGCATCTGTGTATCTCCACAATGTACATCATTCTGACATCAGTGCTTGTTTATACAGGCCGCTGACATTCCATCCATGTTGTGTTGTCTACATGGTCATATTAGGCATTGCTCATCCTTGTAACGTTATTCGGTGTTCACTGTAGACCATTCACGGCGAAATTGCACTGCAGTGGGTCTTTGCTGGTCCTCAAGTCAAGGAAAGAGCCTACAGCAATTCCTGGTTCTTCTTTGACATCATGGTAAGGGCGAGCACGTACTGGTCCCGCCTGTGCATCATTGTGGAGCTGTCTTGCTTGTCTGTGTGATGTGATCGTGCTTCACACCAATTATTTGTTGAACCACGTGACAGTGCATGACCTGATAAAGCCCCAAGGGTGAAAATTTGGAGAAACGAACTATTGAAAGTGCAGTCTAGGACTATGGAGGTGGTGGTGGCGATTTTAAGTTTAATAACAGATGACAGTGACTAATGATGTATTGAGATGTATCACTCCTTTGCGACTCGGAAATGTGCTCTTTATAGGTGAAGAGCATGGCACAGCAGCTTTCCAAAGAGAGCAAACTCTCGGTGCCTCCAGAGCAGCGCTTCTCCAAGTCCTACCAGGACGACGTCAGCAAACTGGTCAGCAACATTTCCGATGAGATCATCAATCGTCACATCAAGGTATGAGATGACACTACTCTCGTGATATGGAAAGGGCAATGAGCCCAAGCTAGCCGAATAGTCGCTCCATCTTTCCCTGTTTTGGCTTCTCACCACTTTAAAGTATCCAACAAACTTCAGCAGTCAGTACAAAAATAACAGCATCATGCTTAATGCTGATCCTTTCTCTCCCTGCAATTACATAGAAGATTGACCTGTAATGATATTTTCAATATTTTCCGAACACTCTGACTTTGGTGTTTCGAGCTGGTTTATAAAGCTTTGTTGTTCACAGGATTTCATTGCGATGGTTGAGCCAGTGACTTTGAGCTCTGAATACCTCAGCAGGTTGAAACAGCTACCTGTCTATATATTAATATAAATCATTAAAACACGTATACCATGGATCTTCTACAAGTCGAGGTGACCTCTATCACATAATTATTTCACGATAATATTATTATAGTGTGTGTGTGTCACTGTATGTGTCACCCATCCTCTTTGCGTCCATGCCAGGAACCGCGTTTCACACAGAGCTTGAACACCAGCCTAGCGTTCTTCATTCAAGATTGTCTGTCGTACATGGACCGTGGCTTTGTCTTTGGTGTCATTCGGAGCTACTTGCGGCAGGTATGGCGCCTTTTAAAGAAACAGTTTTCGACGCTTCATGCGTGCAGCTCTGTATTCTAGCTTTGTAGTGGTGCTTTACTCTAAGCTGTGGTGTTGTGCAGTCAGTTCCACTTGGGGTATTTGACTAGCGCATGTGATCTGCGGCCCATACCACGCCTTCCCCTGTGAGGAGTTCTTGGTGTTATATTCTGGTACATGCTGCAGAAGCTGATTGTTTGGCTTGGGAAGGAGACTGGCAAGGATTGTACTGTCAAGCTGTCAAGTTTGATCCTGTTACTAGCATTCTTTGCTTCGTCACTATCTAGTCCATCAAAGACTGATTAGGTTGTCTTCTCTTCCTCTTCCTTCCTGGATGTGCAGATCAGCATAGCAGCAGCTGACTTGAATCTAATTGAATACAAGCTTGATCTGCTGAGGATTGTGTGCAGCCATGAACACTACGTGCCTCTCAATTTGCCACTGCTACCATCCGCCATGATGGTCGTTGTGGGTGACAACATCAACAGCATTGCGTACTCAGCTTATGTCGGTGAAACGCTCAAACATCCGTAAGCAAGAGTACATGAAAACCAGAGTGTGCAGCTTGGGGCTTTTTCTACTATGGGTGTCCGTCACGGCGGAATTCCGTGATTACATCATATTTGGCGCAGATCTAAGGCGGGAAATGGTGTAGTGCGTCAGTTGTGCGGAAAGAGACCTGCTTGAATCCTGCCTGCACGTACTACATCACTAAAATGATATAATCACGGAATTCCGCCGTGACAGCAACCCATCCGAGCTGCACACTCTGGTTTTCATGTACTCTTGCCGTAAGTGATTTGAGGTAGAACAGCATGCTGAACTGAGCGGGGAAATACATTATGTTATTGCATAGTCTGATGGTGTATGTCGAGCCCCTGTTTGCAAGTACACCGGCTACAGACCCTGTTTGCAAGTACACCGGCTACAGACCCTGTTTGCAAGTACACCGGCTACAGACCCTGTTTGCAAGTACACCGGCTACAGACCCTGTTTGCAAGTACACCGGCTACAGCCCCTGTTTGCAAGTACACCGGCTACAGACCCTGTTTGCAAGTACACCGGCTACAGCCCCTGTTTGCAAGTACACCGGCTACAGCCCCTGTTTGCAAGTACACCGGCTACAGCCCCTGTTTGCAAGTACACCGGCTACAGCCCCTGTTTGCAAGTACACCGGCTACAGCCCCTGTTTGCAAGTACACCGGCTACAGCCCCTGTTTGCAAGTACACCGGCTACAGCCCCTGTTTGCAAGTACACCGGCTACAGACCCTGTTTGCAAGTACACCGGCTACAGACCCTGTTTGCAAGTACACCGGCTACAGCCCCTGTTTGCAAGTACACCGGCTACAGCCCCTGTTTGCAAGTACACCGGCTACAGCCCCTGTTTGCAAGTACACCGGCTACAGCCCCTGTTTGCAAGTACACCGGCTACAGCCCCTGTTTGCAAGTACACCGGCTACAGCCCCTGTTTGCAAGTACACCGGCTACAGACCCTGTTTGCAAGTACACCGGCTACAGACCCTGTTTGCAAGTACACCGGCTACAACCCCTGTTTGCAAGTACACCGGCTACAGACCCTGTTTGCAAGTACACCGGCTACAGCCCCTGTTTGCAAGTACACCGGCTACAGACCCTGTTTGCAAGTACACCGGCTACAGCCCCTGTTTGCAAGTACACCGGCTACAGACCCTGTTTGCAAGTACACCGGCTACAGCCCCTGTTTGCAAGTACACCGGCTACAGACCCTGTTTGCAAGTACACCGGCTACAGACCCTGTTTGCAAGTACACCGGCTACAGCCCCTGTTTGCAAGTACACCGGCTACATACCCTGGACTGTTATCAGAGACTGATGCGGACGCTGTATTTTGCTGCAAGGGTGCATGTTACCATTGATTTCAAGGGAAATACCCAGCCAGTTACAGCCGTACAGCTCAAATTTTGCCAAATCCGGCCTGATGTCACACGGTGGTGAGGTTATCCATGTGGCGAGCCACCCTGTCACTATCGTCGGCGTGTTGAATGTAAATGGGAAAAAGTAAAATACATGAGACACAGCTCATAATAACCATTGCTGCACTACTCTCATAAAGCCATAATAACCATTGCTGCACTACTCTCATAAAGCCATAATAACTATTGCTGTATCTGTGCTTGGGGTGTGCTTTCAGCTCAAGATCCGACTCTAAATCGGACCCAAGCGCGTCTCTGATTTCTTCTGATCGTCATGATTTAATGGGTGACGATGGCATGGATGACCTTGGTACGAGCAGCCTGATGTCTCTAACGAGAACCCCGTCGCTGCGATCCGTGTCGTCCACCATGACGGACGCACCAACACCGCTCAGCGAGGACAATGTCTACAGCGAGCTAAGTCCAGAGTATCGGCAGATTCACTTCCTTGTTGGCCTGCTTCTTACAGAGCTAGCTGTGGTGCTGGATGGACAGTGAGTGCTGATCATGTGTCTGTTTGGCTAACTAAGAGATAGGATTTTGTGTGGGTGATGTGTTTGTGTGTAAGTCTTGGAATTCGTTCAGAGCCCTTCATGAAAGCACATTGTGTTGTTGTGATGATTTTTGCGATGTGAACCACTTTGACTCAAACATTCTGCTATTCTCACAATCTCGTCAGCATTTAGTTGGAGTAGCACGACGCTCTATGCAACCCCGGAAATAGAGTAGAAGTTGCACTGTTTTGCCTATGTCAAGTGCCGAGAAAATGTGTGTGTGTTTTGTGTGTGTGTATGTGTGTTTTGTGTGTTTTGTGTGTGTGTGTGTGTGTGTGTGTGTTTTGTGTTTTTTGTGTGTGTGTGTTTTGTGTTTTTTTGTGTGTGTGTGTGTGTGTGTTTGTGTGTGTGTGTGTGTTTTGTGTATGTGTGTGTTTTGTGTATGTGTGTGTATGTATGTATGTATGTATGTATGTATGTATGTATGTATATATGTGTGTGTGTGTGTGTTTATGTGTGTTAAATTTTCCCAGGAGTTCCCGGCTACATCGGCAAGCGATCACAGCACTGCGCGACCTTATCATGAGCCATGACATCGACCCGCGGCTGAAGGACCAGGAGAGTCGCTCGCGCATCGCTCCCATGTACATACCCATGCTGGTGATTATGATGGATCACTACACGCGCTTCTGTCGCGACTTCTCAGCGCCGACCGGGGCACCACAGGGTGAAGAGGGTGGCGCAGCATCTGGTTCGGCCGCCCCCACTCCAACCGGTGCCGGGCCAGAGGATAGTGCAGATGGCTCCACGAACGATGAAGCGTCGAAGCGCACGTCCATCGTGACCAGCACCTCCGAGATCATGTCGTTCCCGACGGGGACATTGTCTCGGCACGATCTACGTACTGCTGGCATTGTAAGTTGCATAAGAAGATGTAACTGTTACTGTCACGATATTCATGGTGTACTTGGTGGTCTCATCAGTGAGTAGTATGGGAATAGTTTTGCCTAGTCTACTATAATGACAATTGAACCTAATTCGAATCAATGTTCTCCACTTTGTCCCCCCCCCCCTCTCTCTCTCTCTCTCTCTCTCTCTCTCTCTCTCTCTCTCTCTCTCTCTCTCTCTCTCTCTCTCTCTCTCTCTCTCTCTGTCTGTCTGTCTGTCTGTCTGTCTGTCTGTCTGTCTGTCTGTCTGTCTGTCTGTCTGTCTGTCTGTCTGCCTGCCTGCCTGTCTCTCTCTCTGCCTGCCTGCCAGACGAGCAACATGATCACTCAGGAGAATACGCGCAATCTTCTCATATGTTTCCTGTGGGTGCTGAAAAACCTGGACCAGCGACAGATGAGGGACTGGTGGATACAGTTAGACTTTGTCAAGTGAGTGCATCGCATGAACAAATGCTGATGCTGATACTGGTGCTGACGTCTTGTAATAATATGGCTGGTTAGGTCGGATGATCTAATTGCTGTCATTGTGGCCTTACGGAAGATTTGTCTTTGCTATGCAGTTGCGAAGGCACTGTATGCACTGTACTTCATTCGTATGACTTCTGTGACGGTTCTGTCCACGAATAACATGGCATCTGCCTTTGTGCTTTGTTTTTATTTTTCAAGTGACGATTCCATGGCCACATTGCGGTGTTATTTGTAGGCTTGTGTTTTGTGTTAATATCGTGCTTGTTGCTGCTGCTGCTGCTGTTGTTGTTTTGCAGGAAAACAGTGGTTTTAGATATCATGGATCTTTGTGTGATGGCCTTCGAGTACAAGGTAAGCATGGTATGCTATCCTTGTAGATAACTGGACTGCACAGTACACTGGACTGGACTAGTGAAGTGCAGGTCTGGCCAAGGCTGTCTGGTTGAGCTGCCTTGTGCACACTCTTCTTTATGACCTTTACCAATTGCCGGCCCTGCACTCACGACTAGCCCTTCCACTCCTAACACCATCATGCAATGGCTATGTTGCTATGTGTGCGATGATCAGGGCCGTGGCGCTTACTACTCTGCATTCAGCACGACTGGAACAAGTGCCGGAGCCACGAACGATGTCAAGCAGCGTCTTGCCAACGTCATCCTCTCTGGTGCTGGGTCTGCGAGGGAGAAGCTGATTGAGCGAAGACGGCAGCAGCAAGGTAACATAATACTAGTACATCAGGCACCCGTTGAGATTCGTACATGTACAGAGGCTTATGATGACCATGGGGCAATGATGTTGTCAAGCAGAAGCAATATCTCCGAAAACGACCTTTGTACACCAGTGGTTTTGACACTTGCACAATGTGAATTCCTAGCCCCATGCATGCAATAGATAGTGCCTTCACCACTATTGTTAATGTACTGCAAGTAAGCAGTAGTCATACAGCGGTACGCTGCACTGCAGTATTGCCTAAATGGTGCTGCATGTGTGATGTAGGGAGGGGGCATTGATGGTACTGCTATAGGGATTTTAATTTTCACCAAGTCTGTGTTTACTAGTGTCTCTCTGGCATCATCTGCACCTGTGTATGCCTCTGTGTGTGTGTGTGTGTGTGTGTGTGTGTGTGTTTGTGTGTTTGTGTGTTTGTGTGTGTGTGTGTGTGTGTGTGTGTGTGTGTGTGTGTGTGTGTGTGTGTGTGTGTGTGTGTGTGTGTGTGTGTGTGTGTGTGTGTGTGTGTGTGTGTGTGTGTGTGTGTGTGTGTGTGTGTGTGTGTGTGTGTGTGTGTGTGTGTGTGTGTGTGTGTGTGTGTGTGTGTGTGTGTGTGTGTGTGTGTGTGTGTGTGTGTGTGTGTGTGTGTGTGTGTGTGTGTGTGTGTGTGTGTGTGTGTGTGTGTGTGTGTGTGTGTGTGTGTGTGTGTGTGTGTGTGTGTGTGTGTGTGTGTGTGTGTGTGTGTGTGTGTGTGTGTGTGTGTGTGTGTGTGTGTGTGTGTGTGTGTGTGTGTGTGTGTGTGTGTGTGTGTGTGTGTGTGTGTGTGTGTGTGTGTGTGTGTGTGTGCATGTGTGTGTGTGTGCGTGTGTGCGTGTGTGTGTGTGTGTGTGTGTGTGTGTGTGTGTGTGTGTGTGTGTTTGCACACCCTTATACAGGTGGTAATGTGATTGACCCGGGCACTCGGCGGTGGGGAAGAACGATCCATCAGCAGCACGTTGGAAGCAGCCTACGGTAAGCACAGACTAGCCCTTGATTCTGGCTGTCATGTAGAAACATGCACTAACGTGTCACATGGAAGCATGTACTTACATGTAACATGGAAACATGTCTCGTACATTCGCTCGCCTGCGGGGTAGACTTTTATCACACACGGTATGATATTGTGTATGTTTCGTGCAGCTATCCTGACTGTGTATGGTTGTTTATGGTTGTTTATGGATGTTTATTTGCTTGGGTGTGTACTTGGGTGTGTGCACCTAGGCCGATGAACGAGGTTGAATTGGACATTGATCTGGAGTCTCAGCTTGGTTCCGAAGGAGCACTGATTGTGCTGGACACTTTGGAGCTAATTGTGGAGGTAGGTGTTAGCTGAGTTCTACCTCTAGGTCATTGTGTGCGTGTGAAACTCAATATTTATCACAACTGGATTGATATCTAAACGTGTCACACCCATACTTACTCATGAATTACGAAGTGAAGAAAAAGTTTTTTTGGTTGCTTCAATACTTGGAGTCTGTGTGTAAGACTTGAAGTTTCTTGGCGCAGAGCTAGTGGTTTAGCTTAGACCCAGGTGTTAGGAGTGTATTGTGTAATGTAGCACGTCATACAATGGACCCTACTCTGCTGTGTGGCTGCAGGCATCTACGGAGACAGACCGCTTCAACACCATTCTCAGTTACTCATTTGTGGTGTTGCTTCACTTGCTTGGGGCAAACCAGAGCTCTAACACTCTACATCATATATTTGCCAGCCAGAGAGCACTGGTGTCGAAGGTGAGGCATGTAACCTTTTCTGTGTTTTGTTGTTGGTCGACACCGCATATGGTAAGAACAGTGTAAGAGTTTCAGAATTCTGCATTCAACAGCACCCATGTTTCTATGTTCTACACTTAGCACCTTTGTATACCAAGGAGTTGCATGGCAGCTGTTAATGTCAACATTTTTACCGCTGTCTCTCCACCCCCCCCCCCCAGTGTGCACCTTCCACCTCATTTATCACTCTATTGCTTCTTTCAAATGTGCATTGATCTGGTAGAGTTTGGTAGTAAATGTCAGCTTTGTTGTTCCCCAAAGCACTAACTTAGTCATTGTGTCAGTGTAGATTGATGTTCCATAATCAAAATCATGCTGGTGAGGCAAATGGTTTTCTTCTATTGGTGCTGTCCTTTCTGTCTCTTCCTTGCGAGCAGCATCCAGAATTTCTGTTTGAGCAGGAGACGGAGCAGAGCTCCGATCTGTGTGCTATCCTACTACGCCTGTGTGGCTCTGCTTTGGCAAGCACCAGAAGCCAAGCCAGTGCATCGTTGTTCATGCTGATGAGGCACAACTATGATTTGGGACAGGTGAGTGAGCGGGCAGGGCATCATCTTCAATGAGGTTACCACCAGCCTACACACGTACTGGCTGTCTTCAAGTAAAGTAGTTTACCTAATGAAGCACGGTGTGACGATACAATATGACATGGGGCTCGGGCTTGTTCAGGAATATGGCTGACTAGCACAATGGTGCAATGACAGCAGCAGTTGCATTCCTTACCTACATGTACATAGTCTGCACTGTCACTGTATTGCATGTACAGTAGATCAAGATGATTGTTCCTTGCGTAATCTGCATAGTATCCGCCTGCTGTGTGTACCTAACCCCTGTGTGTGTGTGTGTGTGTGCGTGCGCGTGCGTGCGTGTGTGTTGTGAACAGAGCTTTGCCAGAGTGAAGGTACAGTCAACGGTAGCACTGTCAACACTCGTTGCTGGCAGCCAGGTAAGCGAAGGACATGATCAAACTTTGTCGTAGTGCAATAGAAAATTAGTCATCAGCCTAATGGCCGCATCTCAACTTGGTGGTACTACACACGCCTATTGCAAGCATCAGAAATAAGACTCATCCTAATTGCTTTTGCTTAGACCAGATAGAAGCACAAGACTCTGATGTTAGTTAGTAAATGCTGGGACGTTTGCATTCTGAACTTGGTACTGAAGTGCGATTGTTGTTCTCGCATGTTTTCCTTGGTGCCAGGGTCAGTCGTGCAACGCTGATTGCCTGCGTCGCTCGCTTAAGACGATCCTGACCTATGCTGACCAGGACGAGGCCATGTCAAACACTCCATTCCCAGAGCAGGTCAAGGAACTAGTGCACAACCTGCACATGATCCTGCGAGACACTGTCAACTTGAACGAGTACAAGGAAGTAAGTTGAGTGGTGCACTGGAATTGCTGTAAACGTACCCTCTGTGCTGTGGTGAAGCCAGCGATGTCTAGAAAGTTTTTAAGTAGTCCACCGGAATTGCTGTGAAGGCATACCCTGTACACTGTGGTGAAGCCAGCGACGCTAATGCGATGGCTTTGACAAGACTGTTGTCGTTTGTGACTTTCTTTAGGTGCGTGATGTTCTGCTAATTGCTTTGTTCTCTGTGTGCACTAGGATCCAGACATGCTGCTGGACTTGATGTTGCGTATTGCCAAGGGGTGAGTACAACAAGTGCAATGCTATACTCCATTGCTGGCATTGCTGGCCTGATGGAGACGAAACTCATTGGTCGGGTGTTTTATATACCGTGAGCATTAGCCACAATGAGCCAAGTTTAGCTGTAGAGAAGAGCTAATCCTACGCAGTACTAGTACACTGCAGTAGTGCTCCGTCACCATAGGTGATCAAGGAAACACTTGTTGCAAAAGAAGGATCCACGAGCGGGATTCGAACCCAGCACCCCTGTCTTTCCGGGACAGTGCCCTACCGATTAGGCTACCGGGGATCACACACACTCATGGGTCCTTCTTGCTACACACTGTACGCCATGTACTCAAGATTGATAAAAGATTGTAATAATCAGTTTTTTTCATCTAAATGTTGATTTTGTACTACTGTATCATGTTCTTGTGTGTACCGATACAGTTATGCTAACTCGCCAGATCTCCGTCTAACCTGGCTGCAGAACATGGCACAGAAACACAACGAGGTAAGTACTACCCGGACACTTGATGGCACTGTGCGGGTATGCTCGTCATCCCGGCATAGCCTCCACTGAGCCCAAATGGAGAGGGAAAAAGGGAAACTGGTGTATGCCATACTCACGCCAGGGCATCATGCATAGACACATCTACTGTAACACATAGAATGCTGAATGTCATGGTGCACTTCACACACGGTCTTGTCTTGTTCGGGAATCAACTCTAAATCCAGTATGGGTCCTGCTTGTTTCCCATTGGCGACTGGTTTCGGCGTGGACCTACTACAGAGCTTGTCTTAGTCTGCAACTATTGTGATGTTTTCTTGTGTGTCTGCTTCACAGCGGCAGAACCTGGCCGAGGCAGGCATGTGCATGGTGCATGCGGCGGCATTGGTTGCCGAGTACCTCAGCATGCTCGAGGACGACTCGTTCTTCCCTGCTGGCTGTGCATCGTTTGAGGTGAGTATTGATGTCGCCCTGATGCTGCTGCTGGTGTAGTGCACTGGTAAATGCAGGGTAGACATGCATTGAATTCCTTTGTTCCACTATTGCACTATTAGCACGCTCATTAAAGGGGAAGTTCACCCCAAAATCAAAATCAGATATGTTATTGGGAAAAATCAGCTGAGTCGATTGGTGTATGTCTCGTCTTCATCCTGTGACCGTAACCGGAGATATACGCAACTGAAATATCACTTTGATCCCCGGTTTTTGGCGCCGCCATGGCGTCACGAATCTGTGACGTCAAAGAGATAGAGGAGCTCATGGAGCTCGGTACTTTTACTTGGAGTTGAACGGAGAAGAAAGTGAAGTCGTGAATGTCCAAGGCGGAAAGTCAAGCAGTATGAGTGGAGACGATTCAGGGTAGGTCTAGCTCCTTGTCAGGAGATGACAGTGACTCCGAGGAGAGCGAGTTGGACGCCAGCGAAGGAACCGAAGTATACCGAGGATGAGATCATACAGATGGCGAGTGCGGAGCAAGTTGGTGTAAATGCTGACGAAGCTGCAGCGGCTGCTGCCGACACTGACCCTGCTGCTTGCTTAGAAGACTGCTGGCCACCTTGCGATCGTGCTGGCACTACGTCCTGGTGTGAATGTGGCAAATGCGTCGTTCAGTTATTGCGGAACGACTGCATTTGCTGCAAAGATGTTCCAGAATCGGCAGCGATTGGTTGCGGAGTCTGGCTGCATTACTTGCACTTCACAGTTCGAGAAAGGCTGCAGCAACCAGCACGCACTGTACATTGTACTGCGCGGCTATTTGGACACGATCCATTAGCAGGCCGGATCGAAGCCATCTGAGTTTGAAAACCGGTACGTGCTAATAGTGTAATACTGTCGTCGATTTTGCGTCGGAGAACTGTATTTTCTCATCAAAATAATTATAATACTGTTCCATGGTGCAAAGATATAACCAGGATATTGGCTTGTATACTTCTTCAAAAATAATTGTGTTGTAGTGTGCTGCTGTTGCACTGAAATGTACGTTGAAATGTGAGACTAACAGCAGGAAGATCTACTCCCCTGTTCCCCAATGCAGCTCGTACCGTTACGCAGCATACCGACAATACATTTGGCTGCATGGTATTCGGAAAACTTGGCCGAGGAGTCCGGTGGAACACCTGCATAATGGACACACGGCAAAGCAATCATAAACTGTCACTATTTGTAGTCAGCCAGGTGCTTGCACGTGTGTGTGTGTGTGTGTGTGTGTGTGCGCGCGCGCGCGCGCGTGTGTGTGTGTGTGTGTTTATAGCAAAAGAATACTCATGAAAATGTACTGCCAATGTTGCAAGCATATGTATGTGTGGATTTCATCTACACAGTGCCAGTGGGTACCATAACATTACCTCTAAATTTCCCGTGTGCTGACGGGGGTCTGTGTGCACGCATCAGCAGATATCATGCCATCGTCTGGACTCACTGCGCATGCAACTGGAGACCGAAATGCTGCTGCATACGGCTCAGCATGGGCTTGAGCTAGGATCATACTCGCGGAATACACACAGATAACAGTGTCAATGCAACACAATAAAGAAATTCTTGGAATTGAAACTTACCAAGCAGAGGACAGAGCTAGAGAGTGACCACTGTATGCCTTTTCACGACATGTAAAACTTGAATATTAAAAAAATATATATTGCACGACTTTCTGTCTTCATTCAATACTAGGACCTTGCAATCAACACACTGCAAACAGTTTTGTACCGGTATCTGTAAATAATCTTCTCTAGTACGATGTACTCAACACAGTGGGTGAAACTGCTCTCTCCAACTCGCGATGTACAGACAAATTTTCAACACGCTCTCAAAGCACGAAATTACCAGAACCATTCACTCACCTCTTCTCTCTCCTGATCCTGCGACATCGTTCGCTTCGCTGGGGGACGCCTGTCCGGGAAGATCGATGGCACAGCGTCTGCTTTCAGCGGCACGCTTTGCCCATCTCCCCCTGCAAGTTCCTCTGGAAGGCATTCTCCTCAAAATGTGCCGAACAAATTGCACAACTCTCCTCAAACGTAGGTGGCAAATTCTCGCGGTGAATCGCTGCAACCCATTCCGCTCGGAGAGCTTTATCCCGCGGAATACGATGCACCGTGGTCCCAAGGGGCTTGCCAGACTGGTTAGAGCAGCCGACAGCACAGCAAACCGGCATCGTGGTTGAAACTGTTCAGGTCGCAAGAAAGAAACTCCACAAACGCCACTCTTTCTCGCTCACTGAAAAGCAAGCAGACCGGGAACCTGTATCTCTTTGACGTCACAGGGTGTGGAGGGGGTGTGCGCCGGCCGCATGACGTCATTTTGCATGACGTCATGGTAAATTTCAAATTCAAATATCTCCAGAACGGCGTATCGCACGGGGATGGGACCTTCACCACCGAACTCAGCGCCTCGAAATCTACAAACTGTGAAATTTTGATTTTAGGGTGAACTTCCCCTTTAAGAATATTACATTGACTTCTTTTCTTTCCTGCGTGTTTAGAAAATCTCACCAAACACACTCGAGGAGAGTGCAGTGTCAGATGACGTCTTAGCACCGGTAGGTTCTGCAATAGATCCGAACTGTGTTCTTGTTCTCCCAGGGTGGTTTACGTTGTTGCTTTCGTGGCAGTGCTTCCAGTCAACATTTCATTGTGTGCCATTTTATTTTAAGAATTGCTGTGGCAGTTGGTTGCACGTTACCGAACGCCACACAGTACGATGTGTTCAAAATCCCTGTGAGTGCGTAGCGAGTTCCTGTGGGTGACGTGGTGTTTCATTATTATTATGCTGCTGCTGCTGTTGCTCCTGTTTCTAGGATGATGAAGGCATCTGCACAGGCAAACTTTTCTCGGTCCAGGGCTTGCTGGGTTTGCTGGGGCAAGCCGCCATGCTGTTTGAAGTGGTGAGTTTGTAGTAGTGTAGTACTATAGTACTAGCAGTGTGATATGACTGTATCATGACAGTCCTTACATTGTACAAGAGTAGCTGTCATGGCTGAACACTGCTCTTAGGACTATTCTGCAACTGCATGGTCATCTGTGTTCGTACGTCGGTGTGCAGGGGTGTGTAAAATTGTCTCTTCTCCATGCATCATCCCACAGGGTGGTCTCTGGGAAGCAGCTTGCATGCTCTTACAGCACATCCGGCCAATCCATGAATCCGTGCGTGACCACAAGAAGCTGTCAAAGATGTACTTCAAGATGGGCGAACTGCAGAAGAAGATCACTGATCAGGTAGGATTGTGCAGGCATAACCCAACGCTCAGAGTCCCCATCCATAGTACAGTGTAACTTAGTATTCCCTCATCAAAGGCCGTGACCGTGACTGTAGACTCTGTGGTATGGTGTGTGACTTGTGTCAGATGTGTAATATGGGTGACGACAACAGAAGCGAGATGTGTTCTTTTTGATATAAACACTCCATTGAGACTGACTGTTTGGTGGGCTGTGCATGGGGGAACAGAGAGGAATGTTGCCCTGGCCGGTAGCCCATTTCTCTTCTTTCTAAAGCTCCAGCAAACAGGGTGTGCGCAATGATGTAAGACTAACAAGTGATCGTTGTGCTGATGGTGTTCAGGCTGGTAAACGCTCACTGGGTGCGTACTTCCGTGTGACGTTCTTCGGCTTGCGGTTCGACGACCTGGATGGCAGAGACTTCATATACAAGGAGCGTCCACATACGTCCCTGGCAGAGGTCTGCATTCGATTTGAGGTGAGTGGAGCGTAGGAATGCTAAGGTTGACACAACTTGACACGAAAATGCAGTCGTAGTTCATTACCGTCTTCAGATTCTCAAGGTTTGTGAGTGTGAGTACAAGTACATTGACTAGCACATGCACCTTGCAAGTCCTGCACCTCTTGTTATCATCATGTGCAGCAATTCTACGAGGCAATGTTCGGCGCGGGAGGTGTGCAGATCATCAAAGACTCGAAGGAACCGGATAGAGCCAAACTCGATCCCGACACGGTGAGCAATACTTACTTTCAGTCAGCATCGCTGCAAGAACAACTGTTACTGTTGTCTGAATCAGATCTCCATCTTTCTTTCTCCATCATAGTAACACATACTCTCTATGACATCGTGTGGTATCGTTACTTCAGGCTTACATCCAGGTGGTGTTTGTTGAACCGTACTTCGACGACTATGAGCTCAAATGGCGTTCATCTTTCTTTGAGAAGAACTTCAATATCTGTGAGTAATCACGAGTGAAGAGAACTAGCTTACTGGGATGCATGTATGCGTATCATTGTGGATTTTTTAGTTTATATTTTATTGGACTGAACTTGAAATGTTAAATGCCAAGGAGGCTAACAGCTCTGCAGGTCGATGGGCGAAAACAGGCAGGAGGCACTGGGGTTGCTTTACAGGACACTGCCTTGTACCGTGTACCCCGCACCAGCTACTTAAGTATACATGTAGTATAATATTGACAAATACAACGGCAGGTAAACGGTGACGCTATGCCGCACTCTGCTATGTATGCATTAGGCCGATTCTTCTTCGACATCCCGTTCACGGAGAGTGGCAAATCACACGGTGACCTGGCTAGTCAATGCAAGCGTCGCACTATCCTCACAACTGCCAATGTCTTCCCGTACGTCAAGAACCGGATAGAGATTGGCAGTCGGGAGTCGGTAAGCGTTACTCTCACATGTTCCCTCTTTTCTCAGCAGAGTCGGGTAATTGTAATGTCGGCGTGATATTGTTTATTTTGTTGGCACGGGATCGGGTGACTATGTTGCTTGTCATCTGCTATGCAGTCTTACCCAGAACACCAGTAGTGACATGACTGGATGCTCAAGTCATCACCTGTGGCAAACCTACATGATATCTGTGGAGTGTTGAGTGCAGGAGCGCTTCCCTTGTTCCCTTTTTCGTCGAGTGCATGCATCGTAAACCCGTTGCCCCAATCGGTTCCACAGATCATATCCAATATAAATCCAATATTTCTCTACTCCGCTCCTCCAGGCGCTGTTCAGCCGATTAGCTACTCTCGGTAGCCATTACACACAACAAAAATTCCAAATCCATTCAAGTGTTCTCGTATTGGCTGTGCCTTTTCCGTATTATCTCCTGTTGAATCAGTTTGTTCTCTCACCGGTGGAAGTTGCTTTGGAGGACTTGCAGCGTAAGTATGACACGCTCATCGAGGCTGTACGACAACAACCGCCAGATGTCAAGCGACTACAGTTGCAACTGCAGGGTTCCATTGGAACGACGGTGAATCAGGTATGTAGTACCATGCACCACTGCAACAACATGTGCTGTGATGGCTTGCAATGCACCTGTCTTTGCCCGTCTTGACCAAACCCTGAGCAGCAGCTAGTCTAGATGTGGGCCTGGGTTGCATCAAGAGTGCATTCTCCCTGTAGTGACTCTGTACAGAGTGCAAGTAAGCGTTGGGTGTTAGGTGTCGATGCTGTGACTGTGAAGCACTAATGCAGTCCATCACGCGCAGGAGTATACGTATACCATTGTGTCCTCACTGTCATTGAAAGTGTTACGGACGATTGGTTGGAAAGGTCTCCGGTCAATACCAGTTGACTTTATCTGAAACCCAGCGGCCAATTTAAACATTATCCTCATTGACTAGACTCTCCTAATCACTTCATTATTTTCTCTACACTCCGCCCAGGGTCCTGCGGAGATGGCACTTGTCTTCTTAGCGAATTCAGAAGAAGTCGCGCGTGACAAGAACCTTCGAAAGCTCAAGCATTGCTTCCGCGACTTTGTGCGAGGGTGAGTAGTGGCAGTAGTAGACGGGTGTGTTTGCATTGCTTGTGCAGCAGCTGTGATCTACGTATGCTGGCACTGAACATTTGCCTCCTGTAGGAATGTGTGAGATGCTTGCAGTCTAGAAAGTGCTTGCCACTGCCGGTTTGTAAGGTTACGTTGACGATGACGCTATAGTTGACGATAACGCTCTAGTTGACGATAACGCTCTAGTTGACGATAACGCTATAGTTGACGATAACGCTATAGTTGACGATAACGCTATAGTTGACGATAACGCTATAGTTGACGATAACGCTATAGTTGACGATAACGCTATAGTTGACGATAACGCTATAATTATGCGTATGTGACTATGTGTACCTGGTTACTCTTTGACATGTTTTAGCTGTGCTGAAGGACTGGAGAAGAATAAGGAGTTGATCAGTGACAATCAGCGAGAGTACCAGCGCGAGTTGGAGCGCAATTTTGTCGACTTCCGCAAGAAGCTGGAGCCTATCTTTGGCAAGAAAACGAGTCAACGGTGGATCAAAAAGAACAGGTTAGGAATAGCTGATGATTTCCCCCCGATATTACTCTACTTGGCTGCCGGGTGTGGTTTTATCAACTTTTATGTACACGTAAAATTAATGAACTATGACCTTTTCTTCGTAGAATTAATGTACGAGCTACATAATAAGTAAACGGTAGTTAAATTTGGTCTTACATTGGTCATGTTCCCGCCGTACATGCACATGTGTACCTACAGAGAGAAGACTGTCCTGCATAACATAGCACGGCCGAGCAATCAGAGATTCTAGCTGACTGCCGGACTGGACCACAGCAGCTACACTGTCACTGACGCCTCACTGATGTGCTATGAAACAACCGCTGAACTACTGTGACACTTTGATCAGGTACGAATGCAAACACCCCGCAAGCACTGATGGGTAGCGTTCGGGACCGATCAACCAGGAAGATGGTCATCTGATTTTCCTGCTGGGCCATTGATCGAATTTTACGACCGATCAACCAGGAAGATGGTCATCTGATTTTCCTGCTGGGCCATTGTTTGAATTTTACCATTGTACATATTATTGTGATTAGATGAGACCCCCTACTGTTTCTACTAGCTGTCAATTCATTTGGTGTAATGATGCCATACATACTTGGCTTGCTGCCCCATGCATATATTCTCCATGATAGGAACTGCTGATCCACAAACATGCATTCACTAGCTACTGAACCGCAGGAATGCTAGTGCAGGTTAGTGTCTCTCAGTTAAGTTATGATGACGACGACGACGCTGACAGGCTAGTTGTGATGTGCTGCTGCTGCCGCCGCCGCTGCTGCTGCTGCTTCTGTCATGTTGCCACGCTGCCACTGCCACAGTTCAGCTGCTCCTCCTCCCGTATATGTCCTTGTGCAGATCCCACTCAAACTGTGTATACCAATTAGATCAGTTTTACCTCCATTGAACCATTTCCTAGGCCGTCCATCTCCCATATGCTCACACTCCGGTGTGACAGGCGACTCAGAACGAGAGCGAAGAGAGAGAGAGAGAGCGGTGCGGGTAGGCATGCCCATCGGTCTGGCACCCATGCTTGCAGATTTCCAAATTCATCAACCCACATTCTAACCCTGGAGGAACAACCAGAATTGTGCTCCTCCCCTTCAAGAACTCATCCCTGTCTTTCTTTCGCCCTAGTATTTGATACTGCATTGTGCCCCTCTTGTCTGGAATTTCTATGTTGTACACACATACGCCAGGCTCATTTTATGAGAGATGGATGATGAAAAATACGCATTCATGTTAGCTGTGTTGAATGGCGGGGAGATGGTAAATTCGCGTTCGTTATAGGCTGTGTGTGTTTGATCATCATAGTCATTCTAGCAGTTTGTTCTAGCAGTTTGTTAGGCAGCAACAGTGCGTGTTGTTAGTATGACTGGGAAAAGGTTCGCGAAGAATGACTGGCATGCAGGGTGTGGCGGGGCCGTGCAATGATACATGTACTCCAGTATCGCTGTGTTTCATGAAGTCATCAGCTGAGGGCAAGGAAAGTAATCAACTAGCAGATTCCTCAAGAGGTGGTGGGCTAGGATGGTTAGCTAAACGGCGTGTAAAGCCTTAGAGCAATACTTCAGAAACTAATATGAATATTACCAGTAGTGACTGGTCTGCCATCAGCAGTTTGGAGTGTTTGCAGCGGATATATTGCTTGGTACATTGCAGCATGGCCTGACTAGGTGTCTGTAGAAGCATGCACTCGCCGCCGCATCTGTATTCTAATACTGTCTGATGGAACCAGACACCAGGTTAGCTTAGTCGATGCCGCCGCACCACGAGAATAACTGCGAGACGAACAAACTGTTCAGCAGTGATTGAGATTGCTGGCATCTTCTGGTACGAAGAAGGGTTGTCATGTCCGTCACTCTCTGAAAGTGCAACAACTCATTCGTACTGTATCTCATTCGTACTGTATCTCACTCGATTGCTGACTAGACTAGCTAGGTGACTAGACTAGCTAGGTGACTGTATCCGACTGATTGGCTGACCGTACTACTAGCTACAGCTAGGTGACTATATCTGGTTCAATGGCTGACCTTACTACAAGCTTAGGTGACACTAGCTCCAGTACCGTACAGGTGGTACAGCGGCACACTGTTGAAGCGACGCTGTGCCGCACCGGCTGTCAAGTGAGCCAGCAGGTTCTTCTTGGACGCCTCGCCGCCGCTGGCATTCTCATAGGCCTCGACGAGCAGGCGGGGCGTCGGGTACAGTTCCAGGATGCTGGCCGCGCGCACTGCAGATATGCCTGTCACCTGCATGAGCTGGCGTGCGAACAGCTCCGACACGGACATCACCTTGTTCTTGATGGCCATCTCGTTGAAGTCACTGAAACGAAGCAGGCGAGTGTGGCACGCACCATTGCCAGCGCCCGAGCACCGTCGAGGCAGCTCCTCCTTCGTGCAGCTACTAACCGACACGCTGCCACCATACATGCTTGCCAGGCGACGGGACATGAGAGTTAGGTAGGCTGCCGACTCCCTGGCCGTGCTGGTGTGCTTGACGTAGTAGCCATCTTGTACCTACGCACAATCATGACAAACCCGGGCACACACGTATCTAGCTCTGGTACTGGTCCCATTACACACGTATCTAGCTGGTACTGGTGCTCTCGTGTCGCGTTATGCGCTAAAGTCAGTTGCAGTATCAACGTGCAAACAACTAAAACCCATAGTCAATGTCATGGTGTTTTTTTGTCTTTTCAAAGAAGAATGTAGAGCACACATCCTCTTTCCCTCGGCACTGCAAATCCACAACTAGAGATCAGAATCTGTTCGAACTTTTTTTCTTGAACTGTTTGTGTGTCCCAGCTTCTTTTCCTTCGGTTCTGAAGAGTTGAGGATGGTATGATGTGATTTTGTTTTGATGATCTTGAAGATTGAGTGCGAGCGGGGTGAATTGCAGTGTTACTCAAGATTGCCACTCGGAGTTAACCTCCCATCCACAGAGTTGTTAGCTGCAGGAGGTGTCCAACCTACTTCTTGTCACTTGTACTTCGAAGTATTTTCATAAGAAGTGCTTGGTGCAAGGAGCTGCTCTCCAGAAAAGCAACAGCTGCACAAACATTATTACATACCGGTAAACCACCACTGATGTTGTTGTGGATGTTTTCAATGCACTATGGCTTTGCTTGTTTTCATGCTTTCATCAGTCAGACGAAGAGACTGTCTCGCAACTAAAGAAAGACCTTAGCTCTAATGCATCTATTTCCTATTAAAACATCGCAGGCGTTGGCAGGATAAGGGATACAGACAAGTGGCAGGATAGGACTGGTGTAGAAATATATCTTCTTCACGCCGATACAGCAGTGTTATTCAGGCTTATACAACCCCCTCCCCCACACACCCATACACTTGCGGGCCCCTTGGATCATTTAGCCATTGATCATGACAAGTCTACTGGGATTGTGCTGCCACGCTCCTGTAGTTCCCAAGACGAAGCACAATACTGTCCTGCACTCCTATACAGCAGCAGTGAGGGCTACCTACCTGAGTAGTGGCAAGGGCCTGGAAGAGAGCGTCCTCTCCGATTAGATGACTGCTGTTGTTGTAGTCCTCAACCAGATAGATAGGATGTGCCAGACCACTTTGAGCTATGCGAAACTGCACAACAATACAAAATGACACCCATCGATGCAAGCAGTGAAAACCAGTACAGTACATGCAGTAAACACATGATGACATCATCAGCAGTACACTGTATATGTAGAGTAAAGCATGATCACTATGAAACCCCAGGCAATCCTTACTAACAAAACTGCAGTGAATCCCAACACGTGCGTGCGTGCGCGCGTGCACGCACGCACACACACACACCCACACACACACGCGCGCGCGCGCACACACACACACACACACACACACACACACACACGCGCGCGTACCTTCTGCTCTCGATAGCGGTCCTTAGTACCAATGATACTGGCAGCTAAGTCATCCATTCGCTTTCTTTCGATGATGTAGTCTAAAACCAGCTCCTGCGGGTCTGGCCGTCGCAGCTGCCCTGTAGCGGAGAAGATAAAGCACACATGACAAGATGAGCACACATGACAAACAAAAGAAGCAGGTTATGGCAATCGGGAAGGAGGTATAAACCGTAATAACCATGAATATAGGAGCAGTCAGAACAGCTGCTGAACTTGGCTGGTTGTTGAGGCACGGATCGGGTTACACTGTGCCTTTTCAGGCTCCAATCTGCCAGGAGAGTCTGACACCAATCTAACAACCTGATAGCAATCACACTTGTCAAACATGCATGTACATGGGCCTTATTTTAAGTCACCCCCCCCCCCCCCCCCCCTACACACACACACAAACACAGTACTAGTGCATGTACTATCATGGACATTACAGAAGCAGTCCAGGATTACTACTAGTATGTGATATGCATGAGCAACATGAACTATTTAAAGTCAATGACCGACACTCCATCACATGTACCTGGTATAGGCTGTGTGCGCTCCTGTGCAATCCACACATAGTCACCAACGTGTAGCTTGCGCCGCTCAAAGCGCACATCTGCACACAAACCGAGCGATATCCAGTATTCACCACGACATAATGGCTGCAGACTCTAAAGTCTAAAGTAAACGCATGCTCATGACCCACAGATCCAGGCTTCATGTACAGGGTCAACTCTGGGTTAGTGACAACATTGCACCTGACAAGTCTGACTGCTAGAACTTTACAGATTTTATGTGACAAGACAGCAGCGCAATATTCAAAACTACATAACAGGCGAAGGCTCCATGTGACGAGTATTACTACTACCGCGCCCCCGCAATTCAAAAAAAATTAATGGTTTACGTCAGACTCGGTCAGGTTGAATTGTCTGCATCCACAGGAATCTAAAAGATCCACGCCCCTTGTGCAGGCAAAACTAACATACGGCACCACAACACACTACTAACGGTTTCTTTCAAGTTCCTCCATGATCTGCCCAGAATACCTGTACAAACATACCATGGGACAGTGCACAGTGCACAGTGGTAGAAAGAGCACATCAACGTCAGGACATGCCAACAGGCGAATCGTGAATGTGAAGACAACACACAGCCATGGCAAGGTCACTTGGCACAGGACGGCCAGCTAAACTAGACAAGTAGAGTGCTAGTAGGGCAGGGTGTAAGATGTTGCACCTTGGACATTCCAATGAGCAAGGGCCAAGGGTATACATGTACCAAAGAGGACAGATGTTACTGTCAACCTTAGGAGAAGTTGCCATGCAGTGCTGCACGCTGGACTTTTGATTTGTAGGAAAGGTCACGCCATGCAATGAACTAAGAATACATGCATTGAACTTAGAGCCCACTGAGCCACAACAACTCACCCGTCACGACGCTCACAAACATCACAAATCAGAATGATGTCATAGGTACCTGAGGTGAGTAACAACAACATGAGAATAACTTTGACACAAGGACAATGACGACGACAACAATGACAGCTGTTGGAATGTTCCCCCATGCGACACTGGTTGTAATATATAAATTGTAGTACAAATACACTGAACGTGGCTATGTGCATGTGATGTGCAGGCTACAAACAGGGCCGGTCGAGGCAGCTCGAAGCAGAGTGCTCAATGCACAAATGTGCAGGGCAATATACACAAACAACGGAGGCGAAGGGCTGTTCAGCTGTAACTATAAGTTCACATATTGGAGTGATCATCAGACAGTGGCATTTGTTACTGAAGTTTTTTTAGAGCAGGGCTAGATATTTGGTACTGGTTTGCGCAGGCTATATTTGCGCTAAGTTATCTGCCCTTGTGCAAAGCTCGTTGGGTCCTTCATGGCTAGAGCACTCTGACTTTGATGCTTTGGACCTATTAAAAAAGGCTTGGCTGTTCACTGGACCTCTTTGTGATCGGTTCAATCAGTCACTCTGAGCTCCGCTGATGAGACCCAACAAGGTCCAAACAGCTACAAGTAGCTGTCCGGAGACTGAGAATGTACTAGAGTAGAACCAGGGTTAAGGGTCACACCGGATTAGGGATCAGAGCCCCGGGGGGGGGGGGGGGGGGGGGGCACTTGGCACGTACATTGTGCGGGTGATCCTTCGGAGCCCGGGGGGGGGGGGGGGGGGTCACTTGGCATGTACACTGTGCGGGTGATCCTTATACCGGGATTTAATTTCCGGCCCAAGTGGGGGGGGGGGTCCCCCGTCGGTTTCCGAGGAAGCCGTAACTTTTTCGCTCCAAACTATTTTTCCGGGTCCATCTACTCACAAAAGTCGTTTTGCACACCTTTTTGCCCATCCCTGTACAACTGAGTCCAGCTATGTCCGCGCAGAGTTAGGTGGATCCCTAACCCGGGTTCTACTCTACACGTACCGTACATGTACATATATATATGTACAAAACAAAATCACAACGTAGGAAAGCCACGAATCCCGATCACCTCCACACATGCATGCAGACACCCACACCTCTACACACAAGCTCCCGTACCGGCAGGTAGAGTCACAGTCGGAGTAGAGAGTGGCTGTGGTGTTGTAGCTGAAGACGTGGCATCTCTATGTACACTGCTTGCAGCAGTAGCAGTAGCAGTAGCCTTCCTGCAGTGACCGTGACAAAAGGCGGCAGAAAAGTGAGAAAGCAAGACAGTAGCTCACATAGGGTCCAACTCCAAACAATAGACTGATGACAATGTTTGATCTGAGTCGACTACCACCATCCAACCTACTTCAGTTTTGCTAAGGCTGACTGGGAATGCACCTGACCATTCCAAGGAAGCAACGGGAACAATGAATTTTGCAGTATAGCAATTCAAAACCCTCCTCTAGCAAGCAACTCAATCCAATCTACCAACTTCTATACCATCCATCACCACTACATGACGGTCCAGGAAACAAATTGCAAGAGACATACATGCTACGGTACATGATTTGTGTACAATACACGCTACAGTACATGCTACAGCACATGCTACAGTACATGTACAAATAGACAGTGGGGGCGACCAATATGCCAAATCACTTGAAAGCAGCCATCCTCATCGGCACACAGCTAGCACCTGCTTAAAAGTAGCATGCTCACCCTACACGTGTTGATGCTGACTGAGCTGCTGGTAATGTAGACTTGCTGGATGACAGCGCAGCTGCAGCAGCTGTGGTTACTGATCTGCTGGCTGCACTGTGAGATTTAGATATCGTCGATGACACCGCCGAGGATGCTCCAGTGCGCCCCGACGCCGCCACAGATCCGGTCTCCGTCGTCCGTCCTGCGGATAACACACGGGCCGGTGGTTTGACCGCAGACGTGATCAGCGGCAGATCCTCATCGTCGACATCGTTATTATTAGAGAACATGGCATCCCAGTCTTGGTCATGATCCATTGCCACTAGAGTGGCATCCTGGTCATGGTCTGCAAGGTCCTCATGGTCTGTATCACTATCATCACTTACTACAGAGTACACAGAGATACAGGGAAACACAAGATACAGGTAACACACAAGATAAGGGCAAACGGGACAGAAATGAAACAGATGGGGAAATCTTACAGAAAAAAAAGGAACATGACTAGTACACTGAGTGGACACAGTCAGAAATGCTGCTTGAAGTACAACTGCCAGTAGGCAGCAGTGAATCCGGAGGCCAGCCATACCCTGGTCTACGAGAAACTATTACAGTATGCTGCACACAACCATGAATTGAATCCCATCCATGAATTGCAGAGTAAGCACAACTGATGGACTCTTGTCTGGGTGTGTACTAGGCCACACAATGGTTAACATTGCTAGTAACATAATTGTACCAAGCTATGAGTAGTAGGGGTGTCATGCATCCAGCAGAGTATGCTTACGGGCAATAACAGTATTTCGGCTGCTGCCTGATGTACTCTGCCCATAGGTTCTGTGATAAGTACGACAACATACCCATAGTGACACATACGCACATGCACGCACGCGCGCGTGCACACACACATAATAACTACTAGTAAACGTATGAATCATGACTAGCAGTGAACTGACGAGTCAAGGAACTGGCAGTAAAGCAAAATGCATTTTTCCGACCTGACACCTCGATGAAAGTATCATGCTACGAAGTCATCTGACAGGCTTCTTGAAAATGTCTACAACTTTGACACAATGGCTTCAAAGTCAATTTCAGACTAGAGTAAAACTGAAGAGAGAGAGAGAGAGAGAGAGAGAGAGAGAGAGAGAGAGAGAGAGAGAGAGAGAGAGAGAGAGAGGAGAGGAGGGGAGTACAGACCATATTCAGGCTTGCTCTCTGGCAGAACCATACTGGTACATACCTAGTTACACTGGTGTAACTGGTCGATGAAGCGCAAGACTGGCTTTGCGCTGCTGCAGCCTGACTGCGACGAATAGCCGCCTGCGCTGCCATCTCACGAGGACTGAGGCAGGCTGACATCGCCGTCGATGACGCCGCAGTGGCTACTTTGGCCGCCGGAGATTTTCTTTTGGCCGGCGGGGGTGAGTAGTAGGAATCAGCGGAGGATGAGAATGAGGACGATGATGAGCCCACAGATGCAGCAGTCGGTGACGATCTAGACTGAGACCGAGCACTGCTGGCATCACTACAGCTAGACATTGCTCCTGGTGCTGGCGGTGAAAATGATGACGACGGCGATGATGATGCTGCTGCTGACGGTGCTGCACCGTTGTCCACAGCTTCTAGCCTCTCGGCCAGTTCCTCTCCTTTACTGGTAAGGGCATATCTACATGATGGTACAGGACGGGATAGCATGCAAGCACATCACAGTGACAGGCATGAGTAACAAAGAAATAACACAGAAAGAAAGTGCAAACCAGCGGTTATAGCACACTCAAACCGAACGCTAAATGCACGTTTACGCAGGGTATGTATTCAACGATATCGTCGCCAGAGAGCGACATGTAGCTGCCCATTGGGCGGGCTGCACACACCCTTGCTTCACACATACACATAGTGCATAGGAAGGTGAAGACAGATGATGATAATTGTTACCTAGCTGGACAGCCACTCTTTGTCAGCAAGTTCTTGTTGATGAGACCGCCAGTTGAGGACCAGGCTGTATAGTAAGATCCGGGATCAGCCTGTGCATACACAACAGCGATGGAAAACATAGCAGACATTCACCTAAGCATGGTGCCCTCCGCGACAAGGAGTAGAGTTATTGGAAAAAGACGAGATATGCCACTCGCCAGAGACTAATGTCCAATGCCCGGCAGTGCAACTAGTGGGCAACTACAGCCTGGGTGACAATGTCTCCAATAGCCATGGCACTAACGATGAATCAGATCAATCAGACGGATCCTCATGGCAGGGCAGATGCCGTCTGTGCAATTAGTGCAGCTAGTGAACTTCTGTCACAAACCACAACAGGGGACCACAGCAGGGGACTACAAGAAGGGACCACAATGTGACATCCATTTAGCAGTTCCAAACCATACGCTTTTAAATTACACCTTAGGAATTCCTTTTTCACAGCACAGAGCTCAATGCTTATAATGGCGGAGTGGTTCACTCAAGAACAGGGGGAGCCAGGGAAGGAGGAGGAATTTAATGGTGGTTTAGCGTGTGCGCTAAGCCCTGTTAACGAACGTGGAACATCTACCACTCATACTTAGTCTGATGATCATGCATCTGATTATGATGTCATTGCTATACATGCGCATGCGCAGCGCGCGCCACTCTCCCACGCGTGCTTTCCAAATCTTGCTTTAGAGAGAGAGCAAGAGAAAAGAGAGACTCCTTTGTCACATTTGCTTTCCGACGACTTGACTGTTCACTGGTTTGTCCGTCAGTTGTCAATTTTCCCCTTCCCTCCCAACCCCATTCGACTGGGGATCACTATCTCTCCGTCACTGTCACCATAATTTCCTCAATAACAGTGTCAGCACAACTCTTGTCAATATACTTATATCGGGTGAGGGCAGTCTATCTCCGCAGCTGGCTCATTTCAATCACTACCGGTCGCAGCTCCTGCCCACGGCAGGCCGACCGTCTCTCGTTCACACTCTGTGTGCTCCAGGTCACAGCTCCTGCGCAGAGCAGGCCGACCTGTCTGTCTCTCTCTCTCTCACACACACTATGTGTGCACCCGTTCACACTCTGTGTGCTCCAGGTCACAGCTCCTGCGCAGAGCAGGCCGACCTGTCTGTCTCTCTCTCTCTCACACACACTATGTGTGCACCGGGTCACAGCTCCTGCGCAGAGCAGGCCGACCTGTCTTCCTCATGCACGCCAGCTGCTCCGCCCAATATCCCTGATATGCCAACCAGAAAACAATGTGTTCTGAGCCGGGTGCATGCCTGTATGTGGAGAGTGCGTTAACTCCAACTTAAAGTTCCATGCACTAAGCAAATAATGGGTAGCTGATATCTGTACATCCCCTGCTCATCTGCTAGGGGCGTGAAGACACTGGAGGGTGTGCATGGGTGTGAGGTGACACTAACACTAAGTTTCATGCATTTGAGCGATTATCAGACAGCGGCATTTACTACTGAAGTTTTGAAAGTGGATGTAACTTTGTAAGGTTAGATGTGATAGTGCGATCATTATCATGCAGCACTGCAGCTAACACATGCATGTACTGGTACTTGTGAGAGGAAGAAGAGCAAGGAAGTGTGACGTGCAAACAAAAAAATATCACTGCTTTTAAAGTAGGGCTGAGTCGGGTAGCATTTTCTTTGGGTATCGGGTCCGGGTAGTTTTCCACGGGTAGCACGGGTAATGTTTCCATGGTAAGACCACAATGCACACCGGCCCCTTCCCTTGCGCATTGGGTAGACATGCGTGAATTATTTGTACACGTGCACTGTACATGATGTCATCTGCGACCTCGGGTTTTCGGGTACTATTCGGTACCCGAGGTCCTCACGGGTAGCACGGGTACCCGACTACCCGTGCACACCACTATTTTAAAGTGTAAGCGTGCACGTATATGCTTAGGACACGTGAAGGGGTGCGATGGAGGAAGTAGCAGGACACGGAGGGAATGGGTTGCTTAGTAGGAGGTGCAAGGTGGGTTAGGCACAGCCAATGTACATGATAGGTGTGGTGAGGCGTGGAAGACAGAACCTGCTCTGGTGGCGGTAATTCTATACAAGCTCTGGCCTTTTGTTGCGGCAAGATCTCCCATCAGCTCCGAGGTTCACAGGCTGCATGACTTCGTGTCCATTCCCAACCCTTTGCCCATCTCAGCGCTATTCTGATCTGCAGCTATTTCTACCTCACATTCTTGAGCATACAAGTGCCGCTCACAAATATCACTCCTTTTTGAAGAAGAGCAGGGAAGTGTGATTGCCAACCACAAATATCACTGCTTTTAAGCAAGCAGTGATATTTGTGGTTGGCACATCCCACTTCCCTGTTCGTCTTCCTCTCACAACTACTAGCACTAGTACATACATCTGTTAGCCACACTGCTGAATGACACTAGCCACACAATCATATCTAACCTCACACCCATGCCCACCCTCCAGTTTCTTCACACCCTGTACTGCAGAATATGAGTATGGGATAGCCGGGTGTGAGCCGCCGCTGCCTGATGGTTGCTTAGGCACGACGCTTTAAAAGTAGTCGAGTTCATCCTCCACAGGCTCCCCCTGCTCTTGTGTACTTCACACACACGCACACACGCGCGCGCGCGCGCGCACACACACACACACACACACACACACACACACACACACACACACATCAGCCCACTGCTCACCCTTGTCAATGACTTGGTTGCATACAGCTGTGCGTCACGTTGGATGTCTGCCTTGCCCATGTAACCAGGGTAGTTGGGACGCTAGTCATGATACAGAAAACACCAGCAATAGAACACACAGGAGCATACATGTACAAGGACACGCGCACGCACGCACGCACGCACACGCACACACACCTCAGACCTGCCCATCGCGGAAACGATGATAGCGAACAGCTATGTTAGACATAGCAACTTGTGCTGGGATTACACCATTCAACAGCTTGCAAGTTACACCATTCAACAGCTTGCAAGGCTGATGAACTGACCGCCACTATTTTTAGCCTGGTATCCACCACACAGCTGATTGAAGTGACTTTTTCAGGCCAGTGAATCCCTATTTTTCATTTTTCCATTTTTTTCTTCTTTTTTCTTCTTTTTTTCTTTTTCTACACACACGCCACACCACATACTCCGGCATACACTGGCTGTTGGTAACCACCCAGGAGAATGAAAGAAAAGTCAGGAAGAGTTCGAGAAAGAGAAGAAAGACGTGTGCGACCATAATCGTCGGGAATTGAACCCGCAACCTCTCGATTGGAAATCGACTGCACATACCACTGCACCATATGGGACACACACACACACACACACACACACACACACACACACACACACACACACACACACACACACAAAGAATGAAAAGCATGATTGACCAAATTGTCAAAACGGCGTACCGGTAATCACTGTCATGCCTAGTCAGATGTATACCACAAGGCCAGCACCCAAAGCCACCAAGAGAAATTAAGATAACAGTGGTACACAATGACATGGCCGCCATTAGGATAAAGTTAAAGGAGACCCAATAAACTCATCTTGTAAACAACGCAAATCATGGCCTTCTCTCCAGGAGTACGGAGGCAAAGAAAGACCAACCAACAATCGTTGATTTCCGGATTTCTGATTTCCAACATTCGTCTTACGCTAAAATGCCATAAATTTGTTCCAGATTACCGACAAAATTAATATACATAGAAGGCTACTTGATTGGAGTAGGATCCAAATCCCTCAAGGTTCAGATTAGAAAAAAGACAAGAAGCAACATTCACAGTCTCCAAGAACATGTACACTATGCAAAGTATCCATTTGAAGTATTTACCCGCGACGCTTTGAGCAGAGCCATGAGGATTGCATACGGCCCGGACCCATGCTGTGGAACGTACTCCTGTACTGTTGTTGCCCTCTTTTTCTGCAACAGAATAAATAGAGAATGTTCGTCAACTCAATGGTCAGCTAAAAGCATGCAAGGATGCTTCACATTGCTGTGCCCTACGCACTGGAGACATTGCAAACAAGAGAACAAGTTCGGGAAGGGGTGGCTAGCTAACAAGGATCATACCCAAACAGAATCTCTCAGCATTAGATGACTATACTCTGTAGTCTGTATATAGTACAGTGAGCACATTGCACAGTCACAGATAATCACAGATCATGTGTGCTGCTAAGTACAACACTGACAGGTAAAACACAACGACAAGCACTGGCCGCCGTTGGGTGCTCTTGAACGGGATGTGAGGCGTCAAGCCAATGGTCAGATTTCACCAACCATAACTGCACCTATCCGCCTGTAACACATACCAGTGCACTGTGCTACTGTGCTACTTGGCTAACTAGTGGTCAAACGGATACACTATAAGCCAGGGAGTTGTAAAATACTGGTACACTATTGTACAACTCCCTGCTATAAGCTATCGGCCAGATAGCATCACTACCGGTTCGTCATATAGAGAACTTTCCATTAGTCACCATTTCAATGTCTTCCCGGTGTCTACCCAGAGATCACTCGCGTTGCAAGTCCTTTGACGTACGATAACATCTGTTGGGTGGCAAGAGGATGACCACAAGGAGTTGATTGGCGCGTATTTCCAATAGTGATGCAGCAGTTTTGAAATAGTATCTCTACTTTCCCTCGTGCCATTGTGTGGCGAACAGTACGGGTAAGCAATGGAAGTGACGTCCAGCCGTAGCTACTCCTCGGTTTATGGCAGCCCTGACGTCCACTATGATGCCAAGAAGCGATACCACAACAATCTGAACCGAATGGGTGGGAATTGACTTCCCATTGCATTGACCCATACTTGCCCGTGAACGATACATTTCCCGCCAATCCCCCTTCCGTGGAGTATCCAGACGTGCATAATTACTTAGTGAATTTCCCCAGTCCGCATATGCAAGAGTCCCTAAAGCGGACAATTAGAAAAGTCCCTAAAGGCCTACAAAAGCCCTGATGGCTACAAGTCTCTCGTTGCTGGCTGGGTTGGGACGGTTTCGTGTTTTGCCACATCCGTTGCAGAAAGAAATATATATTTTGACAGGGTGTTTCCGCGGAGCCTGTCCGTTCCTGGATAGCCGCCGAAAAGTCGGCAGCTGTTCTTGGTGCTCACTGCACATGCATTGCGGGCCTGGAAGAGGCATGCTCCAATGTTGCTGCAGTGTTGTTTTGACTGGATGCCCGTTGGCTGACGGTGATGTGGATTGCACGTCTGCACCTTGCCAGTGACTGGAACCTGGGATGAAGCAGGTAGAGTACAAGAGAGTAGTTGATATCGATTTTGCTTCACCTGGCCAGAAGTTTGAGCATGGCGCCCTTAAGCGCACGTACGGGCCGAAACCTGCAATAAAGCCACCCACTGATCATGAGTTTGTTGCTCTCTTCTATTCCCTAAATGCAGCACATCATAACAAACATGCCATCCTCTCCATTCTTCCTGAGTTGAGTGATTAGCGTGTACCTGCTCTGGCCACTGGATGTCCTCCTCCTCTGAGTGACCTTTATGACGAGAGCTTACTGTCTGCCAGATACAAAGCCCTACTTGAATGATGCGAAGAGTTGTTTTTGTCTACTACCGCAGAGTAGGCTGCAAGTATAGAGAGTGCCAGTCGTGACCAGGCAAAGTCAAAGGCATGGTTCGACTACAGGGCAGGTCGCATCACTGCGTCAAAGTTTAAGGCAGCAGCACAATCTGACGTAAGCCAGCCATCCATCTCTCTTATGAAGACGATATGCTACCCGCAGCCGATTACATTCTCGTCAAATGCTACTCGATGGGGATGCGAGCATGAAGATGTAGCTAGGTGGCAGTATGTAGAGTCCCACCATCTGAACCACAGAGGCTTTGGTGTTTCGGACTCAGGTCTTGTAGTTAATCCAGAGTAGCCTTTCATGGGGGCTAATCCCGATGGCAGAGTCTCATGTCAGTGCCGTGGTGCTGGAATACTGGAGATAAAGTGCCCATTTAGCTGCCACTCATCAGACCTCGCCGATAGCACAGATTCAGCAAATTTCTGCTTGGAGAGGGTCGTCGGTACTAGGCCAAAGCTCTTCTGATCGAATTGCATGAACGTAACGTAAGCCAATAAGCCAAATCCTTGCAGGCTGCACGGCATGACTCATTGGAAAGTCCTCTTTAACCAGGGTTGAATGCAGACAGACCCATGCACCACCCGCGTTCATGCATTTCACCACTATCACACCCGCACGCAGTGCTTCTGTATGAATACTGTACAGTTGACTTGTGCAATACAATGGTGCTGTATATAAGTTTAAACGCAATATTTTAGGTTTTTAACTTAAATTCCAGTCGCGTTGTACTCAGTCTTTAAGGCTGCAACCACAATAGGTACAAAATCACGTACAAATGGCACTACAGTAGAAATCGTCAAGGCGACACGTGCGAAATGCAAAATGCGCTTTGGAGGTTTTCAGCAACTGGCGCACCCATGTAGAAAGCCACGTTTGTCGTTTTCGTCGCTTTCGCGCTCCATCTCCTGTGTACAACATTTTTTGTACCTGGTCGTCGTACATAGCATCAGCATTGTTTTTGAATTTCCCGGTCTTTTCCAGCGATGGCACATGCTTTGGTACGACAACGTCACGTGCTGGTCGCGTGAAAACGTCATCTATGCAGACCGAAAAGTGTAGTGTGGCTGCGTATCGACTTGTACTTAGATATGCACGGAAATTTGTACTGTAATTTTTACATAGTGTGGTTGTGGCCTAACTGAGTACCGTAAAAGCCCGTGTATAGGCCCCGGGCATATAGGATAGCAGCCTCGATTTCCTGGGCGTATACAAGGGCACGGGTGTTATTTTGGAACCGGGCGTATACTTGGAATAGGGATAGCAGTAAGTATTGGGTATCAGTACCTGTACGTGTACACTGTACTGGTGTTTCCGGCATACCTGGGCGTATACATGGGCATGGGCGCTATTTCGAAACAAAAGTGTTGACTTCCCTTGACTGGGCGTGTACACGGAGGGTGGGCGTATACACGGGCTTTTACGGTATAACGCGAACCGTGATTTTTTTAAATTTAGGCAATTTAGGTAAAGATTCTAACTAAAGAAAGCAGGCACCTAATTATAACTATAAGACTTGAAAGTTTTACTGTTAAACGATTTGCAATTTTCTCCTACAAAGCAGGCACAAAGTTGAACGACCTTCCCATCACACCCATTTTCTATTTCTCTAGAACAGAGCAGAGAAAGAATAGCATAAAAAGAAAAGTTTCTCCATGGATTTTTCTTTTTGTTAAAACGCCAAACTTAGTTCCTCATTCGAGGTTCAAGTCTTACAGTACACCTAAAAGGCACTAGGGTATGCACTGTATGTGAAGAGAATGTTGGTCACCTAATTCTACGCTACACCTGAAAACCGCAGGTCCCCGACACTGAAATTTTAATACACCGAGCATGACATGTTTCACCTAGAATTACATGTTTTGCAGTCCCTGTATGCACCCGCATTGTTTGTATGGCGGTGGGGGGGGGGGGGGCACGTACCTTGGTGGGAGCAGGAGCGACACTAGTACCAAGGTCAGCCGTGTCGGCAGTTGCGGCTGCTGCAGTCTTCTTTTTCCGCTGCGCCTTGGCCTGAGAACAACAAAGGACACACCCGAGTTGAAACCCAATAAAGCGGGGTTCACAATACAGAAACAGCGTTGAAACCCAATAAAAGCGGGGTTCACAATACAGAAACACCGTTGAAACCCAATAAAGCGGGGTTCGCATGTTTCTTCTTGAAGAGAATGGCTGCAGAGGAATGCAGAAATGATCATGAAAGCCAACCAGAGAAAGACAGCATATCTGTGCACACTCGTATCTCATAACTTGTATTTGTTACGCACACGATGACCAAGCCCACAGTGCATGTACCTTGGGTGCTGTTGAGCCAGCGCTCGCTGCAGGCGGAGGTGCCGGAATGCTGAGCCTGTTTTCAACGGGCTCCAGCGCAGACACGCCTTGATTGACTTTCAGTCCTGTACACGGAGAGACAGACAAACAGACAGACAACCATGGTACCAAACTGGCAGCGCCGAAAAGTTGTAATATCATTACTTCAATACACTGCAAATGTATGTTTGATGTACAGTATCAACTGACCATGTGTTATCAAATCAAGTGTGATGCCACAGTCAGCTGGACTGGGGAAAATCTGCTTCCTACTCAATTGTGTATAACATCCTCATTGACAGGGAACACTAACTTTACCAAGCACATGGAGCTAAGACCTACGAGAACTACGCAGAAAATACACCGAACCTACCAGTCTCTTCCTCGTACTTCTGAATACGCCTGTCAATCATCTTACCCAGCTTATCACCTACAGGAAATGAACATTGCATATTGCAAAAGGAGGGAAGGCGAGAGAAAGAAAAAGGAAGAGGAACAACATTCAAGGCATGTTTTTATTGGAGAGTACTAGTATGTTGCCCTACTAAAAACCGATGATGCCAGGAGGACACAAGGACAAAGGACAAACAAACAAAAGGATGTAGGTGTGACAAAGCATATATTATGTCAGTGAGACACATCCAGCAAGTGTTGGCAGAGCAAAAGAATGCAGCCCATCTCATTCCGCCCTAGGAGAATGCCTATCAGTATCTCTGATGTACATGCTGAATGTGGGCTGCTGGAATCAGTGTTCCTAGTTAGCATTTCTGGGGGGCAACAAAACTTGGTAGACATAATGAGCCCCTCACGTTATCCTGTCACTTTATTAGCATTTGTAACACTCATTGCCTTGCATTTCCGAAAGAAAACCGCAACGGTCTGTAAATAAGTACATGCCCGACATATATACCCGGTCATGCCTTTGACTCTGTTGAAGTCAAGCTTAGTCCGATAACACACTGCCCGGAATAAATACCGGTATGGTTCGTGCACGCAAAACGTAGCATCATGCCATGAACATGTACATGTGCATGCTACGGCATTCGCTGGAGAAAAATAACTGCTCCATTAAGCGCAAGTCAGGTCCGAAAATCGGTTTGTGCCCCACGCGAAAGCTAGTACGGGTTAGACCACTAAATGTGAAAATCAGTACAGACTCTACATGAAGGGCTCCAATTCAAAACGCGATGAAGACCAAACCGGAGCTTTTGCGTTTTTTTGTCACGAAAGAATTCGTTTTCACCCCACGGATGTCTGTGTGTCGGTTTTACGGGTCAAAGCGCGATACATCCCAGTCAACATGATGCCTGAAGTTTGTGTTTTTCTGCAAAACGCGATAAGTCATTGATGCTGCAGTGCAGACCGAAAAAGAACAAATGAAAAAATGCACTTCTTGAAATTTCCACAAAATGGATTATCTCGTTTTGAATTGGAGCCCTTTACATACTTATTTACCAGCACTGGCTTTTACAGTAAGTCTGTTGCACTTTACTCACCCCAGAACTTGAGCAGTTGGGTGGCCTCGGCTCCATTCTTCAGTGGCAGTGGGAACTGGCGCAGTGATTTCAATGCCTAGAACGACATACAGCAAGTACAACACGGATCAGTAAGGCGGCCATCCACGGAAACAAGAAGGGATCGTTCACTCAGGATTCACGGTAATGTAGTGTCACTACACTACAAAGCTGAAAACCTGACTACGAGTAAAACTACAGACACATGATTGGCGTATGCAGTAGCTGCTACATGCACCGTAAAGTACCGTTGATCCCACTCCGTGTCGCTTCCCAGCTGGTTTTTCGGCAGGGGGGGGGGGGGGATCAGATCAAGTCGCTCAAGTGCAGTACGATGTACAAGTACAGTGCTGGCAACTGAAATCCGACCCCTGAGCGGTGCGCTCACTTCGCAAAGACCCAACACGGGATGGTAAAACTACGAAACAGAGACCGCTAGAATGTGAACGCACCGCTAGGGGGTCGGATTTCAGTTGCCAGCAGTGTACAACAAAGCAGAAGATCAGACCTGGCATGCTGGATTGTGCACATTTTCATCCTGCAATGGCACGTATTGTGTACAGCAGTACATGCGCCGGTTCAACATTAGAGCGGGGCGGATCAACGGTACTTTACGATTAAAAAAAAACAAAAAAAAACAAAAAAAACAACAACAACAGCATCACACATGTTGCGATCTTGGCCGCGCATGCCCAATGTGTAGATACAAAAAATTAACGCATGAGCTTGGTTGCAACATGCAGTAAACTTATTTTCTTACTTTTCGGTGAACTGCAATGCGGCTGCACTTCCAGCAAGGTTTGCATCAAACTCAAGATTTCAAAAAGTTCACAGTTTCAAAGGTTGTTTTTACTTTTACCGTCATGATAGCAGGGTGATGCACAAGTACGGTAACCCATGCAGTAAAAGTCCGTTAAAAGCCCGAGGCGGAAACCGTGACGGTCCAGAACACGGGCGCTATTTCAGATACGTGAAATCGGACTGGTTTTCATATCAAGATATTCATCAACCACTGCAAGGGACTATGGGTAACTATACATGTACTACCGTATCGTACACGCACGTGGGCGTTCACACAGATACTAGTAGGCTAGAAAACGGAACAAGAGTATTGGCATGCGGCGCCCGGGCGCGTACACGGGTAGTGGACTTTAAACCGTGTGGGCAGGGCTTTTGTAGTAGTCAATTCTGATCATAAGCCGCAGGAAGTCTTAGACACCTCTTGTTTCAAAGAACTCGATAATTATAGTGAGGGTGGCTCTCATCTCTTCTCCCTTGCTGCGGTATCATGGTATGTGTGTGTATGTGCAGGCCCGCCGAAGGTGGGCGAAGTTGGTCCGGTTTGAGGGGGGGGGTCCGAGGGATCTCCCCCGGACAATTTTCGAAAAATCCCGGTCAGAAATAGCAGAATTTGGCCCTTTCACAAGTTTTCAGAGCCAACTACAGGGAATAATTTTGCATGGATATCAATGTACAAATGTATGGCCCACTATGGGTGAATGCACATACATGTACATGTATGGGTCATGCTGTCAAACTAACAACATGTACATGTATGTATATATGTATGTATGTATGTATGTATGTATGTATGTATGCACAATCGATAATACATGTACAGTAAACCTGTAATGGCGACCACTCGGATATGGCGACCACTTTTCCTTGTCACGGACGCATTCACATTCAAAACACCTCGGATAAGGCGACCACTCGCTCAACGCGACCGGCGACCACCCACCCCACCCGAGAGCGTTGCACAGTGCTAGTCATGTAAATGTACGCATTGCATGGTGCACCAGGCATGGTAGATCTACACATCAGTGCAGGAAGTGTAGATGTACATGGTGCATGCACGACATTTGACAGGTCTGAGGACAGGTCTGATCAAAATGATGTATCACATGTGGATATGGTCACTGACCCACTGAACCTGGATAAGAAGACCACCTGGCCACGCCCCCCCCCCCTCCCGCGTCACGGTGACCACTTTTTCTCGTCCCTTGAGGGGTCGCCTTAGACAGGTTTCACTGTACATGTACATGTATGTACCCAGAATTTTTTCTCCCCAGTTTTAGAGAATCTTAGGGGGTGACCTGAGCCAGAGACAGAGTTGGTCCAGTGACAACCAGGGCCTGATGTGTGTGTGTGTATGTGGACGTGGAGTGAAAGTGTGTGTGTGTGTGTGTGTGTGTGTGTGTGTGTGTGTGTGTGCACGTGTGTGTGTGTGTGTGTGTGTGTGTGTGTGTGTGTGTGTGTGTACTGCCCGTGTGTGTATGTACTAGTACGTGTGTATATACGTGTGCACATGGTATGTGTGTATATACGTGTGCACATGGTGCTGCACTGAAGGTTTCCTGGCTAAACATGAACTCACTCGATCAAACCCAAAGTGGGTAGGGTGACCTTTCTCTCTAGCATCATCCCGCCACTCAATCAGCCATTCCTCGAACAGGGGATTCGCGCAGCCCTTCTTGGCTTCGTACTTCCGTTTAGTTCGGGAGCCCACTGCAAATGTTGCCATATTCACCCATTGACTATTCAAATCACTCACAGAACAAGCTACATTGTACACAAACTCAGCTCGGTAAAAAATATCTGTTTTGGCACCTCCGCAAGGCTAATCCAGCATGCAGCAGCCGTCCTTATGATCATAGCACCGCGGCAAGTCAACGAGAACAGCTGGAGTCGAACAAACTCCTGAAATTTGTGAAAAGACTGGTGGATCAGTTTTACACTTTTGTCTTGATTTCAGACGAAGCATGCATGCGTGAATGAATGAAGAATTTTAGATGAACATGTCACTGCATGCTAGCTACATGCCCCCCACTGGCCCCAGGCCCACCGCGCGCAGCTGGATTCCCCGTGCATTACATGGTCCCGCGGCCCGTTTCAGATTTCCCGCAAAAAGCACGGAAGGAAATGTTTTCTCCTCAAAAATGATACTGACACTACTGACTGTACATCAGGGAGTCGTACTCAAACTAGGGAGGTGACCATGGTGACACGGCACAGAAATCCGTGTCACAGGGGTTGACTCGCACCCGTGACCCCTCGTTGTTATTTTTGGAATAGTTCAGTCCAGTCCAGTCCGAAAGGTCATACTTGGATCGACTCGCCTTCTGTACTTCACCTCCAAGCGTGCAACGCGAGACCCGCAAAGTATGATTTTTCTGTGGGGAACGATTTTGCCATTGATCAAGTTTTTATTGGAGTGCTCAGGCATACTACGATTGCTGAGACGTCCCGAGCACGCTTGTTCAGGTTCTCTATCTTTGACGAGCCGGTCCTACAGCCCCCTACATTGTATCTAACGACGTAGGAGCTGACAATGTAAGAGGATTTCCCTGGAAATAATGATGATGGTGGTGTGACTGCTGCAGGAAAAATGCTGGCTGTTTATGACAGTATGACTAGATGTACAATGTAGCTCTCTTGTATGGTACTTAACCCCTGCTATAAATGTGTTGTTTAGGAAGACTGGTGTATTGTGCAAGTCATAAAGAAGAAATGGGGCAGATACACGACTTACAATTTTCAAAAACCAGCTTCGTGTTATGTCTAATTTGTGTCAAAATTGTAGTATTTAGACATGACAATGTCATTGGCTGTACTTCTCTAATATGGTACATAACCCCTGCTATAAATGTGTTATTTAGGCAGACTGGACCATTGTGCAAGTCATAAAGAAGAAATGGGGCAGATACACGACTTACATTTTTCAAAACCTGGCTTCGTGTTATGTGTAATTTGTGTCAAAATTGTAGTATTTCAACATGACAATATCACTGGCTGTACTTCTCTTATATGGTACTTAAGGAGGCTCCCACCTAAAGAAGTAAAAATAAAAGGTCCATGGACACCCTGTTTTTTATGCATAGAATGGTGGAGTGATGTCTCTTCTTCAATTTGGTATAGTTTTTAGGTAGGGTCACCAGGCATATAAGAGGTATTTTGGTGTATTTAGTGAGTGTACAATTTCTTGATTTTCGGTAAAAAAATGGTAAAAAAATTTGGTTTTTGACCCAAAGAAGCCTCCTGGAAGGAGGATACTAAGCATTTTCTTCGTCATATGTTTAAGAACCACATTTGGAGGTATCTTGGCTACACAAGATAGACTGCGTCTTGGTTTTGCCCTTGGGGAGCCACTTTTTCGAAATTACGGGTACCGAAATTTCCATCGGGTGCTGAATTGTGAAATGGTTCAGCCTGCAACATTTTGTCCATGGACATATTGATTTTTGTGGCTTTCTGTGATCCTTGAGCCCCAAGGAAACCGATAATGGACAGTTTTGATGGTGTCACCAGGCACTTTAGGCCCCTACCAAACAATATAGGTATCAAAATATGGTATTTTTAGGCCAATTCTGAAAATAGCATTTTTAGAAAATCTGACCATTCTTGCCTTCTTGACTAAATATCACTACCAATGACATGGTAGTATGGTAATATTATTTTAGAAGAAGTTATTTTCATGCTGCAACCTCCTTTGGACAAACCAGACAGTCTGTGCTTGGAAAGGTACATGTATCATTACATGTACATGTATGTCATGTAGCCTTCAGTCCTAGCACATTGATATACGAGTAGTGTACATGTACATGTAAGGCAGCGAGGTTTCATAACAACCTCGACCATGAAACTGGCACATGAATAATGTGAAAGCAGGCATTCAAAATAAGGCACACTTAACACTCACACGCGTGCGCACGCACATAAACACCCACCCACATGCACGCACTCTCATGCACGCATCATTGTAACACTACTAGTCCATAGCAGGGCTTAGTGTAAATAAAAGCCTGAAGACCAGCCACTGCACTGGGCGTGCATTTGCTGGTTGTCACTTGTGTTGATAGCAGCAGACTCCAGAAAAACATCGCATGAAGGGCAATATGCATCTACACACGCTGGCGTGCACATATACGATATACATGTAATGTACTGTCATGCTCTCTCGGCAATTCTTTTTGTGTCTCAAATACGGTTCACAAATGCGCATTCACATGCAACTCCTGTACTGTAAAGCCATTACCACACTGTCCTTGCGGACACCAGAGAGGCATACAGAACCAGCACCGTGAGCCCCCCCCCCCCCCCCCCCCCTTCCACACCTAGCTTTGCACACGCACGCACACATGCATGTGCATACACACATACATGTACACAGACATTTGCATGCACATGCACACAGTGCACTCGTGGGGACATGTGCATAACCCAGATCAACATTGCGTGCGAACCCACACATGCGGGCACGAGCACGCGCGCACACACACACGTGCGTACACACACACTCGTACACCTGCCCAACGCTGAAGCGAGGATAGCGAACAAACTACGTTAGACATAGCAACTTGTGCTCGGATTACACCTTTCAACAGCTTGCACACACACACGCGCATGCGCGCGCGTACACACACACTCGCGCGCGCGAGTGAGTACACACACACACATGCGCGCATACACACACACACACACATGCGCGCGTACACACACACACACAAACGCATGTACTTGCGGATAGAAAAGGATTCAAAATAATCAACCACAGGCATTTACCCAATACACACCTGAGTGTGCACATCTTAGTTGTGGCATCCCCATTTTTACAAAAGCAGGATTTAGAAGTTCGTCCCTGGTTCAGAACACAAGCCTCTGGCCAGCGTTTTCCTTACACCATCAGTGCAGTACAGTGGTTGACACGAACCTCATTCCTACAGGGACAGTAGCCCAAGTTCAGCAGCTCTGAGATGCGTCGTCCACTGAGCTCAGGATACTCTAGGATCCACAGAAACAGTTTCAAACGGCACTCGTGCGACTGGAGCTGCAAGTGGGTCCACTTACCAGCGAGTGGGCAGCCACTTTACGCTCCACAGGTAGTCCATGCTAAATTCCAGTGCCAGTACTAGTATCACTACGTTCGACATCGATGTCTTCACTGACTTCAGCCTGCTTTTCTCACCCTTCTTCGTCAGTAATATTTTGTTCTTCGTGGCCACATCGTACCGCTTCAACAAAGTTTTCACAAAAAATCAAGCAGCGCAGGAACTGCCTTTGTTTAGCATTAGCCATGGCCAGTGATTCTTTCCAGCGTAGAAACAGCCACGGCTACAGAAACACTGTAACGAGTAGAACTACATCCTGGAACAACTGCGAGCACAGAGAAATCAAAAAACTTCTTTCTGAACAACAGCTTATTTCCGCATGGAACACAACATTTTTCGAATCTCGCGGCAAAAAACAGATTTCGGAGGTGCCCTTTTTACACTGCGCTGCGCAACTGTTCGGAGCCTCCTTAACTGCTAGAAATGTGTTGTTTAGGAAGACTGGTGTATTGTGCAAGTCATAAAGAAGAAATGGGGCAGATACACGACTTACAATTTTCAAAAACCAGCTTCGTGCTATGTGCAATTTGGGTCAATTTTTAGTATTCGGATTAACCTAGGATACGACTCTGAACAGTTCTGAACAGTTACCGTAACACTACACGCCGTCTCATAACTGCTGCTGTCGCCATCACTGCTATCAATTAGTTCGGACATGGCAGGAGGTAAACAAATTGCTGGTAGTCTTTCAAAGAATACTGGCGAGTGATGGGCTGTAAACGAAATGTGCTGCCTCAATAATTTCAAAAACTAGACACCCATGCGGCACGCTTGGAGGTGAAGTACAGAAGGCGAGTCGATCCGAGTATGACCTTTCGGACTGGACTGGACTGAACTATTCCAAAAATAACAACGAGGGGTCACGGGTGCGAGTCACGTGTACCCCTGTGACACGAATTTCTGTGCCGTGTCACCTCCCTAGTTTGAGTACGACTCCCTGCTGTACATATACCGGTACATTGTTTGTATTAAATAATTAATTAAAAGCCGAAAGCCGATGAAGAGCAGTCACCGTGGTCACGGAATACACTCTGTGAGAGCGAAAACATAGCTGCTATGCCAGCTATGTTTTCGCTCTCACAGAGTGTATTCCGTGACCACGGTGACTGCTCTTCATCGGCTTTCGGCTTTTAATTAATTATTTAATACAAACAATGTACTACTACTAGTTACAAACAGGGAGTCGTATACCCCTGGTTACAATAACAAATATTAATTCAAAAACACAGCCCAGTTTGTGATGCCATTTTACCGTGAAATTTGTTAAAAAATGACACACCGATTATTTGCCGAATCCTGAGAATACTGTGAAAGTAGGACATGATTCAAGAAACTTTCCAAAGTACAAAAGGGGGATCACTCCCATGTTTGGACACAACCGGCATGAGCACTTCCACTTGCAGCAATTCATTTGGATGCAGTTTGCCTTGAAGTGGCTGCCAAAAAACGGTCATTTTACAACCAAAAAAAGCCAAATCACGTCGTAGACCGGTCTTGGCGGTTTACCATGGTACATGGTCTATACGGATATCGATACCGCCGCGGCGCGGGTGGCATAATATTATTATTATCAAGAGTACATAAACCTTATTATTATTACGCACACACTCATGAGTCATGGCCAAGGCCAATCAAGGATTCAAGGAGGAGGTACTTGTAGGTGAGGCCATGAGGGCGATTATAGCCATCCATGGCCGCGATAATGATGATATGGACGTGCATCATGCGGCAAGCGTGCTGCGTGGTCGCACAACCACTGACAACCGTCAACGCAGCTATGCTACAAGTAGGCGCTAGGCCATAGCAAGAGTAGTTTATCTACTCTTGGCCATAGGCATAGGCCCCTCCCGTAGATACAGATATGCCCAGGGCTAAGG